TTTTTTTTTTTTTTTTAATCCTGATGCATTGAGTTTCTGAGACAAAGATTGCGTTGCATGAGGCGCAGCAGTACACCCATCACCAGCCGAAGTGACGCCCGTCGCCTTCTAGAAGGTAAATAGCCTTGACAGTTGGCGCACAACTTATTTTGCTAGGAGGGGTTTGCAGGGTCGCAACCCATGGCGGGCTGGTGCTTAGTATGGTTATCCGAAATATGGCGGACATTGTCTCGCCATAATCCAAATCAATTTCGACGATGAACCCGCAGTTTCTCTGATGGCAACTTCATTTCCGTCTTGGTTTTTTTTTAAAGCCCAGACCACATCGAGTTTGTAGTCGGTCCAGCTGGACAAGGTTACCGCCGACGCTGATCGTCGGACTGTGATTCGCTACCGGAACGCTGGAGAGGCCAGCACGGGAAAGGCGAGACATTGGACTTCTGGACTTGTAGGGTATGGGCCCAGACTCGACTCGGCGGCATGTCGCAGTTACGTTGACCTGAACCACGCGTATTTGTGGCAGATTGGATCTGGGAAGCTAGACATGCTATGATCCAATATTAGCAGATATTCTGATATAGCCCTGAAAGATTGAGTTTAGCCAAATCAAGGAAGGGAGCCAACCACAGATTTGACAAAAGTGCATGGCGAAATCATTGTTGCGCGCTCATTGCAAGCCAAAGAGGTCGTGATAACAGATACGTAGAGATGCATAGAGCCGCATCAAATGTATCGTTGTTATATGCATCATGCAATATAATGTCATGCCGAGTAATATTTCGCTGTTCTTTCAAGATCTGAGTGGCCTCGAACTGCAAGTACGATGTGGATGCGCATGTCAAGTTTGGCGCCCCTTGCAAGCCCAACGCCCAACATGGGCAGGCGCCCCCTCTCTTTCCCTTCTTGTATCCAATCACGTGCCTTGGAAAGTCCAGTTTCAGCTGCGTATGTTCTTTCCAGTGTCACAATCCAGACGATCATCAACAATATCGGCTGAATGTTAATAATCATTATTCAAAAAGTCAACTTTTTACTCCGGAAGAAGTGTTTCCAGCATCAATGACATACCATTCCATGCCGCTGCATCCCGTCCCGTGTCGCATCCTGCGGCAGGCAACAATATTCGTATGGGCATCCATCTACTGCTTACCTGTGCATCCACCGACACGCCCGCGATACAGATACAGTCTTTCTTTCGATAGCAAGCATCATCAAGTGAACCAGGATCATATCAATAGAACGCCAAGGCGAACCCCTCCAACTGAGAAAGCCACCCGCCAAATGACGCAGATTTTGAGAGTTCTCAAGCGCTTTCCCAACCCTGATGGAGGATCGGGAATCTGAGTCGCATACTGTACACTCTCTCGAACTACAAAAGTTCATGGCAAGGAGAGTGGCTATTGTGGCTCTCCCACGTACAGTATACAGTTCGAATTTTCACACAGAACGGAAGTTGAATGACATTCTGCCCCGCCTTTGACCTTCTTGTGGTGCATTCGCAAGGCTCTGGCTGGTCACAATTCTAGATACGCAAGGCAGGCTTGTGTCTCCCTTAAAAACAATTTTGGCTTGTAAGCGCCCAATACTGACTTACTCAGTAGGGCATTATGGAATAAGCCAGGAGGCTCCATAATCCTCCTCAAGACCGTTACAATTTGACGGACGTTATAGTGCTTGTCGTAAGGTTGCACTCGAGCGACTTATGCAGGGACGTAGTCGACGCCATTACACGTTGTTTTCGGAAATGCAGCACACCGCTCTGCCCGGCAATACAGATCCGCAGGCCTATTTCAAAAACTTTATCTCAGTGTCAGCGACTTTGTCGATCACTGCGGCGGTGCAGCTTAGACAAGACAGATCTTTGTTGCCTTAGATCTTCAGAAAAACGGTTCGATACATGCAGAAGCATTCATTCTCTGCAGAGGCGTGAGGCTTGCTCAATACCCATGTCACTAACGTAGCCTTGTCTAACCCAAAGGGCTGCACGCTCGACGTCGTGCCATCGTGTTTGGCCAATGACGACAGAGGTTAACCCTTGTCTGGAACAAGCTTGAGACAAGGGTCCGTCTATGGCCCATGGCGTCGCAGCGAGTAGGGCTCACCTCAGCTGAAATGTTCCCTCTAGTCCATTTTCTGGCGTCACCTTTTCGCCAAACTGACCAGAATTAGGCTTGGTCAAATGGAAATAATCTGCAGGGCCCTGGCCCTGGAGGCTCGAGACAGATTGCAGTTCGATCGTGGGGCATCATGGTCCAGGGACGCCCGACTTGAACAAGCGACTTTTGTGCCTCTGACGCCTTCGTTGAAAATCGAGGGCTGAAAACAGGGATGCCAATCTGATCCAGACTCCAACAAACGGCTCTTGTAGCACGCCGAGGGGTACGGTGCGACCTTCAAATTATTCGCTCTATCTCTATTCGATGACTCCATAGCAACTGCAACGTGAGCTTTGGCGACTCGAGCACACGATTCATCGAGTTCCCTTGTACAACTTTCTTGAGACGATCCAGCCCAGCTCAGCTGGCAGTGTCACTGCAATCTCATGCCTTTCTCTAGGATCTCACTCCCTGTTACTGAATCATGCTCTGAAACACGATCAGTTCTCAATTCAATGTCATTGCATCGAGTAATCAACAAACACCCTCTCATAATGGTTGCTCTCGGCGAGAATTCATCAGTGATGGCTGCTCAAAGAGCCCAGGCTACCCTGACCGAAGCTATACCTCTTCTTCGACCTTGTCAAATCTTAGCATCACTCTAGAACCCAAGACTCCACTTGCAATAGCCACCCCTACAAGTCAAACGTCGTCAAATCTCGTACCCACGTCCCGGGGCCGAAGCCACAGCTAGACTCGATTAGTAGTCCTTTTGGAAGAGGCTGTCTGAAGGATTCTTTCCGCTCCTTTGCAGAGGGAATCCATGCCCACTTTCTTATTATCCCTAGCCCAGACTCTTCAGAGTAGGGTGTCGCTGAAGGGTGTCGCACTATCCTCCAGTACTTGGGCCGATTGTCATCAAGTGATGTGCTTAGTTTGGCTTGATGCTTTGATCATCTTGGGCCGCTTCCATCCCATCAGTTCATGAGCAACTGTCATATAAGACTCTGTGTCCCCGACCAAATAACTTATTCAGATAGAAGTATTGCATTCGGTTCGAGTTCTGTTCATTTCGTTTATCTTATAATCGTCACCAATAACAAGCCTCAACTTGCACTTTATCTGCTCTGCCACGAATTCGAATATCCTATTGGCGATCTAAGATAGCTCGCTCTGCCTGCCTTTTTCGTATTACCAGAAGATCACAAGACTCTTCTGATGTAAGTCGGCTCTACAGGCTCCAGTGAACATTTCGCACGAGACTTGTGGTGGACAACCCTTCGCGATCTGCATATCGACAAGATCATCTATCAGCCAGCTATCTGATACAAGCCACCACCAAGACGTCTTGAGGCGCGCAAAGCTTACTTACGAGTCGCTTGTCATCAAACGAAACTCGTTTCGTCTTCCTGAGCAAGCGCCCTTAACCGCGGTGCTTGGAAGAACTGTCTTGAGTCAATCGAATCCGAGGCCACCAAACAACCCTGTCTGTTAGCCCAGCCCGGTCTTCTTGTCGACACTGTTTGACTCCGCCCTACCAAACCAGACGAGGATTGTCAACGCAACTGGCAAGCATCCCCCCAGAAAGTCACCGTCTGACCGCAGAAGTAGAGTGACCTTGGAGGGTCCCCGCCAAGTCGCCGACGGCGCCAAAATTAAGTTTCCGCGAATATATCAATCAATCACTAACTTAAACGGCGCACCATGCCCGTTCCTAATCAAGGTGTAACACAACTTACACCTGACACCACCTCGACGACATCTCCTACCAGCAACTACTTCAAGCCGTTGGCTCCCTCTTTCCAGACTCTCCAAGCTGGCCTCGCAATCTTTGCTGTTGTTGTAATTGCTCGGTTTTGCGTTCTAAAGCTGTACCTATGGTTGCGACATATGCGCGGCTTGGACCAACACACCCACCCTGCTAGATCTACTATCTCATCTTTCTCTCAGCCTCGACTTTTGCAGTCGCGACCTATCTGGACAATGAATGAGAAGGACATCACGCCGCCTACTCGCCAGGAGGAAATAGATGTGGAAAGTGGCTTACAGGTCAGCACAGTGGAGAAGAAATTGGCCATCAACCCCAACTGGCAAAGTATGGACAATGCCATGTCCAAACACATCATATCGCGACCACCTCCGGCGCCACCTCTGACACCTCCCGAGCTGAGCACTGCTGTCTTTACTTTTGAGGACCGTCCCCGACCAGGAGATGATAGTTTCATCCGTCAACCAAACCCTGATTACATGTCTTCAACAGCCAACGAAGTCCTTCCTCCCAGTTCAGGAGCCGCCTCAGTCACTCGCCGGCGTTCATACAACAAGACCCTTCCCATTGGAGTTCCCATTCCTCGGTCTTCGCAAGGCATATCAGATGCTGCTGATCTCACTTTCTCGCCCAGCTCCTACCCACCTACAAGCCCGTTGCTACCACCAGCCCCACCCAATGCAGGAACAGCGGAGATCGGCGTCCAGGGAGAGATTATTGGTGTTCTGGATTCCGAAGGGGCCGGCTGGACAAGACATACGCGTGTCTACGGCGGCGGAGTCTGCCTTGCCTGTGCGGCCTCCGGCGGGAACCACGGCGGCGGTTTCTATGGGGCGACAGTTCGACCGGAAGAAATGCGATGACGGGTGCAAGTTTCGGAACGACCATGGTGTGCTACTGTCAGTTAACTCACCTGACTGCATTTGATTGGCATCTATGGTCGGGCATAGGGATCCATGTGTAACGACCGTTTACGACTTCATGTTAGAGGTGGACGTGGTGCAACAACCGCGCTTCTGGGCAAAATTTTCTCGTCTTACTTTAACGGCATGTGGGCCGGCCTTCAGGTTTTGGAGGCAGTGCATTATCTCATTGTGTTTGTTTTTCTGGGTTGGCTTTTTGTCTTTTGCAGTACACTTTGCTCCTCAAGGAGTTGTCTACTTTTGTTCACTTGGGCTAAGGGTTAACGTCTGTGTTCCCTCAATTGTTCTTGATATCTAGATTTTGGCCTATGATGATATTATGACCAACTTTCTCACTATATCTGTATCTACCCTGCTACGTTTCACAATTCAGTATAATTCTCTCTCATCAAGTATAATACATTGACAACAAGTCTCAGCCCCACATTGATTCGCTGTCTTACATACATAGTAATATCTGCTTCTCAACCGCCAACAAGCACCACACGACTTCCTTCCAGTCGGACTATATTGGTCACGTCACTGACACATTTCGATTACATGTAATCTTTAATCCACCTCAGGGTTATCACGAGTTTCTAGTCATGAAGCTCTCATCACTCAGCTCTCGTCAGCCTTACAGAGGAGCCAGGCAAAGCCCATACCTTGCAAGTGCTTATCGTAGGACTAAGCCTCGGACATGATACAAGAAAGATGCCCAAACTCCGACGCACTCTCCACATTCAGAAGGAATCCTGGAGATCCCTTTCAAAGCCTGAAATGTGTAAAATGAAGTTTACACAGCAATGCAGAGGGTGGGTCGAACCAGAGCTTCGCGCGTCATCAAACCTATGCAGGTCTGGAGACCTACATGTCGACCAACGACTTATACATCTTTTACCGAATCCAGACGTTTACCCGTACACACATGCTTACCAGCCTCCATGATCGGCGATGTGACCCGAGTTCTCTTGGCCCTATGATACTCCGCATCCCCAAGGGCCAAGGACAGGGCAGGTCAACTTGGCCTTTCTTGAGTAGGACAGTGGGAACGGAATTTAAAGATCTTACGTGAGAATTTGTGCGGTGAGCGGGTGATCACGGAGAGGGGAAAGAAAGAGCATGTGCTCATGATGAGAAAGAGTGTAGGGCTGATAGTGGATGTTGAAACGGCGTGAGTTGTCATGCGTGACTAGGTAGGAACAGGAAATAAGGATCGGACGAAAACACTTGAGATCCTAGCCCGTGAAGAGATAACAAGGCCTGTTACAAGGCCATGCAGTTCTGAAGGAGAAAGCATAACGGGCCGCATTATACTCGACCCCAAAGGGACTTTGGTTCAATATATGCATGACGTGTTTCATGCGTTCCAAGCATTCCTGGAATCCAGTGTGTAAAACAATATCATGGCTTTCTGCAGTTGAAGATGGCTTCAGGAAGGTTTTTCGAAAGATGATGCCTCTTTGAGACACATCCAACTCATAGTCTGCCCGATTCAACAGATTTAATGGGACGATTACCATTGGTTTCTCTCGGTCTTGGCCAATACCATCTGAAGAATCTGTATAGATATCTACAAGGATGCATGTCACTTGCAGTCTGCATGCCACATACCTGCTTTACTCTTATTTCCTTGATTACAAATAGGTCTTTATTGGTTTAGTGTCTTCTGGAAGTATGTGTGGTGTGTTGTAGTGCGTTGAGACCATTGATTTTTGGGTTCGGTGTTGCATTGCTAGGGCTGGGGAGGTTGAGATGTGACTTCATCAGGTTTATGTCAAACCACGTGGGGATGAACAGGTACAAAGAACTGATGGACAGGTACATCGGTCGGATTTTAGGATAGAGTACATCCTCTCTGGTCTCGTAAGCTGCCAGGCCTGTGGCTCTTAACCGCCTGCAGGGCATATCAGAACATCCCAAGGGATGTGACTCGATGTATCAGCTATGTTGGAGGACATGACAAAGTTACAACACTATGAAGCTGTAATAGGGAGCTGATCGCTTTGGCAGAAGAGGGAGTAACTGGCAAGACCATCAGTCAGTGCTTCGTATGAGTCTCACGAGACTCATGACTCCATGTTGAAGCTTTCTCATAGCAAGCTATCTAGTTCACCGAGTGAAATGATGCTAACGGAACCGAATGCTCTCGCTGTCTTGTAAAGTGAATATTTAGCTCTCAGCAATGTATATTCTGGTGATAGCTACACAATCGCCGCGCTTGTATACTTCCATGTCATTCAAGAATCGTATCGTGAGATATCGAAAACATAGAGTCCCAGATCGCTGACCGACATGGTTGCTGGTGCCTCCTTGACCTGGTGCTAGCTATACAAGAAGACTTTTGTTATCAGGCTTTTGTTCATCGGTGAGTTTATGTCCAATTCTTCAATCATTGCTGTACTAAATAGTACTGTTTAGAACTCCAGAACTCTCTGGTACGGTCTCTGTCCGTCTGATTCTGGATTCGATGGTATAACTGAGGAGGTCACGTACTCACTATAGCTCCTCGACGATGGAAACACAATCAATGCTAGTGATGGATTATAAAGACAAGAGCCAGCATTTATACACCTTCGGTGACTAAGTGATCTTTCTGGGATGCTTCAGACCATCTTGCTTCGCTATATGGTGTCCTTTGTGTCCATCATCACCCCTGCAACTCAACAAACTGGCCATGCTGAATAACATCTGAAGTGAACAACTTGAATGTACCGATAATATAAACCGAGAGCTTCTTCTGAAAGAGTTGGGTGCATCCCTATCTTCCTCTCCTATGTCGGAATACTTGGCCATCATACTCCCGTGGGTAACAGAAGAAATGTCCCCCAAGGTTTAGGCTGTTAGAATAAAGTAGCCTGAGTGCTAATCCAAGCTATCGTAAGATGAAAAAACATTTTCGTCCCTTATGCTCACCGCGGCCAATTCTTCTGACACCCTGCGGATACCCTGTTTGTGCTAAGGGCATTCCTACCAAGTCTGAGGTCTCTGCGAAGGAAGTCTGCGATGAGAAGGTATTCTACGCACAGGGTAGCATCAGCCGCTATCCTCAAGATCGTTTTACTGAGAGGATGCTACGCTAATGTCGTGAGGTTTAGACTTGGTGATGTGTCCTTCGAGATCCTCCTAGTACAGACAAACTTTGTTGGGTGATACATGCCTGGCTTCTGTTGCTAAGCCGATAGTCAAGTTTTCAATGAGAAATCAGGTCTAGCTAGGCTTCAAAAGTTCTTTCCCTGGACCCGATACTTGCGTTCTGGACTATCGTCGATGGGCCTGAGGTTGGCTTCCATCAACAACTCAACCGGATATAGCTGGACTCAAAGTGCTCGAGCTAACATGTCCAGTCAAAAGAACCTTCCGAGAACGTCTCAGATGATAGTTGGAAGCTAAGAAAGTCTCGATCCATTGCCATCATACTAGGCTCGAGTGACGTCGGACGTTTCGTCACAATGATAGTCACGGCCATGACTCGTTTCATTCCAGCAAAACCGACAGTCTGGTCAAAGATTTGTCAAACCGTCCGGCGCAAACTTTAAACAGTCGCGGATGCAATGCCGTTATATGGAGCTTCTACTAGCGGTGTATATCATTGCCAGTGTTGTTCCTGTTTGGTTTCATGTCTATCTTCCACAAGGTTTGCCGCAACTGTGACCTCGGGGAGGCAACCGAATCACAACCTCACGCTTTGATCCCGCCTCACAATATTTCTTCTCAAATACCACGGACAAATTACGGTCAGAAACAGACGAGATAGACAATTATGGTCCCATCAAGAGTTTCAGGTTTCGCCTATTCACAGCAACCGAGACTGAGCCTCCTTCTTGGAGCCCTTCCGGTGTCCGCTGAGTCATCGAATCAGTTGGCTTCCGTAGCTCAGTTGGTTAGAGCGTCGTACTAATACTTCAATCCGAGTATCCGGTGATGCGAAGGTCTCAGGTTCAAGCCCTGGCGGGAGCAATCCCAGTGCCTTCTGGTTCGTATTTTTGCTCTTGTCAGTAAATATTGAGTTGAGAATGTTGATGAGTAACTTTTTGGCAGACGGTTGAAACAGACGCGGGGTTGTGTTGTGGATGGACTCATAGCACAGCGTTGACAACTCTGCAAGCCATATTTCGCCACAGTGGGAAAAATACATAGAACCCCCGAATTGAATGACTCATATACTATTTACACGAATACTCACAGTTCAGACAGGGCCTTGATGGCAAAAGCTTGTGTGTGATGTTCTCAAGCTGATCACCTGTGTGGATACAGGGTAACTTCCATGAAACCAACTCAGGCGCATAACACAGCAACAACACAAACATCCACTACAATATGACAGAGTCGAAATACACAGGTAGTTCAATCAGACGATCGGCTAGTTCAACGATCAGCATCACTTGTTTATCGACAAGCTTGTCGCCATCTCACTTACCACTCGGGCGTAACCGCGTTGGCGGCTGCAAGTCTAAGACAAGCGAATCACAAGACCAACTCTAGACAATTCGGTTGCACGCAGCTCGCATAGCGCTAATAAAAAGTAGCAAACAGAACTCTTTTCATAAGCGCCATGCAATCATGATGATGGTTGCGAATATGCAAGCGACCGCACAGTGGTATTGTCACCTTTATGCGGCGCGTAAGAGGCGGCTGATATGTCATGATATTGGTTGCGTTAGACGCGGGAAAGTCTTCACCGCAAGAGGTCCGAGAGCCAAGCTTGTAGCTACAGTTTCAGGGTATGCACCACTAAGGAGTAGACAATCAAGATCTACATACAAGAGGTATACTGTGTGTGCTTGATTATTGAACTTATGTGCCACCAAGAGACATTCAAGGACCAACACTCCATTCTCATTCCATTGACGAGAGCTTCCTTATGCTTCCCGTGCACATACACACATACTCACACTCTCGCCAAGTAAAACGAGGGGGACCTAAGACATGTCTCTGATATTAAAACACAGCTAGTGTCACGCTCCGGAGCGGGTAACTTATAATAAGACCCAAGCTTAGTGCACTCTTCGGGTCTTGCTCCTGTTCTAAGATGAGATGAACACGATGGGTTATGGTTATTAATTAGGGTAAGAAAATAGAGAGTTTAATTTTTCTTTGTGTGTGGTCGCATGCATGTACCTGCGTTTAATGTACGGTTGCAGGACAGGACAGGATGACCCTCGCTTGTCTCGATGTCGGGTGTACTTGATTTGGTGGCTACGGTAGCTCTACTACTACCTACCTACAGTAGTGTTTCGTTTCTTAGACTGCGATAATTACAAGGGTCCAGAGATCAAAGCTCATCTCATTCCAATCCAAAAAGCAACGCCACGTCTTTTCTTCATTCTAGACAAGCTGCAGTAGCCAGGAGAAAATAATGGAGAACAAAGAAATAATCATAAGCCACCGAATTAAAAGAACACGTAACTACACTCAACTGTTGAATATTGGTCTATTCTAGGCAGTTAGATAAATAAAGACCGACCGAGGAAGCGCGTCACTTTCTTTTCGGCACGTGTCGCGTTACGTTAGCCAGACAAGGCAAGGGTCTTCATGCTCCCAGTCTTGATAATCGGGCAGGGCAAGGAAAAAAACCGAATAGGGAAAAAAACGGACAAGGAGGCCCGCGGCGATGAAACATTCAACGTGGGGAAAATACGAATCGAGCAGTCCCGACAAGGATTTAATGAAAGAAAGAGCATGAAAGAGCCTGGGCTTGCCGATGGCCGAGACGGAAGTTCAAGTTCAAACAAGGAGAAAATATTATGCTACAAGCCTGTAACTCCCACTATCAGCAAAGATGGGATGGAACTACAAAGCCCCTCCAATCCTAGGTCCCTGTATACTCGCCAAACCAACTATTGCCAATAACCGTCTTGTGCAGCTGAAAAAGAACCACATCCATTAACGGCAAAGCTAGCGGTGACCCCGATTTATTATTATATACTATGTACTCCGTATGGACTGGGCAAAATATTGAGGACAAGGTCAAAGAACAGCGTAACAGATTGATTGAGAGTTGAGTCTTCGGCCATGACGACAAGAAGCAAGCAAGACATGCTTTGCATGGACATAGCCCACAGCGGGCGATCCGTGACAGGGTTCGAATTTGACATTGAACTGACAGGCCAAGTAAGCAGGGCCGCATTAACGCAACTATCGTCGTTTAAACTGGGATCAGTTAATTGCGACTGACATTCAATCCTTGGCTCTGCTGACAATTGATAATCTTGGGTTCATTCCTCTAATCACTTGCAAAATATCCCATTAAAATACAGAATGCGATGCTGGTGGCTGTTGTCATCTCCGATGTCTCGCTAGAATCGCTACCATTACAGTTGTTTCGTTTATGGAGTCAAGCTTAGACCTTGCCTTACATCGAATCCTACAGATCAACGTGTCAAGCTCTCTTTGATCAACAACAACTCGATATAGCAACATAACAACACATTGAAGAAAAATAGTGAACCAACAACAAAGAAAAAAAAAAGAGGCACAGTACAGCACATCACATCACAAAGAAACTCACTCACGAAGAAAAAAGAACGCCGATCAGGCCGTTACAAAAAGCGGCAAGGATCCATGTTCCCATCACATCCGACGCTTCAATCCCCTGAATGGCCTCGTATGATTGGCGGCATCAGACGCCAAAACACCGCCTCGAGACTGTGCCCCCCTGGTTTCTACCCCTTGGAGGGCTGCCTCATGTCGGTCGCGGCGCCCGCAAGCGTCGCTGATTGGAGATGATGAGCCCATCGAAGGACCCCTTGTCACCTGCATTTGCATGTAAGCTCCAGGGGGCGTCTTTTTTTCTTCCTTAGCTTGGGGGTAAAAGAAATCAAGAGACCCCGAGCTGAGGGCGTAGGAAACAGATAATCGGAGAGACGGTTCGACAGCCCGTAAAGCTGTTCAAGCTATTTCGTCTTCTGTCCTAATAGAGTCGAACTTTCTGTCACCCACAAAATAGATCAGTGAGTTGGTGAGTTGGCCATTCTGCTACCCACTGAAAGGAGGTCCTTCTCTGGTCCTCACTGGACTGTCACGCGCTATCTGGCCAGAGACTACTGCGCGACCCAAGTTAGTATCTTCAGGTGATATTTCGAGACACTATTGGCCACTGGCGCATACAGAGGAGATTTCGCCTCCAACTGCCTTCTCTTCAGCGAATGCTTCGTCAACCTAACCTCGTATTTTATTCAAATGAACTCGTCTCCTTTTTTCTTTGTGCTGTGTGTGCGCGTACTTGATCTCTTTTTCTTTTTTGCTTATCGTATCGCAACCGTACTCTAACATGTATTTCCTTGCTCGTATCTTGTAAGCGAATGTTTTAACGGGGTCAAGTTCGTCATCAATTAATTCTCTGGTGAGTCAGTGCCCGTAAAACACATGGATTGACAGCAGCCGAAGGTCCATCAAAGAAATCCATGTTCCCCAGGCATAAATGAGGTGATCAAAGTTAGCTCGATCTCGTACTGTGTTCAGGCACTGTCGGTACCGGTACAGCCCAAAAACCAAAAACCCCCCTTGCCCGTTTTAGTGAGAACCCGGCTTCTTAACAGCGCGTTGACCACACGAGTGGACGTGCCCATACCAGATACTCTGGCAGCCCTGTCGGTTTCCTCATTCCATCCGTCCAGCTGGATTCTTACTTTACCAGGCGTTTCCTGGCTATATTGCTTTCGCAGTTATAGGAGGGGGAATGGGAATGAGGCACCTCACCGGTATTGGACTGGATCTAGAATAAGGCTCCAAAAGGCTGGCACGCATTTTCACTGGCCAAGGTAGCCCCTAATCTGCTGTGATGCACTGTCTGTTGTCTGCCCATTCAGAAGCTCTGAATCGCCGTCTTTGAAACGAACGTTAAGGCGGTGGGATGTGGGAGGTACCGGACAGGCCTGGCTACAGTAAGCGCAGCCGAACAGTTACTGTATGATAGCAGGCATAGACGAGTCACTCTACAGTACGGGACCGGTAGAGAGCAATCGCATCCATCGCCTCCGTTCCTTCCTACCTCGAGAGGTGCGGTGCCTGCTAATGCTAGCCTTAGCCTCCACTGGGTAGTCACTGCGCTACCTGCCCTGCCCTGTCTGATTTTCCCCAGCACACCCGCCCGCCAAGCCGTTCCCACATTTCCTTTCCAGTTCCCACTCCTAGTCCTGCTCCTGCTCGCTCGTGCTCTCCATTTGACACTCGCTCGCGCCTTCCACCTTCATCCCTCCACTCCTACCTTCCGTCCTCTCTTCTAGACTTAAACTCCACCACTTCCTTTTTTTCTTCCTCCTTCCTCCCCTTCGCCCACTATTTGCGCCCCTTCCTTCTTTCATCTCTCTTCCTCTCTTCCGCTTCCTCTTTCCATCCTCTCCTCCTTCTCTTTCCTGCGTCGCCTTCGGTTGCACCGCCTCGCCTCGCATCTCGCACCTGCAAAAGCTATTCCTCGAGAATCTCCTTCCCCGCCCGCGTCTGCGAAACCAGCCAGAAAAGTCAAGTCACTTTTTTTTCTCCATCAATACGCATTCGCTCTCGCCCGCCCAACCCGCTTGCCCGCTTTCGCACCACAAAAAAAGCCCACGCACGACAATCGGAAATTTGATGAAGGAACAATCATCAATCAAATCTTTGAGGTTTCTGGAAGGCGCATCTACCGGTGATACCTGAAAACCAATTTTAATCCTCTGTATTATTCTTTCGTCGATTCTTGCCTTATCGCCTATTCCGCCTTCGGTCTGCGGATATACCACCACCAAACAAACAGCTTAATCAATCTCGACATTCCGTCATCATCAAACCCAAGACTGCGAAACAGATTTTCCACTCACAGAATAATCGAAAAAAGAATCAAATTTCAACAAAAAAATTCAAGAGGAGGCTACGATAGAAGGTAATACCTGGACCATTCACATCTGGCTAGGCACCGTTTGGAGGACGCTGTCTCACTAAAATTGTCTCGGAGAGACAAGCCAGCTGGTGCTCGCGCATACAATTCGTGTTGATCACTCGAGCGTGAATCAACATCAAACCATTCACGAGGTTAAGGTTCTGTCATCTGACCACGGTTCAAAGTCTTCAAGCTTTTTGAAGCTTGCTTCCTTTGACCTTTCTCAAACGAATTTTCGTCGATCGCACTCTGCATCGCCCTTCATTCATCATTAACTGTTTGTTCCACCGACTACACTCTAATCTTTGACAACTTGTCATCTGTCTCTCTCTCGACTTTTCATTTGGTTCTCGGCATTCGCAGCTTCTTGGATTTGCGTGTTTTGGCTCTCCCGACGCAACATCTTCATCGGCATACGTTCTGTATCGACAACCAACTGGAATCCAACGTTTTGTCGATTTTATCGGTATACCCACATCGCATAATTTGTTCGGCTTGATTTCAGCAAACCATACTTTCTAATCCAACCGACTACTTCCTTGTACGCAAGAACTAGTCGCATCACGTTCTCTGTCTCTTTCATTATTTTCAAATCTTAGATTTACGATTCCCGCTTTGAGCAACAGACACAGGCGGTCTCGCTCAAAATGTCTTCCAACTTCGCTCCCAACGGCCTCGCCATGCCCACCGGCGGCCTAGCTGCCCGACGTGGTAGTCAAAACCCCAAGCCTCTCGCGGTTGATGTCATCAGCCAACCTAAGGATAAGGATTCTGGTGTTCCCACCCCGCGCACCAGCCGCTCTCATCTTCTTGCTGGCCTTAGAACGGCCCCCAAGTCCGCTACTGCTGCCTCGTTCGGCCCTCAGTCTCCCACGACCGGTCCTCAGCAGCAGTACGCCCGGAACTCCATGGCTGGAAATGCCTATGGCATGGGCCAGGACAAGGCTTACAATGCCCCTAAGACGGCTTACCCCCAGTACGGTACCCAAAACAACTACAACTCGGCGGTAAACCAGCAGTACACTGTTGATCAGATCTTGGCTCCTCCTGAGCTTTCCATGGAAGAGCAGGACCCCGGCTTGTACAACCAGCTCGTGGCTACCAACCTGTATCTGGCCCAGCAGCAGCAACACCTTCAACAGCAACTCATGACCGTCCAGGCTGCTGCTCAGCGTTTCCAGCAACTCAACCTCAACAACCCTCAGCTTGCGCAACAGCAGCACGCTCTGTTCGAGCAGCAGCAGCAACTACAAAACATGCAGCAGCAGATTCAGCTCCAGGCCCTTCTCCAGCAGCAGCAACAACAACAGGCTCAGCAGCAGCAACAGGCCCAGCGACAATCGCAGCTCTGCTACAACCCCATGACCCAGGAGTACTTCTACAGCCAGCCCCAGCAGGTTCAGGCCTCATCGCTCTACAACGAGCAGCCCTCTACCCCCGGATTTGGTGGATTCCAGCAGCAACATAACCAGGGCACACCCTCGGTGCAGGTTTCGCCTCCTGCCGAGTCACAGCCCTTCTCGTTCCGCAGCAACACACCTCCCAAGCGCTATGAGTCTCCCACCGAGGTCGCCCCACTGCCTCCACCTTCGGCCAACGCTTTCCGCCGTGGACACAAGAAGGCCAACTCTCTCGCCCCCGTTAACAGCGTTATTGCTGCTGCTCTTTCATCGGATGCTCCCAAGTCTGCTGGCCCCAAGACCTCTACTTTCCCTGGTACCCCCTTGACTGGTGGATATGGACCTGGCCAAGCCCGTGCTGGAGAGCACCCCATTCGCCAACCTCGTGGCCCTCCTTCTCTGGATGAGCTCAAGGCAAAGCCTACTGCCAAGTATGAGGGAAGCAAGAACTTCTCTGCTCGCACTCGTCGCTCTGCTGTTTCCAACCTTGTCCGTGCTGGTCTTGAGCGCCGCAAGGGCACTGGTAGCTCCTGCGGCAGCATGAGCCCCGTTTCCGAGACTGCCGAGGAATCATCGACTCCTATTACCGATAACGAGTCTGACTCCGGTCGCAGCGGATCCGGAAGCCTCGCAGGCGATATGGAATGCCCCAGCTCGCGCACATCTGCCAGTGGAAGCTGGGGTGCTATCGGTTCCGACCGTCCCAGCTCCCGCCAGAAGACACGCAAGAGCGTTGACAGCATCGAGAGTGTCGAGAGCGAGAGCAACTCTTTTGCCGATGTGTTCAAGAACGGCGCTCTGCGAGCTGCCAAGGCACAGGATTCGGCTGACAGCCAGCGTAAGGCACACCGACGAGTGTTCACCAAGAGCTCCACCTCCTCTTAAAGGTGACGCTTCGGCTTCAATCCTTATCTCTGTCACGATTAACGCGCTTGGACTTTTCATTCTGTACACATGACTGCTCGGACTGGCGGGACTGCATTTTGATGGTTGTCGTTTAGTCTTTTTCTGATTACTTTCGGAGTCTTGTTATCATATGGGGGGTGGATGACCACGTTTTCCTTTTTATTTGCGAACTTTACTATTACAGAAGTTTATAATTCGCTTCACAGTCTCTCCTTCAGACTTTTCTACTTCGTCATGACATTGGGGGGAATCGCCCGGGGATAATCTTGTCTCAACCTAGATGGACGAATGGGTTTACTTGGGGGGTTTGATGAGGAAATCTTTATACCAATGAGGATGAGAAGCATCACCGGGGAACAAATCTGGACTGAAAACCTCTGTGAGGCAGTGAGCCAGCCCCTGATGTGGTTTTACGGCCGGCGTTCCTGCGGGAATAGTGTTTCGGCAAATTTGACATTTGCTTTCATTGCATTCGTTACGGTTATTCTTCTTGTCTGTTCTCCAATGCCAGTCATTGTCCGAGGTGTTATGGACCTTGTGGGACTGGTAAGAGATAGGCAGATTCATAGATAGTTTACAACGGCACAATCCCAATTTGAAAGCCACACTAAATTCGTTCATCCACTGTGATTTCTTTGATGAATGTATCAATGTCTTCTGGCCTGTATATGTCCTGATCTTGTACTTCATGAGTTGCGCCAATCAAGTTCTCCCTTTGCTTTGTCCGCAATCTAGATGTTTTCTACTAAGTCCAATTCTTCACTAACATGCTACCCAATCTCAAAGTGCATTCAACACCGTCATCAGTTAGCCCACCAAGACCACTTCCTGTCACAAAAGACTCCCCATGCATTCTATCTTCCCATTTTACTCGCCATCGGCAGGTCAAGTTCGCAATTTTGAAAGCTGTTCTTCAACAAACACATCTGGACGGCTTCCGTAGCTCAGTTGGTTAGAGCGTCGTACTAATACTTCAATCTGAATATTCAGTGATGCGAAGGTCTCAGGTTCAAGCCCTGGCGGGAGCAATCCCAAATGCCCTCCAGATTCTCTTTTTGCTTCTTTTTAGTATTATTATTATGTTGTATTCTTGCTAAATGTTTGCGTGATAGTGTTGTGGAAGGAAAGTAGGCAGCGCATGTATGCTTGTAAGATTGTAATTGACAAAGTGAATTGCTGCGTGAGCTTGTTCTTTCATTTATAGTCTTTGGTCTTGTCTTGTGTTTGTTCATCGTGTAATCGCAGTCCTTGCGTCTTTATCCCATCATGTCTGTCTATCATGACAAAACCCCCACATCCTCATCTCTATCATGTCGTGCATTCCACTCGTTTCCCTCATGATGGCCATTTCGGCTCTGCAGGCATCCGACTCCTCCTCTTGATTATGCCCGCCCGCTCCGGCACTCCTGACAACCCGGGCGATGCCAAACTGCTACTGCTGTCCCTACTGCCGATTCCGTCTCGGCTGCCCGGCGCGCGGCCTACGTTCTCCTTATTGCTCAAGCTGCTGTCGCTACGAGCATGGCTGATATCGCTTCGAGAGCTGTGTGCAGGGCTGTTGCCGTTGGCACTGATCCCGGCTGCTGCCCTGGAGCTGCTTGATGTAACCAGCGATGTGCGAGGTAGGCGACTCTTGACAGGAGCGAACTCGCCGCTGATACGTCGGGGAATGCCAGTTGGCCCGTCCCTACTTCTTGGCCGGTAAAGCATTCCTTCTCGTTCTCGCTCAACAGCGGCAGATCGTCGTGGACTGGCTGCTACTTCGACGTAAGCATTGTTTGCTAGACTGGCGCGGTTTCTGTGTGTTGGTGTTTGCGGACCCGCCGACACAGACGTCTGTAAACTAGGAGGCGTATAACTGTTGTTGCGACGGGATCCGGCTCGTCTGCCAGATGACGAGCTTGGTACAGCGCTGGCAGCACCTTCGCTTGGTCTCACACTCGTATCGATATTTGAGCGGACCAGTTCCGAAGCGAGGTTTCGTACGAGAACAGCTGTATCCTTCTCTGCCAGGGTTTGAATAGCAGCCATGAGAGACCGCACTTGAGAACTGTTGAGAGACCTTGTCCCGTCACCACTACCGATTCCAGGATCGCAAGCATCCATAATAGTTCTAACGAGCCTGAGAAGGTTAAGTCGGACAACTGGCTTCTTGTGACCAAGCCGTTGCGCGATACCTGCAAACATTTCAGGCTTCGCTAGCGACGCGGCGACCGAAGGACTCAGACGCAGCAGCTTCAGCAGCGGTTCTAACAAGTTGGAGTCAAAAGAATTGACTCTGTTGGTACTGAAGCAGCTAACAATAGCCCTTGTAAAGCCACCATCCGCAAGATGAGACTCTACGTTGGCGGTCTCTTCCTGCAGCCAGACTAGAATAGCATCAAGCGCTGTGACCTGCCAATACTGATCTGTGAGTAATGATACGTAAAAGTTGAGACCCTTATTCTGCCATAAGTATCTGCGACCCTTGGAACCTGAGTGCGCCATGTCACAGAGTATGGGGAGAGCGAACTCCTTCGGTGGGCGGTCGGTCTGCATAATTCTGAGTAGTAGAGGAATAATGCCACCCACGGCTGCGTCCTCCTGTCGCTCTTTGCTGAGACGACAGAGGTTAAATAATGTGTTGAGGACCTGGTTAGAAATTTCACGGAAGTGTGTCTGGCCCTTCTTCATGCTGTAGCTAAGAAGATCGATCAAGAACTCGATGGCATCGGCTGAGTGGAGTGACTCGATTGTCGTCGAGAGCATGGAAAGATTCTTGATGAACTTCAGCATAGTGATCTGATGGATTGGCGTCATGCGCCGGAGATCCTTCAATACACTCTTCAGTACTTGCCGATCTGCAACGACCTCCTTGACGTAGTTTTCTGCTTGACTGAAGAGGTAGAAAATATTGACGATTCGACCTTCTACGAGCTCGCCAAGCTCGTCCTCGCCTTCTTCGTCAAGGACTCGGTGAAGGACGAGAGCCAAGGGGTATAGAATCTTGCTTCGTGAGAAGATTCTGCAAAAGTCGTTCTTAGGGGTTGGCCCTTGAAGCTCAAAGACATTCCAGATACCGTTGACCCCAATAAGAACAAGGTCTCGAGTAACATCGTAGTCCTCATCGAGGAATTCAACCAATACGTTCAGACCACCCGCAGATACAAACATCTGCAATGTCAATGTCGATGTCTGATACATCTGGCGAACAAAAGCCGCTGCCTCAAGACGAATCTCGTCCGAGTATTGGCGTGCGGCAAATTTGGTAATAATAGGAATACCGCCAACGAAACACAAGTTTTCCTGAATCTCCACATCATCCAAAATAATTGCGTTAACGACCTTAAGAAGTTGCAGGATCATGTATTGTCTGCTCTTGACAGTACAAGGCTCCAAAATCTCAAGGATAGGCAACAGCCCATGAGCACTGATGATCAGATTCTTGACTTCGTTGTTTTCCCAAAGTAAAGCAAGCTGTGGCATGTTAGCATTACTCCTTACCACATGATCAGGCAAGCACTTACCAAATCTTCTGAGAACTCGGCCAGGGCATCGTCGCCTTCTGTCGTTTTCAAAGACCTCACTAGATCCTCCACTCTTTCTGCTAATCTGGCGTGTCGATCTCGGGCAATGTTGGCCTCCAGGTCCATCTCATCCCATCCTGGGTCCATAGATGCAAACGGATCGTATTCATCCTCTTCGTCTCCTAGCCAAGAACTGCTCGACACGCGCGACATGAGCATTAGACCACCATCCTCGGACCCCTTCTCGCTCTCCTCTTTCTCCGCTATTGATGATTCCGGTCCGAAAACGTCGCTAAAATCTTCGTCGTCATCTTCCGCGAACTTCTGGATTTCTATCGATGACCGCGTCCGTCGCATCGGTGCATCAGGGAGAACCGAGGGTCGTGATAATGATTTCTTCTTTATGCTACCGGAGTCAGGGTTATGTGTTGACCTTGGTAACGATGTAAGATCAGATGGGTGAAACAGCTGTGGCGCATCGCTCTGTCGTGAGTTCTGTAATTGTGTAAGTCCTTGTTCAAGATCTTGACTCGATGAACCTACTCTTCTCACAGCCTGATTTGGATTGTGAGTGAAAACGTTGTCGCTATCCACAAAGAGATCCGAGAAGTCTTCCACGCTATGCTCCCGAAACGCAAGATCCGGTCTTGACGGTAGCTCGAATTTATTATTGAGATTGGATTTCGTAGGTGATCTGGTCCGGCCTCCACCTACGGCCTTGCTCGAACTCGATTTGTTTCGCGTGTGTGCTTTCACGGGATCCGGAACTCTAGTAGCCTTCCTAGGAGTTGGTCTGATCGTCTGTTCCTGGAGATCGCTGCTGTCTTGCCATTGACCTAACCCTTTTATGGTCATCAACTCTCCCTCGAAGTCGTCGTCATAAGTATTACTTTCGTTCCTTCCATCGTTTATTGAGGCGAATGCTTTTAGGCGATCACTCGATAATAAGCCGCCAAAGTTGTCCTGAGGCTTGAGATGGGGTAGCTGTAGCGCACTTGGTGAAATAGCCGTTGCAAAATCGTCGTCCCAGTTGTCGTCGTCTGCGGTACCATGAGAACTTAGACTTGAGACAGAGCTAGTATCACGATATGACCTACCGGCTAATTCAGGCTTACTGAAAGCTCCAGCGCCAGCTCGAAGTTTTGCATATAAACCACCCTTGGCAGGAGTTCCACCGTGGAACCTCGTTGAAGGACCAGTCTCAGAGCCCATCGATGATCGAAGGTTGGGCTCTGAAGATTTGAGAGCCTTGTTCCACTGCTTGACTTCCTCCACGGCATCATTGAAATTGGCTGGTTTCCTTGCTACTGGGGCTTCCTGTCGGCGACATCCTGTGATCCAAGCATGGCGAAGTAGTTTTCGGGCAGTTACACGGAGATTAGGGTCTTTCTGGAAACATTGCATTAAGAAGTCACGGGCAGCCTAATGAATCAGTAAAAGTAAACTCAAGGAACGGAAGAGTACTCACTGCGGAAATGCCTTCAGGCAGTGGAGGGTGATCGTCGTTGACAATTGCGAATAGGGCAGGCATCGCGGCCAGATTGTGATATGGAGGTTTCCCTTGAAGAAGTTCGATAACCGTGCAACCGACACTCCAGATATCAGATGCAGAACTCGCTCCAGAAAGCTGAATGATCTCGGGAGCCATCCAATAAGGCGTGCCGACAACCTGTGCCTCCTTATCTTGGCCGCCAGCAAGCGTGCTAGTTGACACTCCAAAATCCGCGAGTTTCACCGTACCATCCTTCGTGGTGAGAATGTTGGCGCCTTTAATATCTCTGTGTATAACACCCTGGTCGTGAAGGTATTGTAGTCCCTGTAGGACCTGCGTCATATAAACCCCGACCAGATTCTCAGGGAACTTGCCGTATGCCTTGCAGATTGAGTGTAGAGAACCATTTTCACAGTATCTAATTCCATTAGTTTCAAACTTGCAAAGGTAGTTCGGACTCGTACTCAAGAATGATGTTGAGGGCGTCAACTGATTTCACAAAACCGATATACTTGACGATATTGTCATGCTAGTATCGTTAGCTTCCGCATTCGATGTCACTGGGCTGATATTCCTACATGAAGATTCTTGAGAAGATCGATTTCACTCTAGACAGCACCCACACATGTTAGCTTCAAATCGCACAGTCAGGAACATGTATAGCTCGTTGGCGACCCACCTCGATCATGCGCAACTCACTCTTGGGCAGATCTGCAAGCTTGATCTGCTTTACCGCAACCGCCTCACCATTACCCCAGTTGAAGGCCTTATACACTGATCCAAAAGCGCCTTTTCCAAGACATTCACCTAAGCGCTATAAGCAGAAAAGGTAAACATTAGCATCACTTTCGCAAAAGTCTTGCGCCGCTTCACCGTTCAGGAACTAGGCGCCAGTCATAGGGTAGTACGAACATAGTCCTTCAGACCTGGATCTTGCAGGGCGGAACTCTCCCGAATCTTCTCTTTCCGTGAAGGTGTACCAGGCATAGATCGCTCGCGGGTGGCCATAACAGGACGGCCATTGGCGGCGTGGTACTGCCGCTCCGGCACCATATCTCAATAACTCCCTAGCTTCAACGATGCTCGACTTCGTTCGTAACCAGCTGAATTATGCTTCCTCGAGGATAGCAGAAGCAAGCGGCGGGGGATTGACGAAGTTTAGGCCCAGACAAAGGTGTCATTTCCCTTCGAGGATCGAATCAAGGGAGTGGAATGACGCAGGGCGGTCTTCGTTTCTACATACGAAATCGGATTCGACTATCGAGCTCTCGCAGTTTGAATATGACCGATTGTGTCGTCGTCGATAACCGGGACAAGGTAGGGCGTGCAATTCGGGCTCGCTAAAGAGCTGGGTCGACGTCGTCAGCGGTGGGTGATTGAGAGGGGAGCGAGGCAGCCCGTTCGTTTCGTTTCGTGGGATCGCTAACAGGGTTAAAGGAGGGACAAAGCGAACAGCAAGCGAATTAATGGATGCGTGTTGCTGGGGAAAAGGGAAGGGAAAGTGGAAGGGTTGAAAAAAAGAAGAAAAAGAAAAAAAGTGAAGGTGAAGAGGTGCACTGCTGTACCGCACACACTTGCGCTGTGCTGTGTGCTGTGCTGCATGCAACAACTGGGCGGAAATTTGGACCGGATCTCCAATCAATCATGCGCGCTTGAGGGACTCGAGCTGGACCAAGTCTCAAGGTGTGTTGTTTCTTGTCTCGCAACCTGACCTAACCAGTATCAGTCCAACCCAAAACCAGTACCAGTGGATGTCAACGCCTGGGGTTATGGGTACCTATCGGTACTGTACATCGTGGTTCGGCTGCTGACGGCGGGGGATTATGGATGCTCGGAGGGCCCGTGCCGCCTGCAAATCCAATCCCAGCGCTTCTCAACGCCCTGGCTGCCCACGCTTACAAGGCTGCTTGCAGGGCTAATCCCCCACTAGCTCGCTCTCGTGTGCAATCATCCATTCACAGTTGAACAGCAACAACATCACAGCAATCCATGCGTGATGGGTTATTTCACCATCAAAGTTCATGTACATGCCTCGATGACGATGTCAATCTCGATTTTTGTAACTCGGGACTAAGAGAAAATTTTGATTAGGCTGTTTTGGAATACCTAACTTGCAAGGCATATCCTTCTTTGAAACGGTTCATGCTTGCTCATCTCATTCAATACAAGACAAGACGACGACGCATGGATGGATGCTTTCAGACATGTCCAGGATTCCAGTAACATACGTCTGCTAATTCCCTTGACAAAGTCACACAATCCTTAAGCAGTCTCAAAGGCATGTTCCGTAATTCTAACAATGGACACACTGACTGAAACGCCTCACCGTTAGCCAAGTCCAAAGGAATGTCCTCAAGTACAACTAATCTGCTAACAACTTGGCTCATGAACACAAGTCTCAAGACATCCGGGTTGTTACTCTTTCAGCCTGCTCCTCCGACGCCTCAATTACTGCTTGTGTCAAAGATCGCTCTATCACCTGTAAGCGGAACAACCAACAACTCTTAGAATCTAATCCCCTGCTCGAGTCTTGGGAGCCACTAATGCGTCTCATCCTGATCCCGGGTACAAAAAGAGCAAGGTCAAGGCCGCCAAGCTTTCCCGATCTGCTTTACCATGAATGGCTTGCTGCCTGCTAAGTTGAGTTAAGTTCATCGTCTTGTGAACAAGGACTGCAGAGACGTTATCGTATCTCAGCCCGACGATCTATCGTGCACGGAGGTTCCGTTTTCGTGAGCTGAACCATAAAACTGAAATTGCATCTCATTTCGGTGCAAAGCGCGCATTGCGTGACGCTGGCATGACGAGGCCTCACGCCCTCCATTCACGAATGAAGTTTGAGACATTCACCAATGCGGTATGTGTTGATTTATGACATCAGTCATGGGGAGTAGTTAAGTTCACTCTACTTCTGGCTCCAAGACAAAAATACCTCCGAGGAGCACAAAGTGGAACCAATCAAGATATATCTATACTTGACCTGCATGGTATGGTTGTGCTTGGAGTTGTGTTTACTCACAGAACCTTACTTATCCCGGCCAAAGGGAATAATAGACTTCGATGATTTCACCAGTCTCATGCTGGACCGTTGGGCCGTATCAAAGATCAAACAATCTTGCCTGATATCAACCTTATGTTCTCGTATTCTTTACTTATGACTCTTCAAACAGCACGTAGCCGTCCCGAAGACAAGGCCCTTCAAGCCACCTAAGAACGAAACCGCCCGGTTAACATACAATCTCAGGCCTGGCCACCGGCCACCTTAGATAGCCCTCGCACTCGCTGATCGATCAGTCAATTCACGTGGTTACACGACCAAGGATTCGAAGATGGCGGCATAGTGTACCTTGCCTCTCATTAGATTTTCTTGGTGCTCTACGTAGAGCCAAGCTATGAACGAACATACAGTTATAATACAAGTAATCAGTTCCGATCCTGCTCCGCTTTTCCTGTATAACGCCTCGGGCCTGTCCTGTAACACAGGCGCCCATTTCTTCAAAGTACCGCTGAAGATCGAATAAAAATTGACAGCACCAGTTCCTTCTATTCCGTCCCATCACCAGGTAGGGTTCGACTGAGGCCAGCCCCAGCCCACCATTCATCGGGGATATCCTCGCGTCGCGCCAGGCTTCGCACAATATGTTGCATGCTCATCCAGTCTTCGTCCCCAGCATGCGTGGTGCTTCCAGATGCTGCAGGGCTCTCTTGGTTATGTCTTGTTCGTTCTGAGGGTTGTTCGTCATCCGAGTTGCCTACAGACAGATGTCCCACCCAGGCTTGACGCGATCGTAGAATACCATCTCGATTTGTGCGATCTCGAATCGATCTGGCACGTCTCAAGTTGTCGGTCGCTGGGCCATCTGCGGATCTTCGGGGTCTCGGTCCCCAAGTGACTGCATCCCTGTCTCGAGCAGCCCTTCTACCCGCAGGGCCATCAATGCTAAGATCGGGCACCCGTACGCGAACACGTCGCATCTCCTCTCGACGTCGTCGAATTCGATCCAATACAGTTTGAGTATGATCGTGTTCCTCTGTCTCAGAGCCTTCACAGCCAGACTCACAGGCTTGGTCTACTGTTGTATCCAGATTCACATGAGGGGCATGAAAAGAGTCGCCAGCCATGACGCCTGCGCTCTGAGAAGCAATGTTCGAAGCAAACGAAGACCCTGCGCTGGGCGGCTGAGGATCAGGGGTCAGGGTAGACAGAAGAGTTTCCCATGGCTCGGCGCTGATGCTTCTTTCACGGTCACCAAGCCCATCGGCGTACCGACTGCGCAGTCGCGGTTGCGGTACTACCGTTGAACGAAAGCCGTCAGCCGAAAGATCGCGCAACGAAACCTGCAACGAGATCGGGGGAAGCCTTGGACCCTCGTCATCCTCAGGAACTGGTCGGGGAGGCACTGGCCTTGTCTAGTTTGAGTGTTAGCACAATTTTAACTCGAAATTGATACCCGGGGGTATCAAATTCATAAACTCACCATCGCAGATCCCGGCCAGTGAAATCTCTGGTGACTTGGAGGAGCATATGGATTTTGACCAGGTACAGATGCACTGGTGTTATCTCTAAATAAGGAGTGTAGATGCTCTTCAATTCGGCCTCTTCTAGGCTCGTCGGATGCATTCATGTCTCTTAGCACATCGCGCAACGGCCTTGTCGCAGGGTCGCTGTCAGGTGGGAACCCAGCTTCAATCCACGGTACGGACTGGCCATCTCGGTCGGTCAAAGAGCTGGATTGTTGTAGTGAGCCGTCTGCGAGGCGCTCACGGAGGGAAATGCGTCGGAGGGCTGCGGCGCGGCGTTCAATACGTGTGCGACGGATACTGGAGCGGGGTGGCGATGTCGCACTGCACTTGTCGGCAGTCTTAGACTGGACATCTGACTCGACGGGGGCAATGAATAATCTGCAATAACGGGTTAACAAGTGCACATTTTGGCGGAATGAGGCCTTCTACTGCGACGATTATGCAAAGGACGAAGCGGACGATATTAAATAACGGCTAAGCGCATTCGCATTCGCAAGTTCAGCAGCGAGCCGTTGCGCTGATGTAGTGAAGCAACGGTGATAGCGACGACAACGAGATCGATCGACCGGGGCATCACTACGTCGGCGCAATGACAATGAAGGTACTGGATGGGGTCATAAAAAAACAAGGATGCGCTTACGGGAGGCCCATGGTTGGAAATTTTGAAAGCGAATGACAGGACCGACGAAAAAAGCCGAATAATAATTCAAAACGTTTAAGAAGAATATGTCGAAGATTGCGAAACGGTTTTCATGGATGGAATATGCACTTCGATATAACGGCGATGATGTCGTTGCCCGGATACGCAATAAAGTTGATAAAGCCAGACGAAGGCGTGAAGCGTGAAAGCGGGTAATTAACCAGTGGAGAGGATGAAAGAACGGAGTGGGCAGTGGGCGAAGGGGGTTGCGTTGCGGGGGGGTCAAGGGATAGAGGGAGCAATAAAACTGGAAAGCCAATTAGAAGAGCAAGAGCTATTGCGGCTCTAAAGCGGCTTCGCGTGCGCGTTGACTTCACGTGTATCGTGTTTGATCAGCCAATCAACACGAGCCCGAGATTTCGCTAGAATATAGCTTGCACCGCCACAGACTGCGCCATATCAGACCACTTCCATCGGCATTCGGGAGTCGGGACCGTGTGGCTGGAGCTCAATGACCAAATACCCCACTACTTTCAACATCAATTGCCCCCGGTGAAAATTAATGGCCTTACGGAGTCAAGACTCATTCATGTCTTGACGTCGATGATAATCCGCAACTTTCAATCATCACCCAATTTCATCACCTCGCCCTGGGATAGCTTCAACCAGCATCTCAGGAGCCTCAAACGGCATTAGTGAACCCTAGCGCCGGGCTCTGGTGAGATGCCGTCTCACTTGAACGTTCAATATGTCTTCCAGTCAGGAAATCAAGTTCGCTCTTAACCGCATCAACCGTGTCTTGAAAGGAAAGAGAACAGAAGGCTACAGAGATATTCGACTGGGTCTGGATCGCATCCAACGTGTTGTTCCCAAGATTCAAGATTGGAAGGGAATCCATGTTGCTGGAACGAATGGCAAAGGCTCAATATGCACCTTTCTCGCGGGCATGTTCAAAGGTGCTGGTATCGGTTACGGAAGCTTCACATCACCTGCTTTTCCAGAGAAGCATAATGGAGTCACCATAAACGGCCTTTATGTAAATCCACGCATGTACGAGATGGAAATGCAGCATGTTCAGGAGAAATGGGACCGAGTTGCCACTGGTTGGGCAAAACAGCATGGTGATGATCCAAAAGGCCTGTCTCCATTCGAAGCCGAGACGGCAACAGCATTCCGGGTTTTCAACAAGATGCACGTTCCTTATGGTATTGTCGAGGTTGGTATGGGCGGTGCCACTGATGCGACCAATGTCATGAAGCACAAGGCTGTTACTGTCATTTCCAAGATCGGTCTTGATCACCAAGAATACCTCGGCAACACCATCGAAAACATCGCCAAAGTCAAAGCTGGAATCATGAAAAAGGGTGTCCCCTGTATCGTTGACCACACTAACCTCCCTTCTGTCATACATGTTCTCCGAGAGCACGCCCGATCAATAGGCACAGATATTATTCTCACATGGAAAGGCGAACCTTTACTCATGTCCCTCGACAATTCAAAATGGCAGCTTGAGAGTTACCAAGTACAGAATCTTTTGTGTGCAGCCATGGCCTTTCGTCAGCTGTTTCCGTTACAGCAAGTCAATTTTGACAAGCTTTTGGCAACGGGTCCCTTCCTACCTGGTCGATTAGAAACAGTTCGTGTAAATCCGCCTGCTTCTGGAGTCGAAGCTCGAGATATCTTGGTTGATGGTGCTCACAACATGCTGGGCATTGAAACATTGGCCGACCATGTCAACAAGCGTTTACGGACTCCGGAGCAGCCAGTGACTTGGGTTATGGGCGTGTCAGCCAGCAAGGATAAGCCTCTGCTAGCCATCATCGAAAAGCTCGTCCAGCCCCACGATAATTTTGCTATGGTCGAGTTTACTCAAGGCCCCAACGATCCTCAACCAGCACCCGCAAACTACGGTACTGAGCACGCCAGAACCTTTCTTCAAAACCCCGAACAAGTCTACGACGGAGAGCCTGATATTTCGAGCGCGCTGCCTTGGGCATGTGACAAGGCCAATGGCGGGCCTGTCGTTGTGACAGGAAGTCTGTATCTGATTCGACAACTATTGTCGCTGAAGGGTATTCGCCGAACAAGGGAGCTAGGTACTAGAAGACCTGGACGTTCTCAATTATATCGATATACTAAGCTCGCCAGGGAGGGAAAGCTCACAAAGGCTGAGCAACGTGAGTTCAAAGAAGCAAGACGACACTTTGAACTATCGCCCCATCGAAGCCGGATCTTCAGCGACAAACGCGAGCGAGGATATCTCCGACCCAGAGCGCAACCAGTTTCCAAAAGAACGAGATCACTCCAGAGAGAGGTTGCGTTCCATGCAAACCAGCGACGAAGTTATGAACAAACCATCAAGGCTCTAACGAAAGATTTGAGAGACCTAGATCGGAGGAAGAAGAACCCTAATCCCCAAGGCCCAGTTGCGAAACTAGTAGCTCGTATCGACGATTTGAAGACTCAGGTTGCCCAGCACAAAAAGAGACACAGCGAAACCATGGCCCAATTAAGAGGGTACGAAGCTATCCCGCACATGAAATACAAGACCCATACCCAAATCTTCGGGTACCCCAAAAAGCCCAAAGCACCAACCCAGTCCCCCTTCAAGGTCGATGAGGAGACTGCCAAGTCCTCTAAGAAGAAGGGAAAGCCCGTTATGACGTGGAAAGATAGAAGAGAGAGTTTCACTGAGGAGGTTGCGGCGGCTGAGAGAGAGCGAGCAATGGCGACCCGAGAAGCTGCAAGGACGAGAGCGGCAAAGGACAGTGCCGACCCCCAGATGGCTGGCGGCAGGAGAGTTTCGTGAGGTTCGAACGACTTATGAGATGGCTGGAATGTTTTGGATACCTAAAACTTGACTGTATTATACAAAGCGAATGATAGAAGGGTCAGGATTTGGGAGGAGAAAGTGTATGGGACAAGTCTGTACGATAGGAGAATTGAGGGTACTGCCCATCCTGATCTACCATAAACCTTCTCTTGATGTGAGCATGAATTTGACTGCTGTAATCTTAAACAACTCAAATGTCCCGGCTTCGTATATCACATGATCAGACCCTCACCGTAACTCACGGCTTCTGAATCCCCTCATGGCATTATACTTCATCGTTAGCCAACTCAGCACTCACTTATCCGCACCACCATGACATCCACAGATTACACGCACCTGATCATCGTCTGCTGCCACGGAGTTTGGCTCGGCGGCCCGACACGTGGCCAAGACGAAAATGAATGGCTCATAGCTGACTTTCAAAGAGGCGAGACTCCAACTTTTGTTGAGCATATCAAAGCCGGGGTGGCAGCCCTCTCCGAAGATCTATACGCCAGGCAACACCATACAGATAAAGACATCGGGTTTCGAACTGATACGCAATTTGATCCCCAATCAACAAAGTTTTCAAAGTCATGGCTAGTATTCTCTGGGTATGTATTTTGATGCTTGAGCATGTTCTGATGTACTGACAATGCTGTCAGAGCCGCAACACGCAAAGAAACACAGATTTCTGAGGCAGCTGGGTACAAGAACATCGCAACCGCGAATGATTACTGGGGTCTATTGTCAGATGAAGAATCTCGAAAGTCCGTATTATTAGAAGAGCGCGCTCTCGACTCCTACCACAACATCCTCTTCTCCCAGTCACTAATCTACTCTCGCTTCAAAACATTGCCGACGCACATCACCATCGTCAGCCATGGCTTTAAGAAGGAGCGGCTTGTGGATGGGCATTGCTCAGCTATAGGACTCGACCTCAACCGGGTCAACTTTATTGGTATAGACCCACCTGGGATGACAGCGGCGTCGAAAGATCAGGACAAGGAGGATGCGATGAAGGGCGTTGGGTTGGCTTTGGGAGAGTGGAAGGATGATCCGCATGGCACAGGTGAAGTTCTTGCTGGTAAGAGAGCTAAGAGGAATCCTTGGGGCGTGTGGCAGGGCCATTTCCCTGAGGGCTTTGATGATAGTGATTTGGCTTGTAAGAAGTAGAGTGGGCGCCAAGTCTTCAACACATAGATGATCCGACTCTAAAGATTTCTGTCTATCAACGATCTATATATCCATGCTGTGCCTCTATAGAACGCTCTTCGCTCCTTCTCTTGTCTGGCTCTTCCCTCGTGGTCCTTTCTCAACAGCATTCACCAAGAACCGCACAGCATCCTCCACCATGGCAGCACTGAATCTATGTCCAATACCCTCATATACTCTATCATCAAGTTCCACGCCTCCATCACGGTACCAACCCTTCTCACCCACTGCCTCTTTCAGCATCGTGACGAAGGGCTTGGCATTCGCATATGGAACTAGAGCATCATCGCCCCCTGAGCAGAGAAGTAACTTCTTGCCTCTAATGCGCTCATCCAAGATACCTCGTAGGCGAGACTGCTCGGCATCTGATAGAGATCCAGATGGGATGGGTGAAGTACCAAAGAGTAATGTCTTGGGGTCGTGAGAGCAACAGGTTCCGATGAGATCCTTGGGGAAATATTTGCTTCCGATGAAATCAACGCCGCAGTCAAGATTTGCTTGCGCAGCACGATCGCTCATAAGACCTATCCTCTCATTAGCTTCATCCTCTCCTCATTCTCATCACAAACTTACTCTGGAAATCAGGACATCCAATAATCACCACGGCCGCATCAATCCTCTTCTCTCCAAAGAAAGCTTGCCAAGCACTATGTCCGCCCAAGCTCCATCCCAAACAAACATGAGCGTCAACTTCACGACCCAAATATCCAGAAACAAGATCCATCAGATTTCTCATGTCAGACACGCCACCCTTGACCATACCAAACATGTCAATAGCATGCGTCACATTGCCTTTATCCCAGGCATGGTTCGCTTCTTCACTGACAAGTCTGGTTCCATGATTGGGCATGTCAAAGGTCAAAGCGATGAGACCCCGCTTGGGGTTTTCGCCAGCGTGTGACGTGTATGCTGAGATGGTACGTTTGGCGATATCGTGCATTCTTGCTCGTGTTCTGGTCCTAGGGTGAAGCAGCCAGAGACATGAGACTGGGACATTGGCAGGCAGTTCCTCAAGGCCGTAGACGTCGACGAGCAGGCCCGCCATAGGGATCGTCTTGACGGAGATGGAGGGCGGCTCCGGTAAGCCCTTTGTTGTATATGTTTCCGCCATTGTTATATGTCTTGTTTGTACGATATAGAGATTGTTACGTTGTTTCAGTAAGGTTGCGCTTGATATCACAACTGGTAGTCGCTGAAGATCGACATGTGGGTCTAGGGTAGCGGAGTAGGTATTTGTCACGACATTTCTGATTGCATCATATCGTGGCAGACAGCTAAATAATACACATAGTAGAGAAATCCAGGCCGGTATTGAATCTCTACAATATTCTCCGGATGGAAACTCGACTTTGTTTGTTGGTTTCTGCGTTGTGTTGGCGTTGTGTGGATGATGTTGCCAGAACACGAAGAGCGCAGTCTGGCAAATCAATTTATAAACCCTCAGAAGGACTGACCCCTGGAGGCATAAGGGACGGAATAAATTGGCCACTTTATGCTAGCTTAGACTAGCAGTTAGGCTACTTTATTATGAAAGCCTAAGCCTTAGAGGACAATTCTTCTGTTATGCACCTGTAAACACAATAGTTCGAGATAAACATGTTCAACCTCGCCAGGTTCCAACAAAGACTGGAGAGAGATCATGAATCCAAACCAATAGTATTCCGGTATACTTGAGTTCACAGAATCTATTGTGTATCTGCTTAAGACACTACCCATACTTACAAGATTTACATCAACAACACAATCTTAACAGTTCAAAATAGTTATTAATTCACGCAATGTCGCGATTGCCTCATCACCTTAAACTAACGTTTAAAAAAGGTGGGATAAATAAGCCAACATCATCAACATCCATCGCCATGCTGCTAGAAAAAGCAGGAAAACAAAAAGACAAAAAAGAACCAAAAAAAAGAAACTGCCCAGCCCTTTCCTCAACGCCTTGTGCGGTATCCGTTTGCCCACTTGCCTTATTCCCAGCCCAGCCCAGTCCAGTTCCTTTATGCTGCCTGCGAAGAAACGTGCGTTGTTTCGAAAAATAAAAAGGGAAGAGAGGAAAGAAGAAAAGGAATTGGTTGCGTGTCCCCCTTCTAAAGTGTCTTCTATAACCGGCTGTGGTTCGAGAATACACCTGCATGTGTCTGTAGTAGTCTGCCGACGGGGGTATATGTCGGCATTCATGTTCGGGTAATCTTATTGCATGAAGCTTAGTCGACCTTCCAGTGATCATGCTCGTCGGAGCCAAGGTAGAGTTCGACACCGTACAACACCATGGTTAGTCCGATGTTGGCCCATTGCCAGTTGCTGCCTTCGGGATCACCGCCCCTCAGCGTCCAGCCATCAGGGCCGTCACTGGTGGTGAAATGTTGTAGGAGCAGACTCGTGTAGACAGCTATTAAGATTGAGGGTGAGAACCAGCTGAGGAATCCCAGAAGTTTGCTGGCAGTCTCTCCATCTTCCCAATCAGGCTCCTGCATCATAGCTCGCGCACCCGATTCTCGAATTGAAGGGATGATTCGTGTAGCGCAGTAGAATACTAATGAGCGGTAGGTTAAAGAGATGATGACTGAGGGTGTGATGGTTTGGAAGGCCGCATATAGCAGGGCCAAGGATGAGTGGACGGCATAGGGCAATGAACCCAGCATGTGAAGGAAAGTTGAGTAAGATGCCATGATGACAGGTGGCAGAGGAGGAATGTCAGATTCGGAGTTCTCAAGGCCTTCTGTTTGGTCTGCATTCTCAGACGGTAGGTAATCCGTAAAGATTTGGTAGATGCAGAGGACGATGTAAGCAAAGAGAAGCGATGATTCGATAGGATTGCCGCGACCACTGCCGATACCAAAGGCGCACAGGAATACGGCAGTTGTCATTGCAATGCCGATTAGGGTGGCATCGAGGTTGCCAATTTGAGGGAATTGTGCAACTCTCCAGAGGAAGTAAACGGCACTGGCCATGATGGAGCTGGAGAGAACCAGAAGGACAATCTGCGAAATTGTTAGCATGCGATAGACTCAAAAATTCTTCAAAAAACGTACCAGCCAAGTATCACTTCTTCCACGGTTGACGAGCCACCTGGTAAGTTGTCCTGCGGCTTGGATGACCAGCAAGGTACAGAAACCCTCCAAAAGCTGGAAAACGGGCCCCGAATACCGTAGCACATTATCCCATCCACCCAGCGTGACCGTCTCAATCAGACCATCTCTGCCAAACATCCATTCCCTCCAGCTTGTGCTTTTGGAGTTGAACAAACCACCCACTGTTCGCTCCACCCAGTTTGTGTTGCCAGCGTCAACAGCAAACTGGCCCAGTGCCCAGATGAGAAGGGTAGGGATGATGATCCATTGCGACAGTCGTAGGAACCCAGAGAGGAAATACCGCGAGCGTGACTTTTCGGGCGTCAAAAGCTCAAGGCTAGAGTATATGAAGTAGAAGAGGAAGAGGGCTAGACTGTAAGCCAGCCCACTGTCGCGACCGCCGACATCGAAGGCGACGGGAATCGAGAGGACGATGCTGAGCAGGAAAATGGAGCTGAAAAGCGCCCTGAATAGCCACCACATCTGAGCGAAGAGATGGCAGGCGTAGGCCGCGCCGAGGAGGGTATCGGGATCGTTTTCGTTGCGTTCAGCGGTTGTGCGGTTAAGCGATAGCGGAGGATATCGTGACAGCTAAAAAGATCTCGCCCGGTGGTGTGGAGTTGCTCAAGGGGAGTTTTTGCCCATCGATAAGGCTCGTTTCGATCTGGCTTGTGAAAGTGCGTGCGATATTATTTTAAGGCCGGTTCACTAGCGAGAGGGTCCAGGCGGGACGGAAGATACAGAGCTCGAGCAGGGTAAAGTTGAGGTTGACAAGACACGACAAGACAACAGACGGTCAGTTCCCAAAAGTTGGCGGTTGACTGGTCTGAAATTCACGGTACGTAGCGTAGCTCTAACAGTGGTTCTCGGCTGTTGCTGGATGTTTGAGTGTGACTTGCGCACACGGCGATGCAATGTGGCTAATCGAAGTAGCTGCCAATTTTTGCTTATCGTCTGCTATCTTCACGTGGTAGAGAACAGCGTAGCAAACTGTAAGGTAGCGCATTTACAGGGCATCACATCATTTCACCCAGAAGCTCAGGCCAGCCACAGCGTCACTCGGCCGCTAAAACAAGTTGACGGGGGTAGAAGCTTTCTGGGTGACGATTGGCACGTGTCACTCGGAAAGAGTCAAGAGCTCTTCACTTATCTTTGATCGAAACAACATCAAATAATGCTAATGCACGGTAAACCAAGTTTCAGATCATAAAAAGACAGGTTTATTGTTTCTATTTTGGACTGGATTGACCAAGCAGAGACGACGGGAATGAACTGGGTTGGGTTGATGCATAGCGTCACATCGACTTGATAGGCCTGCAGCACATCTTCCAAACAAGAAAGCAGATCAGTACCTACATGCAGCAAGGAAGGATCAGGAACGATGACAGCATCAATAGGTAACCCTCTATTAAACACCTACGTTGCACCGATGACCAGGCCATCTCCTTCTATTCTAGTCTCGCTGAGAGTTGCAAGTCTCCTGGTCAGCAAGACAACACATTATATTAGACCCATCACGAGATTAAGATAAAAGGACCCTGAGGATCACGGATCCTAAGTAAAAGAAATAAGGTTCATGATAAATCATATTTGGTATGGTTTGTTTCTTGTCATGAGCTCCAGGCTCCAGCACATCGTGACTTTCGCTTACGGATATACTAAAATCCGTGACTTCCTAGCCTGGAAAACACGGCCTCCACTCTTGCCAAAGACTCGTCTCCACGCCGTATCGTATCACGAGTTTCTTACTCCTTCATCATCACAACCCCCACGTCGCATCAAATCCAACAGTTCTTCGATTCTTGTTATTCCGACCGAATGATATTTCGATATTGCGACATCCCGACAATTTTTTATCGCTACTTCCAAAAGATGCTGCGTATTAGTGCCAGTGCCACAATACTCGTGTCTTTACATGCAACATTTCGAACTTTTCACACTCTGCCCATGCTTTGATTCAGTCATGAACCTTTTGCCTTGCCTCGCATGCCTCCATGAAACTAACACAGATCTATTCCACAAACTCTGAAAATTTGCCCTGCTCCTTTCCATTCCAATAACACTCGCTCAATTATCAATTTTTGGCTCATTGATTTAATCGTTTGGTAGCTGGATACAGCATGGCACATTGTGTTTGGACATTAAGCAATGTCGTATTCATATAGATGTAGCAAGCGCTATGTATTTTGGGAAGGAATTGCGATGTACCATTTCCTTCTGCTTTGTACGGCTGTTGCATAAGACGAGTCGCGTCGTGTTGAGACATCCATTAGCTAGTGCTGGCCTCTCAGATAATTATATGCATTGCAAGTGCATTTAATTATCATTCCCTTCATTCTGGATGCGAAAAGGATTTCGTGTTCTGTCGGCAAGTCGTTTCCTGTTGGTGGTGTTGGCCGTGTGGGCATATTGGTGGTGACGACATATTGTGGTGGTGATGGCTTCAACTCGTTGAGGGGAATTAATTGAGGGCGGGGATGTATCGCGGCAACACCAAAACACTTGTGAATCATCACGGCGCTGCGTTTTGCGGGAAACGAAAAGCTTCACGCTGGTGCAGTGCAAGATGCTGCCGCCAACGGCCCACCAGCTGCCACCCGCCCGCCAGCCTGCGATGCCTCAACCACCACCAAAAGCCTCACCGCATCACCACCACTCCTCCCACCAGGAGGGCTACGACCTGCCAATCCTATATATACTGTCAGATCTACCCTTCCTTCCACGGGGGAGCAGGGGCGCTGGGGTAACCAGTCAGGTCAAACTGTTCTCGCCGGGTGGTTAAGGGGATCGACTTAATAACAATACGACGACTAACTTGACGACAACCCACATTCGAATCCTGACGACAACTGAAAACACAAAAAATCGACGACAATTGAAGGGGGTGCAGACGGCGCTGGGGTAACCAGTCAGGTCAAACTGTACCGCCCGGAGGAGAGTTGGACAACAACAATACCCGACGACCCTGAGTAACAGCAACAACAAGCACCCATAGATCGACAGGGATGTAGGGCCGTCCGGGGCCCGAACCCTTTTGCTATTTTGACCTATGGTATTTTTTGCACTGGGGTTTAATATGTAGTGGCATGCGATATGCGCTGAGTTAGTATGTAATTCTAGTAGACTGTAAAAGTTACGTAGGAACTATAATACTTTCTGTCTGTACTATGAAAAACCTAACTAGAGCTTGATTCTAAAGAAAGAGAACTGCTATAGGTGTATAATATACTGAACTAAATTACTATTAAGAGAGCTTAAAAAATAAAGAATTAAAATCTTGAGATTGATTTGAATTAAACGTGATACCTGTGATAAAGATATGAAGTTGAAAAATGTCTTGTTCAATTGGTTGGAAACTCGATCGCCCAGAGATCGCCCAGCCCTTGGCACTAGCTTGGCAATAACCTCGTCGCAAGTGGATATCAGACAACACCACGGACGCTCACGACATTTTTCTCAAGTAATAAGCTTAAACGGCCCACAATCACACGGACATGCGCTCTTGCCAGCAGGATAAAACTCCCCGAGCTCCCCGTCACGGACAAGAGGCGATGACATGAAAGAACTGGTACTCAATCGCATGATCGGACAATTCGAGAACATCCCGACGAGCCGCAAACTATTGTTCTAGCCTGAATGTCGCCTTCCAAGGATCCAATGATGTGACACCAGGGACTGGAAAGAACTGACCACTCTCAGCTTTGTTGATGGGAGTAAATGTTTCGAGTTCTCGGGTCCTCTTGGCCTAGTCGGGACAACGCACCAAGCTACGGCCTTCATTAAACTCAAAGATCACGTATTCTTATAGTAAATCACATCATTCCTGATCAACTCCCCGTGAACAGTGGGACGAGCGAGCATTTGATAACGGCTGGGAGACAACACATCACATCCAGGGTCCAAGGTCTAGGGACCAGCCGTCCAACACCAGAAGATAAGGTTGTTGCAGAAAGGATACTCAAAAGATAGAGTGAGACCGAGGTAACATCTAGCCCTGCATTCTGCAAGAGCTTGCATCACAGCGCTGATCAGTCCCTCAGTTACATGCTGTTGGTTCCAAACCAGATGCCCTCCCTCATCATGAGTGACAGCAGCGTCAGGGTGTCAGAAGAATTCGCTACTAAACTCATAAGGGACGAAATATATGATAACCTTATGATAGCTTAGGCCAGCACTTAGGCTACTTTATTTTGGTAGCCTAAGCCTTAGAGGACATTTCTTCTGTTACCAACGTAAGCAGCTGCATGATCATCCACCTGACGAGCGCCTCGTTCAATAGTCGATTATTGCGCAGTCGCTGCTTGAATTGCGTGCGACCCTTCAGCTGAAGCTCGTGAGCTTATCTTCTGGGACCAACAATAGAGACAACTTGCAGATCGAGCTACTGCAATTGGCCTTGCCTCTTCGACGTGCAAGTACGTAAAAACTACGTCTTTTTGCCATCAGAATTTAGAGCTCAGACCCGGGGCTAAGAAGCTATGACCCGACCCAGTCTGTAACCTTGGAATTGTTTGGGGCAATGCGGAAAACTGAGATTTCGATTCGGGATAATAGAAACAGTGGAACGAATAAAATTCTTCGACTAGCACTGCAAATCTTTGAATATTTTCATCGTCCCAGCTTGACTTCGCTTGCAAGTTTAATCGCCATGTTTCCTGAAATCTGGGGATAGCTTGGACCTCAAGCCCCTGCCAGGCAGACGTTTAAAACCAGTGATCGACCAGACGGAGGCTCCGGTAGGTTTTGCGTTTTAAACGATGATGTGACCCAAATGGGATTTACTGGCTGACGTGCAGCTTCAGTCTGGGTCGTCGGGGTTATTGACAGGCCTAGTACGGATGTTCGGCACATCGCGTGGGCCGAGTGGGGGCACCGTTCGCCGTTCCGTGTGGATATACGACGGCTATTTGTCTGCACCTATCTAACATTAGTAGACATTTGGCTGCACTCCGAGGTGTGTGGAACGTGTGATCCTCCATGAGTGGTGTGTTGCGTAGCACTTTGAGAGTCAATGTCATCTTAGCGCGAGCTTTGCTAGAAAAGAGGACCAAAGAGGAGTGATAAGGAGGACGTCCGAAGGGGCAATTGCAGAGACTGACGACTAAACAACTCCCAATTTCAGTCTAGCAGTAAACCTCCACGCCCTGGGTAGGGAACAGGCTCTTGAACCTTGCGTGTGTGGCCAACAGTAACTTGGAAGGGATCGTTGGCATCGTAACCTGTTGTAGAATGTAGGGATAATGTCTGAGAAGAGAGATTTTCCCCAGACCTTTTAAATGCAGGCTGGTTCCCATTCTTTTCTGCAACCTTCATCCAGCACTTGCCTATTTGTGTTCTGTGCCTGGCTCTTATTCTTCTTTTGATCTTATTGCGATATCATCATCGCTAACTTGGTGATACATCGGTATCCCAGCCCCACATACAACACCATTTAACTGTCCCAACAAACACTTGCATTGTGTTTCGACAGATCAAAATGGCCGAAAAAGGATCCCTTGGTTCTGGAAGCGGAAGTCGAAGTCCTGACCCTGAGCGTCGCCAATCTGAAGTTCAAACACCCTCGTCGCGATGGGCATCTCTATTTGGTGGGGCAGGCGTCACTGTCGGTCCTCGTATTGCTGATCTCCCCGAATTTGTGAGACGTGATTTTTCCGACTCAGAAGAATCCAGCTCTGCCATTCTCGATAAGCAATTGGCTGCAGAGCAAGGAGAGGCAATCCAATACCGCACTTGCTCATGGCAAAAGACCGCTGGGTTGCTCTTTAGCGAGTACATTTGCCTTGCTATCATGAGTTTCCCTTGGTCGTATAGTGTCCTCGGCTTGGTGCCCGGTATCATCCTCACGATCGTCATTGCTCTCATTGTTCTGTACACCAGTCTCGTCCTCTGGGAATTTTGCCTCCGCCACCCAGAGATGCGCGATGTCTGCGATATTGGCCAAATGCTGTTTTGGGGTAAGAAGTGGGCTTGGTGGGCAACTGCTGTTTGCTTCATCCTCAACAACACATTTATCCAGGGTCTCCATGTCTTGATCGGAGCCAAGTACCTCAACACCATGACCGAATCGGACGACATTGGTGGCTGCCGAACCGTCATGTTTTCAGCTATTGTTGCCATCATCAGCTGGGTTTGCTCACTTCCTAGGACTTTCGATATGTTGGCCAAGCTTGGAACAGCCTCGGCCTTCTTCACCTTCATTTCCGTGTTGCTTGCTGCCATCTTTGCTGGTATTCAAGACCACCCATTCGGATACGACCCGGCAAAGCTAGGCGAGCCTCTCGTGACCGCCATCCCAGTCAAAGGAACGACCTTTGTCAACGGAATGTCCGCCTTTCTCAACATCAGCTATACCTTCATCGGCCAGATCACCCTGCCAAGTTTCATTGCTGAGATGCGAGATCCTCGTGACTTCCCCAAGGCTCTTTGGGCGTGCACAATTGCCGAAATCATCGTTTTCAGTCTTGTTGGAGCCATCGTATACGACTATACTGGCAACCAGTATGTGACAGCACCGGCCTTTGGCTCGCTGGAAGATCTGTACAAGAAGGTCTCGTTCTCGTTTATGATCCCGACCATCATCTTCCTCGGTTGTCTGTACGCTTCCGTTTCGGCTCGTTTCGTGTTCTTCCGCCTTTTCCGCAACTCGAAGCATCTGAACAGCCACACTGTTGTTGGCTGGGGATCTTGGAGCGGTATTCTGCTCGTGACCTGGGTTTTTGCTTTCATCATTGCCATGGTTATCCCATTCTTCAACTCCCGTAAGTACTGCGCGTAACAGAGACTAGTACCGACAGAAGCTAACATTCGCTCTTAGTTCTTTCCGTGATGTCATCTCTGTTCGATAGTTGGTTCGGCTTCATCTTCTGGGGTGTTGCCTATTTCAGAATGCGTAAAGCTGATCAGGCAGTTGGCCGACATCACAACAAGATTGCCGATCTTGCTGGTAACATCTTGAACTGGATCTTGATCGCGATTGGTATTGTGTTCCTGACAGTTGGCACGTATGCCAGTGTGCAGGGCATTATCGATCAGTATGCGGCCGGCACAGTATCTGGCGTCTTTTCTTGCCCATCAAACGGTCTTTAATGAGTACATGAAATGAAAGCGAAAGGAATGATTTATTCAGATTGGAGAGCAGAGGAGCTTCGAAGAAAGAGATAACAAGTAGATACCCCAGATGGTCAGTCAGGCATGTGCAGTTGGCAGTGTTTCTCGATCAAGATACAAAGGCGGGCCATATTTTGTCGCAGGTGACGCTTGTGTGAATTGATAAGAAATTTCGAGTTGTTTTCCACCGTGATGAATGATAGAAGTGAAGCTGACGACGTTGAAGAAGCGGAGGTTGAGGTTGAGGCTCCGCGTCTTAATTTAACCTTACCTTCCTCGACACTCAGACCAACCAGACCTCTTGCCAAGAACACAGAGACTTGGCGTCACATGGAACTTCCCATCCATCTCAGCCTTCGTTCTATGGCTGATTGCTCATCGAATCAGACATTCGAAGTCTGTCAATAGATACAGAGAGTGGTTATTGCTTTCCACCTTGAGCTACTCCGTTAGTCAACGGAGGATATGACAGTATCCATTCTGATATGTAATCTGCCAATTTTAAGAGGCTCGCATATATCACCACCCTCTAGGTACTATAAGGTGCGCCATGAAGTATCAAGCGAATGGCTTCCAGTGGACGAGAGGACCTCATGTGTAGATTGTATACAAATCACCGTATAGTTCCTGGATATGAACATTTCAGTATTCGTATTCGCACTCAAACAACCAAGAGATTCATATCATCTATCCTATTTATTCGAATCCACTTAATAAGAAGATAGCCCTACCAGATTACCGGAATTGCAAATCTCGCAGAGAAAATAAGGAGAGGAAGCTAGGAGGATTCCAACAAATACTGAATAATCGTATGGTGTTGATGTTAATCAATGGGATCAGATGGTCCAGAATGGCACCACTCGAACCATTTCCCCTCCCGCCCTTGTCAAATACTTTGTTGCCCAGAAGGACAGATCGTCCCTAATTTGAAAATGGCATTTCTCATTGAGGTTTTGATGAATTGCAGTACAATATGCAGACTGGAATAAATAAAAGCTGTAGATGAACCAGAGCTCAGGACTCTCACTCAATATCAAAATGGCCAGACCAGTTCTCACTGCCACGCCTACAATTCGCCCCTCTGAATGGCCTTTCCAAAATGCCCCGCCTTTCAACCCCTCAAAAACGGGCTTTGCTACACTCGTCTCGGGTCCCCTGAATTTGATCCATCCCCCGCCGCTTCCCCCATTGGCCCAAAGTTCCCAATTAACATTTTCACCGCCTTAGGGTCCACGTAGCTACATTTCCCCTGGACGATTTTCCACGCCGCATTCGAGAAGTTCAAGGGACAAATAGGGAGAGGCAAATGTTGAGCTTCCTTTTTAAAATTAAAGCTTCCCACACTTTTTCTTTTCGTTCTTTCATCTTTCTTGTTTGTTGAAGGAAAAGGAAAAAGGAAAAAATGCCGGCGACAAACTCTTCTACTGTCACTTCGAGGGCAAAGGGCGATAGCCCTTCCCCAGCTCCTGCGCAGGACGCTGCCGACAAGACAAACGATTTCTTCTGGACGTATACCGAGGAACCTCATCGAACTCGTCGTCTCGCCATCATTAAGGCTCATCCCGAGGTTCGTACCGCTACAATCCCTCTCTCTTAATATCCGTCGCTAACCTAGCCTTTCTACAGATCACCAAGCTCTGCGGTCCCGAACCTCTCACGAAATGGGTCGTCCTCGGCGTTGTATCTCTCCAGGTCTTCCTCGCATGGATGCTCCAGTCGACGTCCTTCTTCTCATGGAAGTTCTGGGCTGTCGCCTACGTCTTCGGCGCGACTGCCAACCAGAACCTGTTTCTCGCTATTCACGAGATCTCGCATAACTTGGCTTTCAAGAGCGCTCGCGCCAACCGTTTGATCGCTATCTTTGCCAACCTTCCCATCGGCATTCCCTACAGCGCTTCGTTCCGAGTATGTCATCCTGGAGAGTATCTCGAATGCTGAAGTTTTGCTAATTATGTGTCTAGCCTTACCATCTTACTCACCACAAGTCCCTCGGCGTTGATGGCCTCGATACCGATCTTCCTACCGCTTTCGAGGCAGTCTTCCTTGACTCCATTCTCGGAAAGGCCTTCTTCTGCACTTTCCAGATCTTCTTCTACGCCCTGCGACCCATGGCCATCTACCGCATTCCCTTGACCGGCATCCACGCCCTCAACATCCTTGTCCAGGTCACCTTCGATCTTATCCTCCTCAAGTACGCCTCCGTCAACTCTCTGCTCTACCTCCTGCTCTCTTCCTTCCTCGCCGGAAGTCTGCACCCCCTAGCTGGCCACTTCATCGCCGAGCACTACGTCTACGAGACCGTCACCCCCTCTGCTCGTGATCCCGAGAACAAGATCCCCGTGCCCGAGACCTTCTCTTACTACGGACCTCTCAACTGGTTTACCTACAATGTCGGTCTTCACAACGAGCACCACGATTTCCCCGCCATCCCCTGGACCCGTCTCCACGCTGTGCGAGACATTGCCTCCGAATTCTACGACCCCCTGCCTCGCCACGAGAGCTGGTGCTACGCCATTTGGCGCTTCATCTTTGATGAGAACGTTGGCATGTCTTGCCGTGTCAAGCGCAAGCAGGGTGGTCGTCTCGTTGGAGGCGGTGCTGTCGCCGACTGGAAGCAGTCTGAGATTGAGTCTATTTAGAGGGAGCACAAAAGCATGCGATAGAATACACATTTTAATAGTTGGTTTTTCGAGGTAGTGGCTCTTCTGTTGACAGAAGGAGCCGATATGACTTTTGGTTTTACGGTTTTGACTCTTTCGCTACGAGTTGTGAGCATTAGAAAAGACTAGATCATAGCACAAGCACGATAGAGTGCAGATCTTTTGCGCAAGGCGTTCTAGGCTATGAATAAGAAACACATGAGATCTTTCAAATGACGATCACCATCGATTAAGTGCTTGTAATTTTCCGTACAACCCTAAAATGTTCCAGACCGAAGCATAGACATTTTGGAATCCGAGCGGAAATTGCTTAACAGTCACCAAAGACACAAGTTGCAGGAAACATAGATTTGTAGTGACAAAATAAATTAGAACGCCAAAGTTCTCAGTAAACGCAAACAGCAGAATAGTACGACACAAGAAAATACGAGAGCCGAGGATGGCTCAAGTTAAGAGTGTACAGTCAAAGTCGCCCCGTGGGAAGCTCTCCTCTCCTTCGCCCATCGCTTTTCAAACCCCATAGCCATCGTCCATCTCCAAATACAGCTATTCATCGCCGAGCTCATCGCGAAACCACCTGCTTGCTGGTGCTTTTGCTCAAGGCCTCCAGTGGCTTCGGTGAGGTATCGGCTCGTTAACACTGCATGTTCCCGCCTATCGTATGATCTGCTTCCCAGGTTTTGCCCTTGCCATACTTTGAAGATATATGCATCCGGGGATCCTATGCCTCCCAGCTGAGTTATCATAAGCGTCATCAGGCCTGTCTATTAATTTCATCTTAAAGATCCTGGGGCCACATCTTCTCCTTATGTCTAAAAGAAGAAGTAGGCAAGCAGGAAGCTGACCAAGCAGAGGATGGCAGCCATCTGCACTGGCACACCCTCAACGGTCTGCTGAACAGCCTGGGCAGTTTGGGCCAAAGGTCGCTTTTCATCATCGTTGGAATCGGACTTGACGTTGCGCTGGCGGAGGCCGCTATCCTTAAGAGACACGAGCTGCTGCTCAGCCTGGGCAAGCTTAGCCTTGAGCTCCTCGTAGGTTAACTCAGCAGTCTCCTTGATGGATGTTGCGGCCTGAGAAATGGCGCTCTTGGCGTCCATATCAGACTGCATAGATCTGGGTCGCTCCTCCTCGTGGGAACCTTGTTGGGGAGACTGGTAAGGAGGTGGTGCGTTGGAAGGCGACTCATCTCGGACGATGGGAGAAGAGTAAGTGCGAGAAACATCGGGTGTGTCGTTGGCCTAGAATTTGGAATCAGACACAGTATCTCGAATCTGTAATATCAGTACTTACGCCATTAGCGATGGCCGCCTTGTTGGGCGTAGACATTGGCCGATGAGCCTCGCCATCGGGACCGGCCGGCAACCAGTTAACTCGGATCTTGCGCTCAATAAGCGAAGCCTTGTCTGTGGTTTCGAGCTGGTACATTGTGTAAGTTTAACTGAAACTGGGTCTGAATGTTGATTGGGGAGTAAATACCACGGCAGCGACGCTGGCGAACTCCTTGTCAGCGGTAATGGCTGTAGACTGGACGAGGAACTTGTCGCGGCATCTAGCATCGGGAGCAGGATCCTGCTTCATCGCCTGGAGGAGAACTGTGCAATTGTTAATGGCTGCTTGTCCGAGCTGCGTGGAAGCTCACTCACCAGATACATCAAAGCTCTGGCCGGCCTCGATGCGGCCTGCATTTGGTCGGACACAGTATCTATTAAGGTGTCAGGTATGCGATTCGGAAGGTTTAGGGAGAGGGGCAGCCATACTGCTTGGGAGCGGTTGTCTTGACCTGCAAAGCTTATCAGCAAAGTCTATCGTATTAGGACTGCTGATTGACCTACCTTGAAGGCAACAGGAGTCGGGTTGGGGTTCTTGAGCGTCAGGGTCTGAGAAACCTCGGTGGTGAAGGGGCCTGGCAAAGAAGTCAATTCCAAGCTCTCAAGGGCCCGCTAGTGTCTATCGCAGATGACGCACGCTTGAAGGAAAGCTCGAAGGGCTCAATATCGACCGACATGATGGCTATTTATCGTCGTTTTAGGAATTGTGCAAAAGTCGGAATTGTTGGTGTCGCGCGATGGTCTTGGTGTTGGCGGTAGCAAAGTGGAAACGTGGCAACGGCAGATAATGGATGTTGTAGTGGTAGAATGAACAAGGGGGAAAGTTAGATTAGAGGTGTGGAAAGTATTGGCGACACCAAGTTGCGCAGAAGCAATAAGATACAGTAGCAGGAACAAGTCGCGTGTGGAATAAGGATGGAAGAGGAAACCGGTGACGAAATGAAAAAGATTAGAGTGTAGAGTAAGGTAGAGAGTAACGTAGTGGAGGTGGATGTGCAGGTTTGCTTTGGGAATGGAATTGGAAATGGAAGAAGCCAGACCCAGATCCAGACCTGGCAGGTTTCCAGTTGACGTCCTACGACGTAATTGCTTCTTGTCGCCCTATTCCCAGTTGAGAAGAAGCAGCTTCAGGTGGTTGCTACAGCGCACGAGCCATTAGGGGACTTTCGTCTCCATTCCATTGATTATAAACTCCGATGTCAGGCATTATTCTACTGATACTTTCTTCATCTCGTCTCTTGAATTCGAGGTACTTTAATATCTGGACTCGAGAGCCTCGTCTTTACTTTTATAAGGGTCACCCCTTTCATCCTTTAGACTCTCTCTATTGTTTAGAATACCCCATAATGTCCTGCAAGAGTTATCCACTCTGTTGCTAAGTGATGAATGGATTGTTTGCCCTCCACAAAAAGGTTCCTTGGTTGCCTCCGAGTCAAATCCAATCAGACCAACAAGATGCAAATGCTACATTGGTAAGCAACCATAGCTGAGAGCCTCAAATCAGGGAAGTGAGGGCATCATGGTTTGCGATGAGAACAGAATCCACAGTCCTACCTCAGTGTAGTGTGCGAGCTTGGCAGGTTATTAGCGCAGCCATAGCCACATTCCCCTTTGTTTAAAAGCGCCAAAATGTTTGAATAGAGTTGTAATGTGCCTTTTGACATTGCATAACAATAAAAGATGAATGAATCTCGAGTATCCACAGCATTTAAAGGGTTGTTATCTCGGTAAGGAAATATTCAGGAACCGAAGCAATATCCACACAGACCATCCATTCTATGGTTTGCAGCAAAAAAGACCCTTAGTCTTAAGAGCGACACCATATGACCCCGCCCCCACGAACCGAACCGCTTCAGAATGATGAACATGAACATAGCGTGCGTGTCGTTTCGGATCGTGACATCTTCGCACTTTAAACGAGAAATCTGTTATATCTGTGCCTCAAATGAAACAGTCTGAGGTAACAGCTTTAAACATGATCGTCATGGATGGACTCGAAATCTGCAACTTAATCTTTTTGTATGACTTGAGAGTGAAAAATCTGATAAGTTGTGAGACAGTATATGCAGTTGAATACGGAATGCAGTCATTCATTCATCAATGGAGATATGTACGAGGTGGGTTCGATCTAACTAACGACTCATGATGAGAGCAGAGCAGTTCGCGGTTGACGCGATGTTCTTGTTCTTTTTATGCTAAATACTCCATCACGACCACATTTTCTAAGCGCTCAACGGCCTTGGCGTAGGACTAATGCAGTTTGCAGTCCTCACCATCTAAAAATATCTGTGCTTTGCGAGAAACATTGAATTCCTTCTCCCACGCTACTGGAACAGCTGAGGAGAAAAAGGTGGATTGCAAGGCTCAAAGGGAACGCCAGCTGCGGGTAAACACCCTCGTATTTGATCGACACGAGGGCGGTGCCACCTAAGAACGGCTTGGTCTCCATTTCTTCCTCGCTCCTACTCCTACGTTACAGTTGATACTGCGGCTGACGTGAATTTCTGTGATGGATTAACCGCTTCGGGCGCATGTGCGACCACTTTTCTGTCTCTGGTAGCGTTGTTTAGCATAGAGGAACATGAATATATATACGGGAACACATCCCTTGGATCTGGTGGACAGAATCTCAGAAGAACAACACTTGATACACTCTTTGTCTGACATTTGTATCTCTCCAGATACAAATACTTCCTTCGTTTTCCGTATCACATATCACATCCTTTCCATCAACACACAAATCTCACTCAATATTCATCATGGGTTGCAACAATTCCCGCCACGTTCTCGAGATGGAGTCTCGCCCTTGCCGTCCTGTCACTCTCTCAAGCCATTCAGCTGGTTCTGCCATGGCATCCTCCTCCATCTTCCAAGATTACCCCGGACTAAGCCGACAACAAATCATCGATGCTTTCCAAAAGATGGCCGAGTATCTGAACGAATACGGCGTAAGCGTAGAATGTGTTGCGGTTGACGGCGCTGTCAACACTCTCTACCTTCGCTCACGAGAGTCAACTCATGACGTCGAGCTTCTACTCAACGACCCTGCTTCAAAGGAAAGCGACATTCTCAGCAACGCTGCTAGTTTCGCCAACACCTCCGCCCAGGGCAGCCTTGGCGAATCATGGCTCAACAGCTCAATGCAACTTTTCCTTCCCCGATATGTGCAGACTTCTCTCTTCGAAGAAGCCAAAAAGCAGAATGAGATTGTCTTCGAGCACCAAGGAACAAATGGTGGACTCAAGGTGTACGCTGCGCCCTGGTCGTATGCTCTTTGCAGCAAACTCAACCACTCTTGCGACAACCACAACCGAAGCGAAGGCATGGATGACGCAGTCGACTATCTCTACCGATACCTCTACATCACTGGACAAGACTACATCATTGCACAGCAGATCGAGGATTGGTGCCAAATGTATCACCAGGATGTATCACGAGAGGCTTTTAGACGCTTGGAACAGACCTATGCCCGAAAGCACGGCAATTGGCCTATTGTTTGGAACTAACTAGAGGAAAAAGACGGATAGAAAAGAAGAAAGGTTTTGGGCTTGTTAGATTTAGATGCATGACTTTTACGATGATACCCGGGTTGAATTTCACCCAAAATTAATGATAATATTGGTTCGGATTGATATATACTCTATTACATACTTCCAGTGAATACTATAACGATCATGAGAGCATGTGTACCGCCTTGCTCCGACTAGGTACAATAGTTAAGCACAGGCATCAACGGAAATGCTACTGTTGATTTACTCCGAGTCGAATTTGTTGGCTGCACATGTCGTGTGATGCATTCGATAGTGTGAGTGCGAGGTTCCTGCTCCAAAGTGATGAAGAAAGATAGCCTGAGAAGTTGTTCCAGACGGCGACTATACGGCTTGCCGTTGTCCTTCGTCTGGACCTTTGTGAGATTCCGTCTGATCCCGTGTTTGATGATATCCTTTCTCTTCTCTGCAATTTAGAATGCTTGGTTAACGCGGGGATCATCTGTAGATAATAGTTAACCCGTCAGCCTCTGATCAAGCGTTACCTAAATCGCAAGAACAGACCGGTGGTCAAAAGACTTAGTTGAAGGGCCAGTTCTTCTCGTAAAGAACATGCCCGGACTTAGTAATCTGCCCGTTGACGTCCTTGGTTAACTTGAGGAGATGTTAGTCAAAGTACCTTGGTAGTAGAAATGTTTATACTGACATCTGGTAGGACGTTGTAGACAGAGGATTGAGCTAGTGGACGAGACACTCAGAGTGCAATCAGGTTTTGGCCGGAGCGCCGGGTTGGTGGCTTTTGTCGAGGTATAGACAGTCCACAAGAGAAACATAATATATCTAACTTCATGGACGTACTGAGTCGTAGCTCCTTGTTGCTGGCATATGGCACGAGGGTGTTTTGTTCGCCTTGCGAACTCACAGCAACGCCCTGACCTCCAGAAGCAACCGGCGAACCAAAGAACGGTCGTGTTCTTGCGATTGTCGTAGAATTTGGTCGTTTCATCCTGTTGATGCCCAGTCCTACTTTGTATATATATATATATATCGATGATCCTTCGGACTCTTCGTCAGTATTGCCTCTCATACTTTTCAACAAAAATCCTCTTACCTCTTACTCCAAAGGATTTCCCGAATCTGTGAGACCAGGCAGCCCAACACCTGTCAACCATAGTCCATGTTGGTAAAATGCAGTTTTTTCAATCTTCATGTGCGGAAAGTCATCTTCTCAGACTAGGAGAACGGAGACTTTGCGATGGGGCTGACATGTACATAACCTCAGGAAGACAGTTACGCCGTCGAAGACCTCGGGACGGGCGCCCGGAACATGTTCTTCGGTCAACTGGGTTCTCGGAACCCAACTGAGAGCAGTCCTAGCGATACTCTCGCTGGTCACTTAAGTAGCAGTGGCTAGCTGCTCCTCAAGAAGCTTCCCAAGCGCAATGTAACAAGATCCTAGAAAGTATGAGTTAGATGGGTTCAAGAAGAGTAGGACGTTAAGTACAACGTACCTTCTCGGCGAATTCTCTTTAATCCCATATATACAGGTGTTAGGGGTGCCCAGCCAAGCCTCATGTTGTTTGGACTGCATAGGATACTTGAGAGTTGGCCATGACCGATGTTGTCATGACTTGCATCACCACAGGCGCTGGGGTCTTCAAGATTGATCCTTGGAGCTGTGTCAAACATGTCTGGTCCCCAGGCAGGACTGTTCATACCGCCTAGGGTATTCCCTTCAATGTTGTTGCACTATATATAGTACCAAGGATGGTTGGCTGTGCAGTTCTCGGTGTCAGATTGATGCTATGCAAGCTCAGACGAGTCATGATCTCTCAGGTTTGTTCGAACCGAAAAGAGAAATCGAGGTCTTCATCCGAGATAGGATGTTCTTCGTTCCAGAAACTTCACGACCTCCTGGGCCGTTGAGAAAGAGTTGTGTTCGGACTTCTTCGTGTCTTTGTATGTCATCGTCTGCCTAGACTTCTTCTTTTTGGGTCGGCGGATCTTTGGAATCGGAATAATTCCATCATGAACCGGGGGAAGGGAAGGTCTGACGCGGTCGATGCATCTGGCTTCTTTTATATATGAATGTCGATATTCGTCCGGTGCTCCTCGTCAACATCATACCAGAAGCCGGTAATACGGCTATATATTCAGCTGCAAAAAAACATATGAAGAAGAGTCCAACTCTAATATAGGTAAGAAACTGATCTCTCAACGCAAGATGCGCCTTGTATGAGATGAAGTCGTTATATCATAGGCAGTACAGACGTGTTGTTCTGACCGATGAGCGTAGAGCTATATACAGCTATAAATGCAAAAAGAATACCACGTAGATAGCCTGGGAAAAGCCAGCCTTTTTATAGTTCAGTCAGCAACTCGTCTTTCTCAGACCTTTGTCGGAGGCAGATACAAGTCATCTAGGTGAATGTAACAAACAAGCTACCAAGCATGATGACTTGGGATGCTACAAAGGCAACAAGAGAAATCGTATGTGATGGTAGCCAAAGACTTTGTCATAAAGACAAAAGGCCGAAACCGGGGGCAGACGCAGCACCGCAGGTTTGGCTATCGTCTTAAAATCATGATAGAAACAGCATACATGCAGCAAAGCAGTAAGTATTTACGCTGCGACTCCCCGATGTCCTGTCAAGCATATGTCATGATCGATTGCCGACTCTCCAGCCGACATCTGCTACGCCTACAGAACAAATAAGATCGAACTATTGTGCCATTTGTCTCTTGTCTACCTGTTTTCTACAACACATTTCCTGCAAACAGATAGAAACAGACGATGTTGGAAGAGGAAGTTACGTTACAATACGGAGTCACGGTGGCTCGACCCTTGCTAGCCGTAGTAAACCCGGCCAAACAGCAGGCACGTCACTGAGGCAGCGGCTTGAATGACGTCTCTTTAGACTTTACCTAAGCTCAGGTCCCGTTCTTACACGTCTCACTCACTCACTGCCCAATTCACACTGAAAGGATATTCATCTCACTCAAAGCTTATAATTTGAGTAGCATCATATCACTCACAAGTTTCTAGCCAGTGGTGATTTCTTTTCCCATCTACAACCGCCAACCCGATCTCACTATTTGCCCCTCAACAAACCCCACTATCACCAAACATCACCGCCAACATGGCTACCGATTTGGAGACTCTGCTCGATATGGGCTTCGACAAGGAGCGCGCTGAGATTGCTGTCAAGAAAACAGGAGGACGTATGTTTTGCAATGTCAGATTGATGGCCAAGCTAACTTGAAAAGTCCAGGGTGCTCTTCAATGGCTGGAGGATAACCAGGACAAGCCTATTGATGAGATCAAGGCTGCCGCTACCGCTAAGGAGGAAGATGATGACGATGACACTGAGGCCAAGATCAAGGAGATCGAGACTGGAAAGGCTGCTTCTCTTGTCTGCAATGAGTGCGGCAAGAAGTTCAGAAACCATGACCTGGCTACCTATCACGCAACCAAGACGTATGTTGGACTTACACAACAATTATCCTAGAATGGTTTGGCTAACTGGGTTGCAGTGAGCACACCGATTTCTCGGAGTCTACAGAGGAGATTGCTCCCTTGACCGAAGATGAAAAGAAGGCTAAGCTTGAAGAACTCCGCGAGCGTCTCGCGGCCAAGAGAGCTGTGCAGTCTGTCAAGGATAAGGAGGACCACAAGCGCAATGAGGTAAGCGAGTTTACAATTAATACCCCGAGCCTATAATTAACCCATTACAGCAAATCCGACAAAAGTCCACCAAGGAGAGCCAAGAGGCTAAGGAGGAGTTGGCCAAAAAGCAGGCCGTCAAGGAGGCTGCAGCAAAGCGACAGGAGAAGCTCGAGGATCAAGAGGCCAAGCGCCGTATCAAGGCCAAGATCGAGGCCGACAAAGCTGAGCGACGACGAAAGGCAGAGGAGGCTAAGGCTGCCCGGGAGGGCCGAGCTCCTCAAGCTGAGGCTGTGGCTCCTGGCGGCGCCGCTGCTGTTGCCGCTGCATCCAAGCCCAAGAGCAACCACAGCGAGGCCCGACTTCGTCTTCAGATAGATGGTGGAAACATCACCAAGACCCTGCCCGCTGAGACAACACTGTTCGAGTTGGCGCAACAGGTTCAGAGCGAGACAGGTAACGCTGTCTCCAGCTTTACAACTACATTCCCCCGAAAGACCTTCGAGGGTGACGTCGATTTCTCCAAGACCCTAAAGGAGGCTGGCCTAGTTCCTTCTTCCGTTTTGATCGTCAAATAGGTTATGACGTTGTAGTTGGCAAAGAGTGCATGGCGCGGCGTTGGTGGGAACATGCAGAGGATACGCATGGTGCTACGAAGAACAGAAAAGTCCTTTAGGTAGATATAGAAGTTGGCAAGAGGATCTCAGATCGTCTCGTCACAGTCACAGTCACCAGGCACTTTAGACGAATAGTCACGCTTTGAAGAAACCCATATTGAACTCAAACCACCCATGGCGGGACTTTTTTTTATCAGAGCCTTTGAATTGACCAATTCTCCCTCCGCGAAACTCCGTTGAGCGCATTCATCACAGCGTCGTATGAGAGAAGCGACTCTGTCCAGGGCGCAGGGTATAGTGCCCGCATTCCATCCTTTATGATCGATTGATTGGAAACCCCGAAACCATGCAGTCGAAGTACAAAGAACAAGGAAACAGTCGTAGCGGCGTAACTTCTTAGTCGAAGAGACCGAAGCCCATGTCCTCGTCAGACTCCTCCTTCTCTGTGTGGTTGTCAGTAATCCGTTCTGTGTCTGTCGTAGTATTTCGTGGGTCAACGTACCCTCCTCCTTCTCCTCAGCGGGAGCAGCCTCGTCAGCAGCACCACCAGCAGCGGCAGCACCACCGGCGGCAGGGGCAGCACCGCCACCGGAACCGACGTTCACGAGAAGGTCCTTGACATCCTTGCCCTCGAGAGCCTATAACAATAAATTCCGTCAGAAAATCGAAGTCCTGGAAACGAGCGCGCGCGAGTCGCTGGGATAATGATCGATGGTTCGTACCTTGGCGAAGATGGAGGTCCAGATGGGCTCAACCTCCTCGACCTTAGCGGCCTTGATGAGGGTCTGGAGCTTGTCGGACTGTATTGTCGCGATGACGAGTTAGCAATCACAAACACACAAATTCGTAGAAATCGCGGGGCATGAGCCGGGGAGGAATTAAACGTACGGTGATCTCAACACCGTCGTCGGCGAGGATCAGGGCCGCGTAGGACGAAGCGAGCTCGGCGTGAGACATTGTGAATGGATTTTGACGTGCGGGTGGGAGATTGTAAAGTCTGCACGAAGTCGAGTCGTTTGATGGTTTGAAGTCGGATATCACCAGGATGGTTTCACACAACTGGGAAATTCGGTTAGGTCTTTCAAGACCTAAAAGTGTGCGGGAGAAAATAATGATCCGCTCCGCTGGTGAGTCACGCCTTTCATTGGCTGTTAGTCAACGAACCAATGAAATGAGGTTCCAAGCATGCCATGATCTTTACCCCACCTTCTGGCTGCGGCCCCCACTATTGTCGTCAGGTTTGGTGCTCAATGCTCAATGCCGTAGGCGTGGGCGTGCCGCGTGCAGCGAGAGCAGCAATCCATGGATCCTTGGAGGGGGTCTAGGCCTGGGCTCCAGCTTCCGTCTCATAAGTGATGTGACAGCATAACTTGGTCAACCCCAATTCAATCCATCCAGTTGAAACACTGCAGTGATACTAGTAAATTTCTCCATAGGCTTGTCATTGTCATTCTGTCATCAATCACTTATCCTCACTTTGACATCCCATAACTTCACATAATCATCCCATACTCGTTCATTGCTGGTGACGAATCGAGCTACTGTGACATCCGGACTTCGAAGAACGGACTTAGTCCATCACGACCTCCCCACCAAAGGTCGACTCAACTTCCCTGAATCTCTGGCCCCGCCGCCACTTTCATCGCCTTCGTCACTCCACGGACCTTCGGACAAGTTGCAAAGAGCAAGAACAACAAGCGAGGTCGATCCTAACTTTGATATATCCAATCCATCGCCGACTTATCCCTTTACTCCTCATTCAACATCTCCATATACAGCAGTAAGCTCGAACAGCAGCTATCAATATGGATACTCCAGCAATTCCGATGCCGCGAGACCCTCGCGAGCAAGCTATTCTACAGAAGCTGTCAATGATCCGAGATCGCCTGCTGCTCCTCAAGCAAGATCGTACAAACTACATTCGAACGCAGGATGTCATGCCTCTGTTCGATGAGACTATGGACCAGGTCAAGGAGTTGACTATCGTACGGGCGGAGACAGGCGCTAAGGAGGAGAACAGATGTATGTCTTCAACTCCAGTCGCGAATGATAACACGATACTAATAACGTTTTCGCAGTGGATAAGGTCCTCGAGAGCTGCTTCCAACTGCTTTCTCTGTTCTACCTAACCATCGGACGAAACAACGAGGCGCCTGCGACCTACGCTATGACATCAACTGTTAAGCGACTTCTCGACCACCTTGTCGAAGCCGAACTCTACTCCGCCAAGGACCTCGGCAGTATCAAGTCCACACTCGAGGATCTATCTAAGAGCATTCGCGATGCTGCTAGTGACCCATCCCCCGATAAGCGACACCCACCATACATGCTCACACTGCTCGAGAACCGTGTTGAGCTATGCAACTCGACCCTAGCGAGACTCCAGAAGCGATTAGAGAAATTGCCCGATTATCTGCTGGAAGCTCATGAGAAGCTTATTTCCATCTTGCGATCGATTTCGCTGGCCAACACTAAATCCAAGGTGAGCAAGCTTAGCGATACGATGGCAAGGTACACTATGGACTAACATTATTCAGTTTTCGACATCCGAGGTTAAGAAGCTACGGAACCAAATCTTGGAAATTGGCGAGAAGCATAACAATGGCACATTTACCGCAGAAGATGGAGCTTTGGAGGAGGGTGGTGAATTGGTTCGAGACTTGTACAACCGCTGCGTCCGCTGGTCGGACATGGTTCTTGAGAGGTAAGATGCGCGTAACTTTGTGGGAAAGCTCAACTGACGATTACAAGGCAAGGAGAGGTGGCCGAACAATGGCGACCGATTTACGACGCACTCATTCACATTCGCAACGACCTCGAGAAGCTTTCCCTCACACAGGCTTGGTCACTCCGAGAAACAGACCTGTACGATTTCCAGCGACAACTCGATCGAATTGACGAGAGCCGAGGTGATAACGGTAACTGGGTGGACGACCGAGGGCGACCAGCGGACCTCTGGACTCAGCGAACTTTCCTGTACCTGATTCGACGATCATACGCCTACATTTACTCATTCATGCTGGCATCCGAGCCAGTGTCTGAAGCTCTTTTGCCTGTTTACAACCAGTTGCAGACACTGAAGCGATGTCTGATTGAGGTTAAGAAAAATGGAGGTGTCTCTTCGGTGAGAGAGCTGTACCCCTACAGCATGAAGGTATGTGGATCCTCTAAAACGACGTAGTATATTGTCTAACATAAAACAGCTCAACTCTTTGGATAACATGAAAGTGGATGGCAAATTTGTTGTAAACGGCGATATCCCCGAAGGACAAGGCAGCGTTACCGAGCTCTTGGCCGAGTGTTTCGACCTCAACTACGAACTGAGAGTTGCAGCTGAAATGGCAGCTGAGAGCGGCGAGACCGAGGCTTAGATTATGATAAAGCAGTGGCAGGTCTCCGCACCTGACGAGAGGACAGGTTCCCCATGCGGGACTCTGGTGTACGATGGCGTTACTTTTACTTGAATTGGAAATCCTTTGGCTGGGCAGCTCGTTTCTGCGGTGTTTGGCAATTACTCGGGCTTGCTTTCGTGGAGCTACTAATGAGATGTTTATGTATGTATAGCGACTCGAGGGGAAAGATATGGAATAGCTGGTGACAGGGGATCATTGCTACAGGATCGGTTTAAGAGTTACTTGGCAGTCAGTAAATGAGACTGGGCACATTATTAAGGTGCCAGTGCAGCTAGCAGAATTATTATTTGGCAGTTCGCTTCTGATGTTACTATTTTGCGCATTTGTGATATTAGTTGAATCTAAAGGCAGCCTTGAAAGGGTAGATTTGGACCTATGTATGATGTTAGTCTAAGCTTGAAATATGGTCTTGTAAGCTTACCTTGTCCATATCCCAAACTCCTGAAGTCGCGTAGATATCCTTGCTTAACGCCTCTCGCACCTCTTCCACGGACTCGGCAATGCAGACAAGTGTACTTCCTGCAAAGTCCAAACTGCTGGGGCTATCATCTTTGGGAACACTGTTCAGAATGGCACCTAGATGCGTTAACTTCATACTCCAATACCAGGGTATGGATAGTGTTTACCTCCCATCTTCCAGTTCCCACTCTCAACGTTGGGCTTCATATTCTCAAAATGTTGTCTACACCTCATCAGCACCTCTCCTCTCCAAGCCTATCTCATAACTTACCCTCTCACAGCAAGTCGCTTCTCAAGAACGCCAGGCTTATCATGAACCACGACGAGAAACTCGTACTTGCCCTGAGGAACGGAAACTGCGCCGGAAGCCATTGTTCGAAGTGTTCTTGTAGTGTTAGAAGCTAAAGAGGGAGCGGCTTTGGGTCTGATGAGTGAGAAGATACGAGAGGACATTGTAAGTAAGAATTGGGCTTGTTTATGTAGTTGCTGTCGGATGAGGTGATGCGGGATTGCGGGGGAGTCGGGTGTGGGGAAGTGGAGGGTGGAAGGGCGTGGTGGATTATTGGGTACGCCCTTTGATGGATGAAGAACTGGGATGGAAAGGTAATTGTGGGTTAGAACATCCGATGTTCTTTTTGATAAGTTTAGATATACAGTGTTTTGTTTGTGTTAGCATTTTCTGAGCTGGTTCGTTGTTTCGTCGTATTGAGTGCTGAAGCTTCAGGGTAGGACCACGCCGAAATCGGGTCCAAGCTACAAGTACACTCACTGGTTTGTCATGATGGACGATGTGAACTGATAAATATTGAATCAATGATATGATTGATGCCAAATGGAGATCTATGTGCTAAAACAAACGGAAAGTGTACAAGCCCTTCTAATCGTTCAACCCCTCTATTAATATCCCCAAGCCAACGAATTCTCATTTCGTCACCCCAAAATCTGAATCTAAGCAGTTTGATGTTGAAACTCGTGACTTTCATGAGAGAGTTTCGATGAGTCCAGCTTCTTGATATCGTGCTTGATGTCTCGAGTCTTGATGCCAACGGCGATGAAAATGATAGTAACCAACAGCTCTGGGATCATACCAAGGCACACTTCAATTGCCTTCGAAGACAAGAAACCTGATGTAGGGTCGGAGATCTGAAGCTGCAGGAAGGCAATGGCGTAGGCGAGACGGAGACAAAGGAGGGGAAGAGTGATGAAGACTGCGTACAAGAGCTTGTAAATGTCAGCATAGCCCTTATCATGAGGGGAGTTAGAGTTGGACTTACCAGCTTACCACCCCGAAAAGAGGGAGTGGAGCCATTTGTAGGAGATACTCTGGCTTTGCCAAGGGACCACAAGGACCAAATAGCAATTAGGAACCAAGCCAGAGCAATGAGTGCAGACGCAACTTTAAGAAGAGTCTTGTACTTGTCGACGTCTTTGCCATCTTGCAAGTTGATAATTGAGACGATGATGAGAGCCATGGCTACTCCGACTAAACCGTGGTACTTGACTTCGAGAACGATGTCGAGACGTCTGTTAAGTCGAGGGTTTGTGGCTCTTCGACTAATATTTGTTAGTAATTCGTTATGGTATCGGGGGGATGCTGGGTACTTACGCCTCATGTAGAATTCCAGATGTGGCTAGAAGTAAAGGTGAGAGGCCTATACTGTTAAGAATAACAGGGCCAGTTGAGCTACTCGCGCCGTGAAGACCAATTCCGCCAGTGGTGATGCGAAGAACACAGAAGATCTGGATATAGAGCCATCCGATGAAACCAGTCTTTCCATGCTTGAAAAGACAGTATATGGCTGGTTGAGCTAGGATGATGTAAAGGGCCAATTTAGCTGCAGCGATTGAGTCTGTCATTTTGATAAGAGGAGATATTGTATGAGTAAGTTGGTATGAATCCAATGATGCTAGTTTGATGAGAATACGAAAAACGAAAACATGATGATTTCAGTCTTTATTATACTTTAAAAAGAAATCTATACAGGCTGCCTCCTTTTTTTCATTTCGTGGCAATGCTTTGAGGTTATTGCCTTGCGCCTCGATAACAGGTTTAAGAGGTTGAACGAGAACGACGGCTAGGAACCACATTTTGGTGTTGAAGATCTACAGTCAGATATTAATTAGATCCTACACAAAATCCATCCAATGAGAAAGCGAGAGTTTGTCCCAATTGGTGGTCGTCTTACATGCAGATGGGTATCGGATAACGGCACCGACTAGCGCTCGACGATCTTACATAGCCATAGCCACTATAAGGCTCGTCGTTCTCGTTCTCGTTCAGCGATCATCTTACACCGACCCTCAAACAAGGTGCATTTGTTAGCAATATGAACGAATCGCAGCAGCCGCGTAAACGTGCCGCCAAACTATTCCACAAAAAGTCCCGTACTGGCTGTCAGCAATGCCGAAGTCGTCGTGTCAAGGTACGACATCTTCTTTCTCTGTAGGATGGCTCGACTTACCATACTCAAGTGCGATGAGACGAAACCTATATGCTCACACTGCGATCGCCTTGCATTGACATGTATATATGATCGCGCTCAGTCCGATACCAACTCTGCGTCGCCGACTGAAAGTGGAGGACAGCCAAGCAAGGCTGCGGAAACCATCGTTGATCCTCCAGAGTCAGAGTCTAGGAGACGGTTAGAACTCAGATTGTTTCATCACTACATGGCAGAAACGGGTCCATCTCTTTCTCTGGACCCTGCTACAGCGCATTTCTGGAATGCGACTATTTGTCGACTGGCTCTTGAATCAGACTCGACTCTCTATGCGATATACATGGTTTCTGCACTGCATATGCAGAAGAAAAATACCATGACAGACACAAAAGCTCTGGATATATGCCAAACGTATCTCAACATGTCCATCCGGGAACATCACAGAGATGTCGCCGAGATCAATCTCAGAAATGTAGAGTATATTGTTCTGACCTCTAGTCTACTACGCGTCTACGGCTTCGCCAGACTGCAAGGCCGCTCACTAGAACCATATACGCCTCCCGTGGACTTTCTACGCATCACAAATACGAGCACCGCATTATTCAGAAAAGCATTAGACTTCACACAAGACCACCCGGAGTCGGTAGCCAGCAAAATGATCGACAGCGCCGCGGATCTCCTAGCAGATCTGGAATTCAAAGAACTCCCCTCTGACTTATCACCACTTCTCAACTACGAAACCGGAGACAAGAAAACAGAAGAGGCCTACGCACGAGCGATAACCTACATAGGCAGTATAAGAAAAGCACTAGACGAGAAGAACGTGGTTAAGAGTATTGCACGAAGAACGATTGTGTTTCCAATGGTTATGCATAAGGAGTTTGCGGATTTGGTGGAGGAGTTGAGACCGCGGGCTCTTGTTATTTTGGCGTATTATTTTGGGTATTTGTCTATGTTGAGTGAAATTTGGTGGGTTGGGGATTCGGGGGTTAGAGAGATTAGAGCGATTGAGAGGGTTATGCCGAAGGAGTGGTTGGGTTGGCTCGAGTGGCCGAGGAGTGTTGTTCGGGATCAAGGTGTTAAGATGGAGTGATATTGTGAGTGGTAGTTGAAGACATTCTAGAGTTTTCTATCCTTATGAGGTATGTCCAAAATGCACTGATGAGTCCAAATATTGAAGAGCCAATGCATAAGAGACGAAATAGTTTAGTTATCTTATGCTACCTTGGACCTGCTCTCAGGCTACTTTATTCTGACATCCTGAGCCTTAGAGGACAATTCTTCTGACACCCACCTGTCAATGTGTAGGAGAAAAATACCATTGTTGTGTTATGTTCTCCATGGTGAAGTGTCTCATGCTCATCTCGTGAACATAGACTCACAGAGAATGAGTCTCCGATATACGGGGCAAATATGCCAACTCCGAATGAGGTCAGATGATGATGAAATATCTACAAGGGTAGCTCTTAAGCGAGTGATGGACCCTGACTAGGCCTGACTAAAATCAAGACCCTGTTTTGACTTGACCAACATCGTCATCGGAGAAGTTGACAACCGTAGGCTAGAGATGCCATGAAGTATCACGGTACTGTATATCCCATTACCTAATCCATTTTCTCTTTATTATTTGTTTTGGAAATTTTTTTATGCTTGGCTGTGAGACCTCGTGCGCCATCATGCCATATGGGTGATATGGGGAATGGTGCCATGATGGATCTGGGGTATCGTATGTACAGCATCTGGGGCGCATTGACAAACAGTAAAGAAAAGCAACTCGATACGTCTCCGTTTGTTTTTGCTATCACAAATAGAAGAATTATTCTCATCATGGGTTCGGAACATCCGTCATAACTTGAATAATCGGCGGCTCACGGACGTCGCGGAGTTGTAAAAGCCGGGTATGCTCCGCTTCAGCTCCGAGCTGATCCAGCATCGGTCTTTATTCTCCGTGTTTGCCTCCAGGAATTGATCTCAAGAATTGTCAGAAATGTATCAAATAATAAGTAATAAAAGTAATTAGATTGCAGGAATTGTACGAACTGCTTATAATAGCCTCGTGAGATATCAGACCATTTCATCGCGCAATTGTTAGCGGGGAAAAGGTGCGAGCTGGAGCTGTAAATGCAGATGTAGACGCGGGATGGACGGGGTCTTGGGTCAGCTGGCGATTGGATTGTGTCAGTGAGGGTCCTTCCTTCTATATCCGATCCGTATATGATATAATATCTCTTTCGCCCTCTCACTTCCTACCTCCCTACTCTCACCCATACACCAAACAAACAAGCAAACAATAATTCTTCAATTATCACCACTGGGATTCCATGCCCTACATTCTACCTACCACCTATCTCACCTCCCCATACACATCCCAAAAACCCACAATGCCGCCCTCAGTCTACATCCTCCTCCAGCGCGACACGGAAACCAACGTCACAATCTCCTCAGTCTATCTCGACTTGCAAGACGCCAACTCCGCGCTTCTTCATCTCGCGCAAGAAGCTGGCGTCGATCCCGCAACAGTCAAACCCTCTACAAACACAGAGGAAGTCCAGCAGCCATCAATCGTCAAGGAGCCACTACGATGGGAGGCCGCTGATGGCACGGCCGCTTGGGTTGAGCGCCATACTGTGACGAATCGCAAGGTGCATGCGCCCGGAAGTGCTGAGAAGCCTGGGTTGAAGAGGAATGATAGTCATTTGTATATCAACGATGATGATGATGATGTTATTGAGGTTGTGGATCACGATGGACAGTACGACTAATAGATTTTACGAGGCGATTAATGTGGAGGATACCTGTCATCGTCTAGAGGGAGCACAAGCTGAGGGAATTTTGGGGATATATCGGATTTACTGTGGCGGATGCGAATCATGGAAATGCGTGCAAGACAGCGTGAGACAAACCGAGTTCTAAGGCAATTCAAAGCGATGCTTTTTATTCAATTCAACAACTTCTATCCATCTTGTTTAACATGCTTCTAAATCTATCATCCTGTAGTCTAATTTTATAGCCTCATACCAATGCGTTTACAGCTTGGCCTTGGGAGCAGACATCATGGTCTCGGCCACGATTCTTCTCTGGATCTTACCAGTTGCAGTCTTAGGCATGACTTCAGTAAAGTAAACCTGCAAAATTATTAGCATATTCTCAGAGTTCATCACTTTTATGGTAAAACTCACCTTCTTGGGCACCTTGAACTTGGCAGAGCGCTCCTCGACCCAGGCCTTGAGCTCCTGAGCAGTCAACTTCTCGCCGTTCTTGAGAACAACGGCAACACCGATATCCTGTCCGTAAACCTCATCAGGGATAGCAAAGCTGACGGCCTCGCTGATTTGGGGGTGGCGGGTGAGAACGTTGTCCAGCTCGATGGGGCTGATCTTCTCGCCGCCCTTGTTGATGAGCTCCTTGATGCGGCCAGTGATAATGATGTAGCCATCCTCGTCCTTCTTGCCCTGGTCACCGGTTCGGAAGAAGCCGTTCTTGTGGTAGGATTCAGCGTTGGCCTTGGGGTTGTTGACGTAGCCCTTGGTGACGTTCTCGCCAATGATGCAGATTTCACCCTCAGTACCCTGGGGAACCTCCTCGCCCTGCTCGTTGAGGATTCTGACATCGACACCCTGGCCAATACCGACAGTTCCAGCCTTTCTCTTGGCAGGAGGAAGAGGGTTGGAGGTCATTTGGTGAGCGGCCTCTGTCATGGCATACGCCTCGAGAACGGGAGCGTTGTAAGTCTCCTCAAGCTGCTTGAAGACAGTGGGCGACAGAGGGCTGGAGCATGATCGGATGAAGCGAATCTCGGGCTTGGGGCTGGGAGGAGGGTTCTTGAGAAGGATCTGGTGGATCGTGGGAACGGCTGTGTACCAGTTGGCCTTGTGGGTGATGAAGTCGGTCCAGAACTCGGAGGCGGAGAACTTGTTGGGAACGACCATGGAGCCTCCGGTGAATAGAGGAGCTAGGAGACCGCAGAGAAGACCGTGGACGTGGAACAGAGGCATGACCAGCATGGTTCGGTCCTTGGGTGTGAGATCGTATGTGTTCTTAATGTTGTCTGTGATGGGTTAGTCATGACGAGTGAGATGAGCTGTGGTGAGACGTACTCATGGTTCGGGTCAGGTTGCGATGAGTGAGAGGGACCTATGAATGTGAGTATGAGATATCGCAACATCATGTCAGTCTACTTACCACCTTGGGGCGCGATGTGGTGCCACTATCAATTGTTAGTTATGAGCTTGTCGCAAATCGCATGAGACCAACCTAGTGTGCAGAATAAGAGCAACATCATCAGGCTCAGCAGTAAGAACCTTCTCTTTCTTGCCCTTCAAAAGTCCATAATCCTTAACGTCAAGCGCAACCTCACCCTTGCTCTCATCCCAATAGCACTCAGCAACAGCAGCATTGAACTTCTTAGCCGCCTTCACACTAGGCGCACCAGCAGCCCAAGCGCCTCTGGGAACGAGGACGATCGCGCTCTTGACATCCTCGATATAAAACTCAAACTCATCCTGCTTGTAGGCCGGGTTGAGAGGAGCAGCGATTCCGCGCTGCCACGAGGCGGCGAGAAATGAGACGATGAACTCGTACGAGTTTACGAGCGCGATGGAGACGGGCGCGGCTGTTGTGATGCCGAGGTCGGCGAGCTTGCGCTGGAAGGTTGAGATGTCGGACTCGAGGTTGGCGTAGCTGACGGTGAGAGCTTTGGGCTTGGAGGGAATGATAATTGCCTCCGCAGAGGGATTGCTCTTGTTGATTGCGGTCTGAAGGGTTGACATTGTAGCGATTATAATTAAAGATTTAAGGACTGAGATCCAGTAACAATGATGGTGATAAGGGAAGGTTGAGCTAGTAAAGATAAAGATCTGAAATTCAATACAACGGACGGACGGCAATCGACAACGGTCTATAACTAACTTAGCGTTCTGTATTCTACGCGATAACCAAGGTAAGGGGAGTTATCAGTATTTAAATCAAACATGACGTGCTTGGCTCTATCCCGTTTTCCCGGCCAAGGGTCCGGGGGTGTTTCGGCTTCCACTTAAATCGGTTTACCCGTCGAACTATGTCCACTTGCCAAGGTGGATTGTGTCAGGCAGTTTACGCGTCTTCTTCATGGTATATATAATAAAGCAATGTTCCCTGAAACGAGAGGGAGCCAATTGGTAACTGTCAGATCGAGGTTTGAGGCATTAGGCGAGTTGAGTTACCGGGACACTAGGCGAGTTGACGGGCAGCTCTGTCTGTTACTGGGACACTGAAGTATGATGTAAATAACATGGGTATCCTGTTTACTAAATCCAGGAACACAATTATGCAGTGGATTGTATTGAAGCCCAACTAAACCCCTGGAAATGTTATACTCTCTATCGCAAATACTCTAAATTTTAGGAACAGTGTTGACATATGTCAGTCAATTTGTACCTACATGAATGTAACCCCGAATGATAAATGCCATGTGGCTCAACCCGGAAATCGGCGACTCTCCAAAGACCAAGGTTCAACTCCATGGGGGCCAACCGAAGGCCTACAGTGGAGGTACCTCACTGCAGGTTCTATCCGTGCCCCCAACTCTTCCATCGGCGGGGTTTTAGGCCTGCATCCTGCATCTCAGGGGCCACTAGAGCCTAAAATGACGGGCCATTCGGTTCCGCGGCGCGTACCTTCCTCAACCTAACTTGGTCGTATACGGATAGAGCAACTTTACATCTCACTCTACTGTACAAGCTGCGCCTCAAACTCTCCCCCGCTATCCCATCCCATATTGTATCTGTGTCTTTTAACTTTAGTATCTCAACTTTCTCAACAATTGTCAATTCTACTATTCTATCGTTCCAAAGGCCTGTATTTGCTTACTTGATACTTGGCTAAGCTTTGCGATATCGAGTACATGCCTCCGTTTCTTCCGCGCCGACCGGTTACTCCCCGCTCCTGAGATCGTTCGAATACCATAATTGCCCATCATGGCTGAGGTGGACGCGATGCCCACCTTTGGCACAGAGCTCAAGGTTGGTTGCCTCTTTGACCCTCAACTGTCATACCTTCATAGGCCTTCGCTTTCTGGACTCCTTTAATGCTTTGCGCCTGCATTGAAAGCTGTTGCTCAACGGCCGGCTAGGACTCATGGCTAATAGAGACGCCTTACTAGGATGGCTTCAAACCCGCAAACGTATGGCTCGGCCATGGCATTGCCTGGCTTGACGAAATCCAGCAATTCTACCGAGAGCGCGCAGCCATAGAGAAGGAATATAGCGCAAAGCTTATGGCGCTTTCTAAGAAGTACTTTGACAAGAAGAACAAGAGAACGGCCCAGCTCAGTGTAGGAGACACTCCTGCCATGACACCTGGTTCGCTGGAGAGGTATGAACCAAACGCTCCCTACTCGGCTTACGAAGCTCTTGCTAATTGTGCCACAACAGTGCTTCTTTGACCACATGGGCTACCCAGCTTACAACCGTCGAGACCCGCGCCGGCGAACACGATAAATACGCCAATAACCTCATTTCTCAGGTCGCGGAGCCCCTCAAGTTCTTCGGCGGCCGCTTCGAAGAACTGCGCAAGCGTCACTCTGATTATGCCACCAAGCTTGAGCAGGAACGCGATTCTCAATACGCCGCGCTTGCCAAGACGAAGGGCAAATATGACAACGTTTGCCAAGAGGTGGAGGCTAAGCGCAAGAAGACAGAGGCGCATTTCGACAAGGCCAAGACCCAGAATGCTTACCAACAGCAGATCCTCGAGATGAATAACGCCAAGAATACTTATATTATTGCGATCAACGTTACGAACAAGCAGAAGGAGAAATATTACCACGAATATGTGCCCGAAGTTATGGATAGTCTACAGGACCTTAGCGAGTTCAAGACGACAAAGCTGAACGGCCTCTGGACGGTTGCGACCAACCTCGAGTCTGACATGCTGCAGCAGAGTAACGGCATGGTGCAGCACCAGGGTACCGAGATTCTTAGGAACTTGCCTCATCTCGACTCCATGATGTACATCCAGCACAACATGGGCGCTTTTAACGAACCCGCCGACAAGCATTTCGAGGCCAGTCCCGTCTGGCACGATGATGGTACTATGGTGGTGGACGAAACGGCAAAGATCTTCTTGCGTAATGTGTTGAGCAAGTCCAAGTCGCAACTGGGAGAACTAAGGAGAGAGGTTGATAAGAAGCGAAGAGAAGTCGAGAGCGTCAAGCAACTAAAGCAGAGAGTTCGAGAAGGAAAGGAGAAGAAGGATGAGGTTGAGGTTGTTCGTACGCTCTTCCAGATGCAAGAGAATCTGCATGCGACAGACCGTGAGCGGTTGACAGCCGAGGTTGAAACATCAACTATTACATCTGTCGTGGGGGATGTGACGCTGGGCGCAAAGAACCACAACTTTAAGAGTCAGACATTCAAGATACCCACGAACTGTGATCTGTGTGGAGACAGGATTTGGGGTTTGAGCGCAAAGGGCTTTGATTGCCGAGACTGTGGCTACACATGCCATAGCAAGTGTGAGATGAAGGTTCCCCCTGATTGCCCTGGCGAACAGACCAAGGATGAGCGAAAGAAGCTTAAGGCCGAACGACAGGAGGCTGCGAATAAGCTCCTCAAGCCTAGCACAACGATGACATCGGTGCACTCCAACAACTCGGATGCACCCGAACTTACACGATCTAATACTATGAACTCACTCAGCTCACACTCGGCACGTCCATCTATATCAGGATCTGCTTCCGGGCAGCTAAGCCCTGCTGAGGAGAACCCACCAGACGCAGCACGACCAAGTATGTCGTCAACGACATCTACTACTACTGCGCCCAAGCGAAGAATTATGGCACCTCCACCAACAGCTTACATTAAAGACTCAGGCAGCGAAACGAATGGTGGTGCGAAGGAAGAGAAGAAGGGCAAGATGATGTACCCCTTTGAGGCTACTGGTGAAGGCGAATTGACAGTGCAAGATGGTCGGGATGTGGTGCTACTTGAACCTGATGGTAAGACTTTGCCCTACTTATTACAAGAACGAAGCTAACTTTATTTACAGACGGCTCTGGCTGGGTCAAGGTTCGAGCAGGATACAAGGAAGGTCTCGTCCCATCATCCTACGTTGAATTCACCACAGTCGCCTCACCACCCGCCCCAGCGCCTGCCGCACGACCATCTTCAACCTATTCCACATCCACAACATCCTCCCTAACACAGACACCCAAGAAGAAGGGCCCCGCAGTAGCTCCCAAACGCGGCGCAAAGAAGCTCCGCTACGTAGAAGCCCTGTACGAGTACACAGCCCAGGCAGACACGGAGCACTCCATGTCTGAAGGCGAGCGCTTTGTCCTTGTGCAGGATGACCCTGGTGATGGATGGGTCGAGGTCGAGAAGGCCGGTGTCACAGGAAGTGTGCCTGCGAGTTACGTGCAGGCTGTCTAGAAAACCAGCGAGAATTGTACATGTGAAGTTTGTCAGCGGAAGAGGAAGGGGTTTGCATGAAGAACAGAAGCGTTGTCTCCTTTATTCTTGGACGAGTGCATATGAAGCTGCCAGCATAGCTTGTTGAGTCACTCCTGAAGAGAGAAAGATACTTGGGAGAAGGAGAATCATTGCGGGATACGGTAGCATTCATGGAGTATATACATTTAGTCACAGCATGAACTCAAGTTTAATAAGTACCTGCTGAGCCGCAACGGAATTAAGCTTACGAAGCAATCGTCGTATCTCGCCACTCAACCGAACTTTCCGAATAAGAGTCATAGCATCACGAGTACGCGAGAAAGGCAAAATACACTAGACCTTATTTGAATAACTCGATGGGTGACTCGATTGACTTAAATTCTGAAGCGCTGATAGCTTTTCCATTGTGACAAGCGAAATGGGGGCATCCGTCTAGTTAGGTATAATATTACAGGAATCGTACAAAAAAAGAGCTCAAACGTCACCACCGAGCGCACTATTGATTTCGTTTCTCATACATGCATCTTATCCCATCCTGGTATACTAGCTATCCCACTTGCCATTCTTTCCGTCTCTCTTTCGTAGTTCGTGCTGGGGTTATGCGTGTGCAGTTGTATAAAATAGGAGGGGGATATCATTTCTTCCGAAACCTTGAAATAAACGCCGTGCCAAAAACGTGAAAAGGGAGTATAAATATGTTTAAAAGAAAAGGGATAAAAAGAAACGGCCAAGAACGAAATATGACATGAGTTCGTCCTGGACTTAGACCATGAGCCCCCTATGGTCAAACACCGAGAGGAGTGTGTTTTGCAAATATAGCGTTCAATGAGGATGATGACAATGAGTCTACCAAGTTTGCTGGTTTTGAACAAAAGGTGATTCATATTTCACCAGAAGATGTTCATGCTCCTCGCTTGGTCCTCGCTGCTCGCCAAGCCTGGAATCATCCTACATCATCGTGGCTGTGGGAGCTCCCAGGGCATGGTGGTTAAGACCTTCCCTCAAAGCGTCCTGCAATTCAGCGATCTGAGCCATCATGGACAGAGAATGCGTTGACTGTTGTTGCATCTCGGCCTTGAGTTTCTCGTTCTCGACTCTCAGACGTTTGACCTCTTCCTTGAGCTCGTTGATCTCCTCGGTAGCTTGCGCTTCGCTTGGGCGGCGCTTGCGCTTCATGCCCGTCTGCTCGCTGTCGTTCTCGTCGGACAAGACCATGTCAGGAGGAGGGGTGTTTCCTGCTCCGTCAGGGTTGGTGTGAACACGTCGAAGATGCTCGTTCAAGTTTTCCATCCGTGAAAAGCCCTTCCCTGTGTGCCGCTTGCAGTTGGGGTGAGGACAGTTGACCGTGTTCTTTGGTCCTCCATGCTTGCCGTGAACTTCGCGCTCGTGTCGGAGTAGACCACCTGAATAGGTGAAACCGGGAAGATTCTCGCACCCTTCAGCGGGGCATCGATAGGGTCGCTCATGCTTGTCCATGTGCTTGCTGTAAAATAGTCAGTATATGTTTAGAAATGATACGTAGGATGACTTACTTCCATTCGCACTTGCGCGAAAATACACGGACCTCTTCTTTGCAGTCGTCTTGCGTACAGTGGAACTTGCCATCGGCACCCTTGACAGCTTCTCTCTCTGGCTTGGCGATGGGCTTCACCCGAGTGGGGGGAGGCGAATCGATGCTGGGCGAAAGGTCTTTGTCGTCGGGCAGAGGGTCGAGTGTTGGTGCTTGCAGAGAAGCCTCAATGGGCGAAGGGAACGTGTGATGTCCTAGGTCGAGTCTTGTCGCATCGTGTACGGCGGCAGCATCATCCGGCAACATCCCTCGGTCATCCCCAAGAACACCTGTGGAGTCTGGAAGCATCGCCGCTTCAGTTGTGTATTGACTGAGCTGCTCGGCAACATCGTTGTCGGTGAATCGTTGGTCGGCGGTGTGATCATGATCGTGGTCGTCACCGATGGGAGGGTAGCCCCCATCGTGTATAAAATTCCGAGGCTCGAATGCGACACTCATGATGTCTGTGAATTTGTGTTGGTCTGCGATGGTTGCGGCGGCGACGTAGAAATCGCGGTCGGAAGAGACTTTAATGGGTGATGAGGTAATCAAAGCACTGTCGACGGTTACGAGTAACACCGGTCGCTTGTTAAGTCTATCGTTTTTTAAACTTTGAGGTGTGGGCGTCAGGTATATTGCTATGACCGCACGCCGATGAGTGAGTGATCGGTTCGGTTATGATGAATGAAGCTTCAAGTTGGCCTGAAAATTCTGGTGTAAAAAAGCGGGAGGCTACGGAACCTGGAAAGATTGTGTGGAGAAAGAACTAGATAGATGGATTAGTCAAGCGCTGGCACGTGACATCGCGTATGCAGCGTGGCTCAGCAGAGGGCGAGGGGTTCCAATGTGGCGCCGACCGTTCCGAATTGTCTTGTTAAAACAAGGTCAATGCGAGAGCGGCTTTATTAGTATTCGATTGTTCTCTAGGCAGACGAGAGCCAACGAGTGACTCGATAGGGAAGGTCCCATAATAAGCAAAGTCCTTTGGGCTTGAATTCGGAAACGTGCCAAATCGTGACTCACGCGCTGTGCACCTTAGTGGCGGCGCATAATGGAGTGGGGAAGTACAAGGCTGCGACGAGGAAATGTACTGTATTAACAATACAGAAGTACTCTTTCGCATGGATGTGCCAAGATAGTGCAACAACCATACTCGTTGCCTTCATGGATCTTCACTCGAAGATGTTGTACACGTACTTGGGTACGAGGCTGTGCGAGCTACGTCCAAGTACATCAAGATGCATTTTGACAGGATCTCGTGATCTTATTCACGGTTCCTGGAGTTAAGCAACTTTGCTTATTGGACAAATCCGGTCATCCGTTAGGATTCCTTGTTCAAGGACAATGACGTGCACTCTTAGAGTGTGTTGTCTAACCCCGGTTCGTCAGTACTGTTTCCTTCAGGCTGTAGCGAACAGGCCTGTTGACACCTTCGGCGATAATAAACTTGCTTTCCAATAGTGCTTATTGGGCAGAAGGTAATCAGGCTCATTGATAGTAATTCCATCTAAGGCGAAGCACACGATGACTGGTCGACCTTGCCCAGACGGCTCTCTCCTGCCTGACTCATCGTGTCGGGTTGGGGTTGGTGGTGAGGCCTCACAACCTTATTTTTCAGGGGACAACTCCAGGAACAAGATGGACGACTTCGCCATATTGTCCTTTTTCGTATAGGTGAGCATGTCGTGTCCCAAGACCACTGAGCCTCGAATGCGATAAGACTGAGCTTGAAAAGAAGCAATTGATCCAGATCGAGGCTAGCCTGGCATGTCTGCGACTAACATCGTATCGCTGTCCTGGCTTGGATTCGTTGCGTATGTATCAGAGCATCCGCGAGAGGGTGGCACAAGCAGATGACGATGGAGGTGACGACGATGGTTCAGAGCAGGGCATTGGCGAGACCGTAAAGACCCGGAAATCGCTTAGATAGAAAAGTTGAAATCCGACGGCAATTCATTCGCGATAGCAATTGAATCGTTGATGGAATTTCCAGAAGCGCTCGTAGGGCGATGAGAGATGTTAATCCGACAGATTGAAGAGGTGAGAAGAAGGGGGAAATGCAAAGTTAGAAATTGGAGATTCGGAGAGCGCTTTGTTGTTTTGGGAATGAAGGAAGGACGGGACGGGAACAGGCGGCGCTGGTTTCTCAGGCATTTGTGCAGTTTACACCAGAAATATGAGGTTGACCTTCAGGTTCCCGTTCAACGATACCACCTAGACAAGGGCCAGGCCTAATGCAGCTAATGCTGATCCTGGGGATGTGAGCCACAGCAATTGGGAGAGTTATCATTGGTCCATTGAGACGATCAGAGTTGATGAAGAAACCTTGATTCATCTGGTCTTGTACAGAATGCTCGTCCGAATTTTTGGTCTCTTTGCTAGATTCATGTCTTGTTGTGATTTGACAGAGGCAGGCGATTGGCCTTTGACAAGGCCATGCGTGCACAATTCCATGAGCAATGCCTAGCTGCATAAAATTACAACTGCAGAAAGTCAAAGAACATTATTCCCCAATACACCAATTCCAAAAACGTTGGTATTCGTTCTGTGACCATTCAGCCTTTCGTATGTCTCTCGCTTCCACTATTTGGCTCAAAGCTGGGGCCTTTCCCCGCCTTCCAAGCCAGGTCTCTTAGACACTAAATTGTTGGCTACACGATGCAGCAACTAACCCCTTTGATTGAAGTGGCTTACAGGACTATGATTGTCTTCACGGTATTCTGGCATTGTACTGTTATATCTTGTGATTGGATTCACGCCTGTTTGTTGCGGATGGTCCAATTCCGACTTCACCATCGCGCTGTTGTATGAGAACAATATGTAGTCGTTTCAAGCCATGACAGCAGGAAGTCTATAAAAGAGCAGTGCCATCGTCTCATTCAAGTCATTAACTATAGTTACACTGAAATATCACATTGATAACTCACCGCATATTTTCTAAACAGGCATTATGTCTCTTGGCAAAATCACTACCTGCCTCTGGTTTCAAGACCAGGCCGAAGAGGCAGCGAAGTACTACACCTCTATCTTCGCACCCAACTCAAAGATCACTACCACTCAACGTCATACTCCACCCGGCCGAGACACTGAAAGAGTTATGGTCGTTGAATTTGAGCTCCAGGGCCGCACTTTCGTCGCTCTCAACGGCGGTCCAGCACCATGGCAGTTCAACGAGGCTATGTCTTTTATGATAGACTGCAAGGATCAGGCTGAGGTCGACCATTTCTGGAACAAGCTCAGTGAGGACGGCGACGTTTCCCGTCAACAAAGTGGGTGGTTGGCGGATGAGTATGGCGTTGCTTGGCAGGTTGTGCCTACTGCGCTGAAGAGCATGATGGGCTCTGAGGATAAGGCTGCTGCTGGGAGAGCGACTGGGGCTATGATGAAGATGAAGAAACTTGATATTGCAGAGTTGGAAAAGGCTTTCAAGGGTTGATATGCTAATACGATACTATTAGTTGATGATTGCGAGCTCCTGCTAATCTATACATGTCGTTGCTTAGTAGACGCTATCTACCTCGGGGCCTAGCCTTAGCGAATTACAGTGATGTCAGGCAATTGATAGATAACTGCCGTGGAAACAACAAAATGAAACGGGGCTATGGATACTCTTTGACTCTGTTTGGCTTAAAGAGGAAGGATACCACCTGGAACCCAGCTATATCCGCTATCGGCTATCCACTCTGGAGTTTTTTTTTTATTACCCCGCCATCATGATGGCTCTTCTTTTTTTTTTTTCTCGGTTGCGCCGTATCATAAGACTGAGGACAGGCTCAGCACCATAACGCGGTTCTACACAACGAGAACATTGTACTCCAACAATTTGAATAAATAATACAAATGGAATCCGAGCATTTGACTAGACTAGATAAGCATGATAATGACTCGTGCCAAGACAGAGATTTAAGTTTATTGATACGCAGTGACAGCAGGCGATACCCTAACATTAGTGGGGCTCGACTCATGTGTACCTAGATGAGTCAGCCACTAAAGGTTGGGTAGAAACAGATTTTTTTTATACTCGTTGCTCTCTCGGTTTGCGCTGTGCTTGCATGGTCCCTTGTTCTTCAACCCATTATATCAAGATTCACGATCACCGGTAATCTTCGACACAATGACTGAATTCGAGAATGCGGCGCCCCCGCACGCCACCTACGACGTAAGAGCGAAGCACTCTCAACTCAAGCCTTCATGTAGTATCTTTAGCTGACCATTGCTGTCTCGTAGACCGTCCTTGTCCTGGACATGGGATCTCAAACCAGTCATGTTCGTACTTTCCACAGACTGTCCTGCTGCTCTTGATATGTGTGAAGTAAGGGCTAACATGTCTGAAGCTCATCCTGAGACGTCTGCGATCCCTGGGTGTCTACTCTGAGATGCTTCCTTGCACTCAGAAGATTGGAGAACTGGGCTGGAAGCCTGTTGGTGTTATTCTTAGCGGTGGTCCCTCAAGCGTTTATGCCGAGGACTCCCCCGGAGTGGACCCCGCCGTTTTCGAGCTTGGTGTTCCCGTCTTGGGAGTCTGCTATGGTAACCAGCTGATTGCCTGGCGAGCAAACCCCAAGAGTGTGGCTCCTGGTGTCAACCGCGAGTACGGTGAGACTCAGATGGCCATCCACAAGGTCAACGGCCATGGTGATCGTCTCTTCGAGGGTCTGGGTGACTCCTTGAACGTTGTCATGAGCCACTTCGACAAGGTTGTTCAGCTGCCCGATGGCTTCCAGATCATTGCCACCACCAAGAACAGTGAGTTCGCTGGTATCGCCCACGAGACTCAGCCTATCTTCGGTATCCAGTTCCACCCTGAGATCTCTCACACCGAGAAGGGAACTGACATCATCAACAACTTTGCTACCAAGATCTGCGGTGCCAAGGCTGACTGGAAGATGGACGACTTCTCCACTCGCGAGATCACTCGCATTCGCCAGCTCGTTGGCGAGAACGCACAGGTTATTGGCGCCGTCAGTGGCGGAGTTGACAGCACCGTCGCTGCTAAGCTCATGAAGGAGGCCATCGGTGATCGATTCCATGCTATCTTGGTTGACCAAGGTCTCATGCGTCTCAACGAGTGTGAGCAGGTCAAGGAGACCCTGGAGAAGCATCTGGGCATCAACCTCACCGTTGTTGACGGATCCGAGCTTTTCCTCAGCCGTCTTGCAGGTGTCACTGAGCCTGAGGCCAAGCGAAAGATCATCGGAGGAAGTTTCATCGACCTCTTCGAGATCGAGGCTCTCCGCATCGAGAAGGAGGCCGAGAACACACCCCGTGCTGGAAAGGTCGAGTGGTTCCTCCAGGGAACACTGTACGCCGATATTGTCGAAAGCTTGAGTTTCAAGGGAGCTGCCAGCTCTACCATCAAGTCTCACCACAACGCTGGAGGTCTTCCCGCCCGTATGCAAAACGGCGAGGCCCAGCTCAAGCTCCTCGAGCCCCTCCGAGAACTCTTCAAGGATGAGGTTCGAGCTTTCGGACGTCAACTGGGTATCCACGAGGAGCTCATTGGCCGCCACCCCTTCCCCGGACCTGGTCTGGGAATTAGAATCATCGGCGAGGTCACCCCCGAGCGCGTCGAGATTGTCCGCAAGGCCGATCACATCTTCATTTCCATGATCCGAGAGGCCGGTATCTACGACGAGGTCACCCAGGCCTACGCTGCTCTTGACACAAACCGAGCTGTCGGTGTCCAGGGAGATGCCCGTGTCTACGGCTACATCTGCATTCTCCGAGCCGTCACCAGCTTGGACATGATGAGTGCCGAGCCCTACGAGTTCAAGTGGAGCCTCATCAAGGCTATCAGCAGGAGGATCGTGAACGAGGTTGACGGCATTGCCAGAGTGGTTTACGACACCACTGCCAAGCCTCCTGGTACCATTGAGTTGGAGTAAGGTTTTGCATCAAAAGAATTTTTAAGAAAACAAGAGATTATAGCTCAGGCACAGACCTGATTTGGCGTTTAGTGGGATAGGAAAGTTAGATTTGCGAAATAAAAAGGGACATTTTTCTATGGCAATTGTTACATGACTTGACTCACCTCATCTCCCCAATGACTGTGCAGTAACAAACATCCCCATCTCTAGATCTCCAGAGATCTTGAATACATGCTAGCTAAGCTGAATCCATGTCGAACTGTTTTAGTCTCTTTTCTTAGAAGGCCGAGCGAACACCGAAGCTTTCTGAACCAAATACGTAAAGGCCGAGATCTGGTTCAAGATGGCGCTTGCATTAGATTATCCCATGATCTTAATAGTCATAGGTTACCGAGTACCGGCGGCTGGTCTCGGAAGGTTGCCGAATATTAAGGGTATCCGTCTCCGGCTTCAAGGCCGGTAATACCGAGAACGGTAGTTGCCGGGCCGCTTCAATGTAACCCGCGTATTCGATCTATCGTTTGTCGATCATTTTTCAACAGATGCTGGAATATTCTAGCTCCAGATGACTGTATATTCTGAAGAATCGAATGGTATCAAGTCCCCCAACTGTATATGATTCTTTGTAAATAAAATGTATTACTGAGAGCAAGAGCCGATCGCGGCATAAAAAGAAGGTTTCCCCTGTAGTAGCCGCATCTACAGTGGTAATTAATGCTAGTGGCTCCATTAAAGCTCAGAAGCTAGAACTTCCCCAACCCGTTCGAAGCTGAGCTATTTCCCCAAAAGTGAATCTGCAGTTGGGACGGACCAATGCTTGTTTTGGTTCTAGCGGCCACACCCAATTGAATTCCATTGATAAATTCCCCTCCACCCTCTCTTGTCTTTTCACTTCCCCTCAACAACTTCTTTTTTTATTTTGCATCATTATCATTGACCCTCTCGACTGGCATTGACTCTCTTCCTATTCTATTGCTGTTTCCATCAAAACCTTCAATCTCCTACTGATATGGCAGAGTCGGCTCCTAGCTCGCTCGCCAGCGGTGGCCAGCATGATGGCCATGCGTCCAAGCCACAGTTTGCCTCTACTGGGCTTGAGAATCAGGAAGAGGGAGATGCCCGAGAGGGTGATTATGATGTAGAGACGGTTGAGCGCATCTACAGGTTTGTCATCACTGATTCGTCTGTATCAACATATAGCTTACCACTTCGATTTACAGAAAGATTGATCGCCGTATCATTCCTGGTAAGACTCATGTCCATCACATTCTATAGTCGCATACTAACAAACTCCCAGCTTTCTGGGTTCTCTACTTCCTCTGCTCGGCCATCAGGTCAAACATTGGAATCGCCCAGACCATGAACAAGGACAAGGGACATGACCTCATGACTGTTCTTGGAATGACTCCCAAGGACGTTTCCACAGCCCTGGCTCTCTTCTACGTTGCCTATGTCCTGTTTGACTGCCCCTCCAACCTGGTCATGAGCAAGCTCAGCCCTCGTCTCTGGATGGCTCGCATTGTCTTTGCTACCAGTGTTATCGGCACCTGTTTCGCTGCTGTCAACGATCCCTGGAGCGTCAAGCTTTTGCGATTCTTGCTAGGAGTCGTTATTGCTGGCATGTGGCCTGGCATGGCTTTCTACCTCACCTTGTTCTATCCTCCTTCGCGCACTGGTCAGCGGATTGGGTACTACTTTACCGCTTCTCAAGTCTCTGCTGCTGTTGTCGGTCTTGTTTCTGCTGGCTTCCAGCTCATGGATGGTGATAGAGGCATTGTGGGCTTCCGATGGATGTTTATGGTTTATGGTCTTGTCGGTGTCGTTCTGAGCGTCGTTCTCCTGTGGTGGCTCCCTGACCGTCCTCTTGCGCCTGGTCAGACTCGACCCAAGACTGGTATCTGGAAGTTCCTTCCCGCTACCCCTGAGGTTCTCAAGGGACAAGACGCTGTTATTCACTACCACGATCTTCGACGTGTCTACCACTCTCGCCCCTGGAACTTCAAGGATCTTGGCCTTGTTCTTATCGACTGGCGTCTGTGGCCTCTGACCATGATGTACTTCGGTGTTGTCGGCGTCGGCATAGGTACCCAGATGTACGGATCCGTTATCATCGCATCCATCCGACCTGAAGCCAGTGGCATCGAAGTGAGTCTTCTGTTCGCGCCTATCTGGATTATGGATCTCATCGCCATTCTTATCGTGACTCCTATCTCGGACCGCTTCCACCGATCCCGTCCTTACTTCTTCTCTGCTGCCGTCTGCATCCAGATCGCTGGTCTTCTCACCACCACCCTGGCAACTGGCAACGGCTGGGCTCGATATGGAGGTCTTCTCATGGTTGGTTTCGGCCTTGGTCCCACTGTGCCGATCTGCATGGCCTGGAGTTCCGAGATCTTCCAGAAGCGCCACGGAGAAGTAGGAGTTGCTGCTGCCACTGCTCTTGTCTCTGGTCTTGGTAACTTGGGCAGTGTTATGACCACCTATGCTCTCTACACCGGCTGGCCCGAGGACGCCGCTCCCGGTCCTCGCCAGTACCGCAAGAGCAACTACACCATGATCGGAATCCTATGCATGAGCATCATCAGCTCGTTCCTTATGAAGGCTCTTCTTGCCTACTTTGGCAACCCCGCCAGCAGCAAGCTTCAGTCCGACTCTGCCAGCGAGTTTGAGGATGGTGCAGCCCGACGAGAGGGTCAGGAGCGTGGTTTCCGATTTCTTCGCGGGAAGAAGTCGAGCCACGCCTAAGTTCTAAGAACTTCCGGACTCGCTCGCCTGGCTCGCATCTTCAACAGTCGCCCAGTTCGACGGGTCCTGACTTGTAGCAGCTACCGGTAGCCCAACCTGCCAGTTCAGCTGCTTGTAAGAAACATGGCAATATACTAATAATATGCCTTACGACATTTCTTTCTTACCTCATCCGACGAGTTTCCATCGTTAGCCCTCGAGGCGTCGCCACATTCTCAAACACCATCATACGACAGCCTTGACGACGATATGCTTCCGGAGGACACCCTGACCTGGCAAAGAGCGCAGTGACAATGCTTCAGCGCTATCACCACGCTCCTAACCATACCAGCCCGTCCTCCCAGCATTCCCCTCTCGGACTATTCTGACATTTTTATTTTTGGTACACGTTCCTGTTTTATTCCTTTTTATATATGATACCCCATCAGCGTTTGTACACGCTGTCCTACGAATGATATACCTCGGCAGCGAAAGTGCTTCTACGCCATCGCTTTGCAGATAGTGTGTTGAACCAGAACTCGCGGCGACAATGCTTGCTACGCTATCGTTTGGCGAGTTCTGTGGGCGTTTTTGTGATTTTGGTTAAGGTGGAGAGAGGTTGTATAACTTGGTTAGGGAGAGAATTACTACAATCATTATTGTTATGTAGGATATAATATAAGAAACATTGCTCTCCCACATTTGTTCTTTTTGCATGGAGTTTATGGTCCGAACAGTATCCCAAGTGACGGAATTCCCAATTGTTTTTCCATGCCAAGCTCGTCTATTCTTAGGATTTGGGTATCTCGTTTAACTATAGGTGGAAAGACATTTCAGAAGTCTCCAATATCGGGCTTGGTTTCTTCTTGTAGACAAACAACTACGCGAGATGAGTCTCCGAAACTACCCACAACGTTGCTGGATGCAAGGTTTACACGGTAATTTTAGACCTTGGCCTCAGGGTATCAGAAGAATTGGCCCCAAAAGCATAAGAGACGAAATAATTTGGTCACTTTATGTCAGCTAAGACTAGCACTTAGGCTACTTTATTATGGTAGCCTAAGCCTCAGAAGACATTTCTGTTGCCCACATGCTTGGTCACATCAAAATCCACGTTCACAAACGAAAAGACACTCAAGAGCTCATGAAATGACGTTCTGTATTCTCTAATTGAGATGCGGTACACCTACACAACCCGTAGGTTAAAATTTCATATGCACATAAAAACAAAGGGACAATAAAGTTCAACTCCAAATCTCAAATTTCTCATTCCTCGACGATCTCCATTCATCTCCCCTCCCATTCTGGTCCTAGCCAAGATATGAAAGGTTAAATGATGGAAGAATCGCATACCCTTGATAAAAAGAACTCCTCCCCAAAATTCCTATGATTGTCTAAAAGTCCCCGTTTCCTGGTGTTCCCAAGAAATCGTTTGCAGCTGAAGTGAAGAAGGAAAAAGACGCTGGCTTCTGCTTATTTTGTTTGTTTACCAGAGACCGAAAGCGCGGCGGAGACGCTCAGGGACGGGGTAGGCAGTAGCCTTGGGCTTCTTGTTCTGGGCCTCAACGGTGGCAGTCACGTAGACTGTCTCGGGCTCCTTGGAGGTGGAGACGGCCATGGTGGTCTGGGCAGAAGGGCACATGGTGACAAGCTGGGTGACAACGTTGGCAGTGGCGGCCTCGCAGTCCATGGTGACCATGGAGGTGACAGTCTCAGCGGCCTGGTCACAGTCACCACCACCAACAGTGACAGTCTGGGTAACCTCGCTGGTAAGAGTCTTGGTGATGATCTCCTCACCACCACCAACGGTAACAGTCTGCGTAACCTCGCTGGTAAGAGTCTTGGTGATGGTCTCCTCGCCGACAGTCTGGGTGTTAACACCGACGGTGACGTAGTTGGTAACCTGGTTGGTGACGGTCTTGGTGACCTCCTTGTAGATGGTGGTAACAGATCCATCGACGGCAGTGGTCTCACCAGCAGGGGCCTCGGAGGTCTCAGCGGGAGCCTCGACAACAGTGGTCTCCTCAGCGGGGACGGTGAGAGCGCCAGTTCCGGAAGGAACACCGGTAGTGAGAGTCATGGAGGTAACGCTGACCTCACCGTTAGGCTTGGTCATTGTGATGACAACAACACCAGTCTGAGTTCCAGTGACAACAGTGGTAGCCTCCTCGCTGGTCTCAACACCGAGAGCAGAGGAAACCTCAGCAGGAGCGGAGGTCTCGGCAACGGGCATGGTCTCGACGGGAACCTCAGTCTCAGCATCGGACTCAACCTTGGTCTCAGTGAAACCGGGGTAGACAGCGGTGCCAGTGCCAGTAGGGACACCGTTGGTGAGGGTAAGAGCAGTGGTGGAAACCTCACCGTTGGGCTTGGTCATGGTGACGGTGGTGACAAGACCGGAGCTCTCAGGAACCTCAGGGACCTCGGAAGTCTCAACACCAGCAGCAGTAGAGCCAACGACGACACCCTCAGAGGTCTCGGCGGGGATCTCGACAGCAGTGGTCTCCTCAACGGGAACCTCGACAGCGGTGGTCTCCTCAACGACGGGAACAGTAGCACCGGTTCCGGTAGGGACGCCGTTGGTAAGGGTCATGGAGGTGACGCTGACCTCACCGTTGGGCTTGGTCATGGTGACAGTGGTAACCATCTCAGGGGCCTCAGAGGTCTCAACACCGAGAGCGGTAGATCCAACAACCTCACCCTCAGTAGTCTCGAAAGCGGCCTCAGTGGTCTCGGCATCAGCAGTCTGAACAGTGGTGGCACCGACCTCAGTAGAAGCAGGGGTCTCAATAACGGGAGTACCATCGGAGACAACGCAAGACTCAGAGACAGTAAGGGTGCGGGTAGAGATGACAACGTGACCACCAACGTTAGGCTTGTTGTCACTTCCAGTGGTAACAGCGGCATCGGAAGGAAGGACAACGGTAGCGGTCTCGGTGGACTCCTTCATCTCACCAGTAGGGGCCTTGGCAGTAGAAGAGGCATCAGAGCGGCAGATCTCAAGCTGCTTCTGGCAGTCGGAGACCTCGTAGTTCTTTCCAGCGCTCTCAGAGCAAGCCTTGGCCTGCTTAGCACAAGCATCATCAAGAGCCTCGTCGATCTTGGGGAAGGACTTCTCCTCAGTACCGGTTCCGACAACGAAGTCACCCTTGGTACCACGCTTGACAGGAGGGCAGGCAGCACCGATGACAATGGTGCGGTGGAAGATGGTAACCTCACGGATGACAACAATGACGGGCTTCTTGATCTCGCTGACAACAGCGCTGCTAGTAGCAGCAGCCTCAGAAGTAGCAGGGAGCTCCTCAACAGCAGTGGTGTCGGCGGCGCCAGCAGGGACGGTCATGGTGGTGTTGGCGAAAGGACCGGGCTGAGAGATGACGGTCTCCTGGCTGTTACCGGTGGTAAGGATGACGCTGGGAATGATGGAAGTGAGAACAGGAGCCTCAGCCTCAGAAGTGGCAGCCTCGGCCTCAGAAGTAGCAACACCAAGAGCAGATGAGCCCTCCTGGCCGGCGGCAGAGGTGCTCTCCTCAACAGCAGGGACGGTCTCATCAGCTCCAGCAGGGGCGGTCTCGGTCTTCTTGCCACCAGCGCACTTGGTGCAGGGAATGGTGACAGTCACGTCGACAAAGCGGGTAGTACCCTCAGTAATGTAAGAGGTAGGAACAACCTTGGTGATATCAGCGGTCTGCTCCTCAGTCTCGGTGGCCTCAGCGACATCAGTGGAAAGGGTCTCGGAAGCAGCGGCCTCAGAGGAAGTACCCTCAGCAAGCGCATCACCGCCAGTGGTGACGTCCTCAGTCTCAACGGCAGCCTCGGAGGTCTCCTCGGCGGCGGCACCAGTCTCGGTCTTCTTGCCTCCAGCACACTTGGTGCAGGGGATGGTGATGGTCTCATCAACGAAGATGGTGGTTCCGTCAGTGATGTAAGAAGTAGGGACAACGGTCACCTCAGCAGTCTGGTCGGAAACGTCGCCATCCTCAGCATCGGTGGTGATGACAGTGCTGACAACCTCGACCTCGGAAGTGGCCTCGGCATCAGCGTTACCGGCGGTGCTGGCAGTGCACCTGGAGCAAGGGATGGTCACAGTCTCGTCGACGAAGATGGTGGTACCGTCCTCGATGTAAGAAGTAGGGCGGACAGTGACCTCGGGCTCAGGAAGATCGGGAACCGGGTAGAGGTTGTTTTCGGCGGCGGCGGTGGGCTTAGCCTTGGCCTTGGTCACATACTTGGTGAGAGTGACCTGCTCCCGGGCAGCGACACCGTCGACAAGGGCCTGCAGGCTGACAGCCGCGACAAAAACGTTGCGCATGAACATGGTGAAGATGTTGAATAAAAAGGGTTAGAATGATTCTTAGTTTTGTTGATTTGGTAAAGAGTGAAAATGCTCTATCAAAGAGCAAACAGCTTCAAGCTTGTAAAGAAAGGCGACCAAAGCACCTGTAAGAAGGAAAGACTGAAGAAGAAAAAGCCCAAATCTGGGAACAAAACTAATGAGTGTATTGAAGTTGACTGTGAAGAGGAAGGGAAACAAGAGAAGCTACGGCGAGAGCATCGCTTTTAAGTAACAACATTTTCGTTTCTGCTTAGCCTCGCCGAAAGTACTGTAAGTCCCAAGCGTCAACTGTGACAAGGATATGAGCGGAGTACGGTTCAGCACGGTCATCCTTGACATCGATCGGGGGTTAATTGGAAGTGGCCTCAACTTGAGACGTGATGGATCTGGCGCCTCCCCCTCATAGAAGCAAGTGCCCAGGTCTCATTGAACTGTAGACGAGACGTAGTTTCGTTGAAAGTGGGCTTTGGAACCTTGCCAGCTTGGCAAGGCGGTGCCATGTTGAGGTCGAGGACCTAGGCGAATGGATTCTTGCCTTGGAGATTGGATGATAGATGATAGAATCCCATGGGTCCTTGGCAGGCACAGTCGGTCCTCTCCAGATAGTGGAGGGAATATGTCTCCATGTCACCGTCACCGTCCACTAGACATGGCATGGTTAATTTTCCGGCGGCGAATGCTACGAAAACAACCTCTTTCGGTCTGGGCAGTAACCTTCCAGATGGGACGGCAAGCCCGTTCGGTTGCCTCGGTAGCTCTAATGCGCACCAGGGTCTTGTGCAGAGTATTTCGTATTTCGATATATGCAACGATCAGTATAACTCAACGTTTTGTTTGACTTGTCATTGTTTGCGAACGGTCTTTTTCTTCGACGGTGAAACTATTCCCGATGCCGTTGAGCCGGTGACATCTAAAAATAGGGCGATTCAGCCCAGTACTTGCAGATGTTTGGTATCAGTAGGTCTTGACTGTAGCAATAGCATGTATGAGACGGCTATACCGGTTACTAGTCATGATGGGCAGTTCCCTTCCAAGGCAGGCCAGGGCAGGATGGAAGGGAAGGCCTAAGTTCATGTTTCTCGGGGGCTTGCGTCGATCCTCCTCGCAATTTACCGTCAAACAGATTCTCGATAGGCAACGTAGCGTTGAGTTTTGTTACTGGACGGGGCTGAGATCGAAGTTGGGTAACTGATGCGGAGGGAAAGTCAAGTAACTGAAGTTCGATTGGAAGACATCATATGCAGGGATGCGATGCATGGGAATATGCATAAAGTGGGTTTGCAGGGGGTGGGGGAGTTGATGTCGCACGAGAGACATGAGGCAGGCACGGCAGGCAAGGGTTTATCGTTCTTTCCTTCCAGTTCTACGGGAATATCATTTCTAGTAAGGGCAGGAAGGAATAAACATTTACAGGGAGGAATTAAACTATTCGATAGTCCGCAGCACTAAGGCACTGTAACATCACAACTTGAATGAGTCGCATTATTCTTTTACCTACAAATCCACTACTTCAACTCTACTCTTTGACTTTCTTAAGTCTGGACGATGCCAAGCAAAAACCTCGGACCGCATCCTCCGTTTGTAAAAATCTCTATTCCCGGTTGAGGATGTTGGTCAAAAGAACGATCACATTGAGGATAATACCCTGGTCAAAGTTCCATTCTCTCACTCAACATGAATCAAGACGAAGTTTCATGATTCCCCCCTTAGAATGAAGCTAGTCCAGACTCAGTCTGTACCTTGCATCAAACCTCGTTTCAGAAGTGAGTCCATAGCCTAATTGAGGTGCCTCGTTCATGCGAATTTTACACGAATGAGCTGTCTATTCGTCCAAGTCTCCATTGAACTATCAAGCATAATCTATTCCTGAGGATGCTGCAGCGCGCCTCAACTTCGGAAACAAACACAGCCTCCCTTCACTTTTAAAATCAATCCATTATTACTTTCCCAAGTATCCCATTCAATCGGAGATTTTTCTTTTTTCTCTAATCTCTTTCGTTTTATCTTATTTTAGTACATATATAGATAGTGTATCAAGGACATCACCGATGTATCACGATGAATCGTGTCTCATCTTATTCTCGAAGCCACAATTGAGGCTCATACGACGCCAGTGATACAACAACAAGTTTGAGCATACGATGAGATGATCTTCATCTCAATTGATCCGAGACAAGGATATTAAGCCACAGCAATGCATCGGCGCTACCTCTTTAGCCTCTGTGCGCAACTTGGTCAACACCGCTATGATACGCTACGGCCGCATCACCGCATCTTCTAGTAATGTATCATTTCGCGTAGCAGCAGATGTCATCCTGTTTGCTTCGACAGCCCAGAACTTGATTTTTTGTACTGAGTCAGCTTGTTTCTTCCTTCTCTCATTTCTATGAAACGGACCAGGCCTTTGATCCTCCGTAATCAACCACTCAGACAATCTTACTGGGTCAATTTGTGCTCACGGTCTTCTTAGTCCCGGTTATTTATATTTAATCTTAATCGTAGTGCCGGTCATAAACGACACAAGCGCGGTGAGTGACGAGTAGTAATATTGATGAAGCGTGTAAGCCGTCACTATCTCCGTGTTTGATATGCTTTGTCTGCAGATATCCTATCGGAACATTTGCTTGCCATCTGGCCGGGTTACAGTTTCGTATGTTTACTTTTTTCATCCCGTCACAGCTTGACGAGATGTCAGCTCATTCATCCTCTTGCGTCGATATTACTGGGGTCCGATTGGTAGCTCTACTGCTCTTGACGCTGTTAAGATGATGCAGCAACTGGCAAAGATATCTATTTTAGTAAAATTACAGTTGAGATGTATGTGCCGCCAGTACTACCTACAGTACATACATACTCATCGCTTCTTGTGGTGTTTCGTGATCAAGTGACCTACCCTAAGTCCAACCACGAGCACGACCCAACATCGTCTATTGTAATGATCCTGGAGAACATCCGTAATCTACAAAACATTCTCAGCTCGCTTGATGACATTTGTTTTCCTTGTTAATCTTGCGTTGTATCCCAGGGTAGCACGGGTCGATAAGCTGAGTGTGGGTTTGAAGATCAGTGGATCAATATCAAGCAGCGTTGGTTCCTGTATAGCAAAGATCGTCACTCAAACTTTATGACAACAGCCTTGGATTTCATCCTCACATTTTGTAGAGCCGCGTTTGGCCAAGCAGCCAAGGAAGGATATCGGATAGTTGTTTACCGCTCGAGCGTCACAACAAACAGAAAGAACATGGATGATGAGTACGCACGGTAAGAGTTCGCTGGTGAAGCGTTGTCCATCAAGTGTCCATAGTGCCTCATCTACGTGGTTTCTATTTCCTAATGACGCGGCATTAACCTAGATGAAATGCTTATTTGGTGAAACTGCTGCGAAACTTGGCTACTCGTCAGCAAGCTCAGGTAAACCAAGATGCTTCAGTTCTTCTGTCAACTTGTCACTCATTGTTTATTAAGGCCCACTGAGGACGAGCCTCTTGAAGGCTGGCCTACCTTGATTGTCAGCAGTATATATATATTGTCAGTTGGTCTGGGATTTTCCTCAGGTCGCATTCATGATATGTTGAGTGCAATCCTTCTGGGCCAGAGACGTTTTCTCTTCGTACGGTAGCTGACTACAGCACAACACTCGACATCTTGCGTTGAAAGTACTGTGCACTAACTATTGTGAACGGCCAATCATATTCTTATGTTCATATGACCTTCGTCGTCTCCTAAGTGTCGCGTGCTTCTACAGAGTTGAGTTTCGACTTGGCAGTTCCGTCAATCAAAATTCCATCTTTTGGTGGTGAATATCTTGTTTCAGGACAAGCTACTAGTCAAACCACTAAAGCCAGACCTCTACACCTCATATTCTCTATCCTCATGACATCTGTAGTCACCAATCGTATCGCAATCCTGAAGAAGTTTTGTTCCAAGACTGCTACCAAGTGAACTTGTGATCGGGCTATAGGGTATGCAAAGCCGATTAGAACAACCATCACATCGCAACCTTTAACATTACACTGCCTAATGGTAGTTGTATCTACCTGATATTATATGGAATTTAAAAGGGTTATGTAGAGGGGAGCTTTTCTGTTCTTGGGTAACTCATATAGACCACAAACCACCGACCTGATCATGCAAGATCCTATCGGAAAGCAAATTCGTGATTGTAACATTAAACGAGAGTTGATAAAGCTTCGACATATAATCATGAGGAACGTTTAGGAGAAAAGACATCGCAAAAGTTTCCAGGTTCAAAAAGTTCTATGTATCTTGTGCTATTGATTGAATATCATCAGTTAGGGACTAGACTGGTCCGTACTTCAGCTGGTTGATGCCATGGCAAGGATTATCGCCGCGAAATGGAGTTTTTGAACACTGATTTCAGTCCAAAGCTTGACTTCTATCTGCTTTGGCTATAAAGTTCCATGTAGTACCATGGTCCTGTGTTCATTAGGACTACAGTCCCCGGCGATCGTCTACTACGAAAATTCTTCTGGCACATATGCCAAGGGCCCCTCACAACAGCTGATCTCTTCAACGAACATCTACGATCTTCAGGTCCCCTTCTATATATAGAACCTTCTACAACGCGTTCTAGAAGAAACCATCTTCCGGACCTGCATGTCCTAAAAGACACTCATCAACGTTGAAAACTTCAAGGTGTCGTTCTAAGAATGTGATTCCGAGCAGAAAAACTCTTAAACCGAGCTGATGGACGGGTATTACGTACTCCCAACAAAACTTTACCCTCAAGAAGTATAGAACGACGGAGCCCTTGACGCCATAAAAGCCTGTCAGTGGGTATAGTTGGCGTTTAGTATGGGGAGAGATTAGATTGATAAGATGAGATTGTCATGGCGTCTCCCGAGACCGGAAGCGTCTGAACAGCCGTGTCGCAATTTTGTGTTCGCACATTGTTGATCTGAACTTGCATGAGTGTTTTGTGCTGAGAGAGTATTATTTTGTACGTAATTAAAAGTTGGTTGTGAGTTGAATGGTGAAGTCGTAACTATCGTAAACTGCAACATGCATGGATATGATGCGGACAAGGGCAATTCTTCTCGTCTCATGACGAGTAAAAACACGTGGGGCCCTTTTGTTATACCCCGCGTGACTAGACAAGCCATAATCGATTGGAATTTCTGGTCAATAAGTTACAACAATCCCTTGCAGCAACACGCTATGGTTTGTGTTATTGACTCGTCACCGCCGGATCGTAAAGAAGGCCTCGTTCGGTTCGGTAAAACTGACCTGAAGAGTCTCCAATGGAAGCAAGACCGAAAGAGTAAAAGAGGGGACATTCAGTTCCATGATGGCCAGGTACAGGTACAGGTACATATTACAGCCAGGTACAGTAAGATACAAAATGCAACTAGGCTTTAATCGGTTGAATGTCAAGCTTCAGGAATTGGTCCTGGACTTTACCGTACATATACTAGTTTGACTGTGGCTGGTATCAAGTGACTGACGCAGCTTTGACTTGATTTGATCTGACTTGTTCAAAGATCAAGATCTCAGCTGCAATCATCATCATCCGTTTGATCCTCAACTTCGGAAGTAATTGTATTCTTATCAATTGATGGTTCAATCAATTGTCCCAATGGCTTCTCTTCAAGTCATATCATAACTACAGTACAAACCTCCACTATAACTATATCCTTCTACTACTATCCCCGCTTCAACTCCCGGTTTCGATAGCTAGAACCCACTTGTTTTAATGCTCACTCACTCTCTCATCCCAGCTGCGTTACGTTACTCGTCACGCTCAGAAACATTAATCCTTCCGTAAACGAGTCGAGTCGACGGCACCTTCTTTTTTCTCTCTTCGTTTCTCTCTCTTCTCTTCCTACACACCCCCTTACCCTTCCTATCCTACCTTCCTCTGCCGTATCTAGCCCCGATCTTCCATCACATCAACACCCCGGTCCTTCTCACCATACCGGCCTTCAACATCCGGTCTACCGCCATATCGAATTGAATTGAACACACCCCTCCCCATTCATTCCTATCGCCTGTGCTTTGCTTATCAGATCCTGGGGTTCTGGTTCACACTGTACATGCCAAGCCGCAATTCACTAGTAAAAGACAAATAAAGAAAAGACAAGACAACAAAGCCATGGCGCGTTTTGTGGATTTGGAAGAAGACGAGGATGTAGGAGCGGGCCCTGGCGGCTTTCCCGTCAATGATCCTCGTCCTCATCATGAGGTCCTTCCGCCCATCCCGCCAGTTGCTGAACCTCTTCATCATGACGACTCCCAGCAGAGTGAGCTTTCCCAAAAAGACCAACATCTTTTACTTCTCAGAAAGCTTGAGTTGCTGTCGTCTTCGTCTAGCAACGGCCGGAATGGACCTTGGCCTCATTCATTATACAACCCAGAGCCACTAGGCACCATGGATGCATCTACTTTCCAAGCACCTGTTACCAATGCGTTTCAGTGTTATCCGTGAGTTGAACCCTTTCTGTATCCGAATTATAATTTCAATGCTTCAATGTTCTCAAAATTGAGAGTATTGGACCTTATCATGATATCCCCGCCAGCTTCAATACATGTCATGACAACGACATTTACTGACTTTCAACAGCGTCGTCGAAGCCATTGCTTCTTCTATAGATTTAAACACCCTCGACGCACTCTCACGTACCTGTCGTCTTGTTCATCATGGTTTAATTCAATACCGTACCACTCTTATCAACTCAACACTCCACTGCCAAAACGAAGACGTCCCTGTCGATGGTTCCGAGACCTTTAGGTACCGTGCTCGCGCCGGTAACTGGTTCTATATGGAAGACGGCCGCAGCTACAATGGCAAGTCGGGCGACTGCGCTCGTGACATGGTTGGCGAGTGTCGCAAATGTAGTGATGTGATATGTCGGGTACGTACATGCGATCGGCAGGCACCCGGGAATCGTTGAACAAGCTGCATATGCTAACCATATCATCTTGCAGAATTGTGCGATTAAGCCTCCTGCTTCCGGTGCACTTAAAGAGAGACATCGAAGACTATGTAAGGCCTGTGTTCATGCACCTATTGCAACTCTTATCAGGGCTCCTGTGGACCCAGACGTCCCTCTCTCTTCAGAGTCGGTATCGCGGGAGGTCTGCAAGTGCGCCGATGACGGCGTCTGGTTGTGTCAGCCATGTGGTCGAAGTATTAGAGCTGCAGATAATGACTACCAGCGGTATGTCTCAATCTCCCTAATAAAGTCTAACTTCCTTTACTGACGATTCTCAGTATCTGGCGCTGGCGTAACCAGTACGGCGAAGTCCTTGGTGGTCTTGGTACCGGCATTGGCGAGGGTGATCGTGGTGTAATCTGCGGCCGCGAAGCAGACTGCTGCGCAGCCAAAGAAGTCGAACACCAAGTAGACTGCGACGCTGAAGACGCCCGGGACGGAAACGTTGCTCCGAGTCCGGCCCCTCAGCAAGCTCCGGTTGATGCTCTCATTGACCAGCTTCGCCTCACACACGAGCGCACACCATCGCCGTCTCTCGGTCCTGGCTACTTACGCCATGAGATCGAGGGCATTGGCGGCGTTGTGAAGCGCAAACGAGTTCGTATGGTGCGTGTTGGTCGTGGAGTGCCCGAGTGGGATGATGAAAAAGGCAGTGGCAGGCGTGTTCTCGGCCGAGAGGTCAGCGGAGCTCGACGATCGTGGTGCGGTTGGTGCAATCGGGTTATTCCTGGTGAAAAAGATCTTTATAATGAGCCACCGTCTTCATCTTCTTCTGACGCAGGAGGCAGTCGCAGGACGTCGACCTCAACTAGCAGGTCGGTTGAGATGAAGATGAACTGAGGTCCTTGGTGGGGTGTTGGTTAACGTTATGAATTACTTATACAGGTATGAGTACCAGCATCATGATCGGTACTGAACAGGGCTGTAATCAGGATTTAGTACATATGGTGCTTGGAAAATAATTGTACGCTGCATGTCATAAATTCATTGGCAGACACTATCTTTAGGACGTACATATCAAGACAACCACAAATATACAAAAGAATAATGATTTGATGGAGTTCATTGGTATTTTGGCATTATACAAAGTTTGCCCGTTCTACTGGGCCGAATCCAGCATGATTCATTCGCATTTTCACTGCGTTCCCCGTCATCGTAATCCTACACAAGGTCCCGGCGACTTTTATATGTTTGTACAGTTTTGATATATGATCGTTGTGCCAGGTCCTTGATACTTCAAGAAGCACCCTACAACTCGCCACGGTACAGCATCTCTGTTCTCCTCTTGCGTTCCTCTCTTGCGTTGGTTCGGATAGCACCCCATCGAGCTTCCCTTCTCTCCTGCTTTCGCTTAACACCCTCAAGGTGGTTCTGAGGTGCAGGAGCAGCCATCTTAACGAAAACAACAGAGCAGCCGAACTTCTCAGCGAGCTTGTTGACGCTCCATGTAACGGGGTCATCTTGCCTTAGCCTCTTCATCTCCTTGATATCTTCGGCGGTGAGGTTGTAGTTGGGGTTGCGGGCCTTGTAGTTCATCTTTGGAGGAAGCTTGCTGTGGGCGAGAGGCTCCATGGGAGAGCCGGGAGTATGTCGGAGTCGTGTGAGAGCGACTCGGCGCGCATCGTTGGGAGGAAGGAAGAGGAATGGTGTGTGGAGGGGAGAAGCCTCGGAAGAAGGAGGGTTGTAGATGATTTCGTCGGAGGCGGGGAAAGCGGCCTTTCGGTCGGGGAGGAAAGATTCGTGAGGAGCGATCTTGAGAGATCGTTTCGTTCGGGTTGTTGTCTTGTGACCACGGCAGGGAACGATAGGAAGACGAGGGTTCAGTAGCCGGGCCGCTGGTCGTGCGAGAGTTCGGAACTCCATGGTGTGTGTTGTGAATTGAGGAGACCGGGGGTACACAGGGAATGAAAGTGCTGGCCGAGGTGTTGGGTTCTCGTATGGACCTCGTGCACCAGGTTGAAGACGATTGGCCGCGGCAATTGGCGTGTCGTGTGGTTACAGCTAGACCCTGCCAAACACCTTGAAGTCGAAGATCTGAAGTTTCTGCCACTACGGATTGGCTTACCTAAGGTTACCTTACCTAATCACTCGAACTGTTCTCACGTGGACAGAAGCCGCTCAAGATCACATGATTCGATTGCCGGCGGCTACGGAAGATCTTCAGACCGGCCTCTGTTGGCTCAGGTCCGGTTTCCTTATGACGTCGGTTTCGACACCGTGAAGAAATGCCCCTCTTGGCTCTACCGATCGACCCCTCGTGGCATTAAACCTCCCGCGCTTCCAATAACACTGAAACCTCAAGCTGACGAGTCCCTTGTTTCAATTTCCCAACCCTATTGCAAGCAAGATCTGCCAAATCTTTTCTCTGGGACCGTTGGAGATGACTGTGGAGGACTGATCAGCGACCCCTTATCAGTGGCGAATTATGACAGGGAGAAAGGGGTTTCGGCACATGGTTCGACGTCCTGTCAAAAAGCTTGAGTGCTAAAAATGGGGCTGAAGGGGAAGCCCAATGATGCATCGCAGATTGCTATTTTGGTGTTGTCGATGGTGTTTGAGACCCAAAAAGCAAACCATCGATACTAAATCAGGGCAGATACTTTTTTTCTCGTATCCCTTGCTGATTCCCACCTTGGCTTTTACTGTAGATACGCGCGGATCTTTACTCCTTGTTAGACCATTCGGTAGTTTCCCGTCAGGGCACTCTCATCATGCCCTGAAAGAGTTGTCACGAGGACCATGTGGTAGCGGGGCCCATGGCCAGGTTAAGGTTGGTGACAACTATGAGACGGGATGTGATAAGAAAGGTGACCAGCACGATGGCCGCTGTCACCCAACCGTTCCAAGGAACGACAGTGGTGTACAATCCGAGGGAGAAAAATGGTTTGATCGACTCCGAAATAGTAACCACATGTTGTTAAGGCTTGTGTAAGTTGTGTAAGGGAGAGGCCGAAATATCATGAGATAAAAGGGATATTTGAACCCATCGGATCAGTCCCTTGACATCTGAGATAGGCAGCCCAGGGCTGAACATTCGTGTTTATTGGGATCAAAGTCCCTTGTGCTAGACTTTTGGGTCCGGTGCCTGACTTGCATGGACGAGAGTCCCCTTGTCGAGTGCATGCATATGGATGGATTGGTGTAGCCCAGTATCAGACATACGTAACATGCAATGTAGGATCACAGATCACGGCATGGACGACCAACAGAACATCTGAAAGGACGACATTCCAAAACGTGGTCACCTTGTGGTTGGCCTTTTTCATGTATAGCATCTCGATGTATCTCCCTGGTTTCATCATCAACAATCAGGTTTTTGAATGTTGACATCAACAGCGATAATCTCGTTCGTTGACTCACCTTGGCAGAGGTCCCGTGGTCATTCGCAACATGTTCCATGGATTATGATGGACTGCAATTAAATCTCTCGTTTCTCGTCCCTGGCAGGCAAAAGACAAGTGACAAGACAAGACAAGGCAGTGGGTTTCTTCCCTGTGCGACTCACGAAATTGCCCCATTCAATGCCCTGGATAGACGCCTTCAGTTGATCCCGTGCCTTGATCAAAGTGCGCTGATCCTCCAAAAGATTGAAGCTCTAAAGCCACCTACGCCGCCCGTCAGCCCCCCTCCATCAATTCCCATTCCATCCTTTTTTTAAACTTCTCTATAGGTATCGTCGAGTCCTTCCCAAAATCTGACTTGTCTTTTCCCCTCTCTCTCATTGTTCTGGCTCGAGTTCATTTCGGCAGACAATAGACTACGTATAAACCCAAGATCTTGACAACCCTGCAACCTACCTTTAACAGGTAAAGAAGCGAGCGGCATCCGACTAAAAAGCAATAACAAACACAATAACAATAACCTTTGGTACCTGTCGAATCGGGTCGAGTCTTGTCTCCCTTTCACTGCACAGCCATCAGGTACCAACGTCTCAGCCCGCCCTTTACTTTAAGGTCCTTCCGCAATCCATTTACCCGACATTATTGAAAAAAGTTTTTACGTCAAGAGATCACGACTAGCAAATCTCAGTACGGTCACGCATTACGCATTCCATCGACGCTATCCGAAGTCCAGACGGCGGCTCGACAGGACAATCCAACGGCATTACCGCGATTAGCAGGTCTCTAATCCCCATCTACAGCGACCTTAGCGCAGGCCGTTGCGGGTCTTTGTTTACGGAGGTCCCCAGTATTGCGCCGGGAGCTACGGACTGTTTTACAGGTCATTAGTCTCAAAAGGTTTGTGCAATCATCCAATCCAATATTCAATGTTTCTCCCATTGCAAAGGGCAGCAGCGGAGGCGGCGGCAGCAATAGCAGCAGATACTTTGACTAGAGTCTCAGTTCCGCACGGTCATTTGTGACTCTGATTCGGTTGCGCTTTTTTGCTTCTTCCTTACCTTTCCTTTCCTGATTCGACTTCGACTGTTCTCTACTTATATCTTCCCCTGCCCGGCTCGCTGTCCCACTTGCCGAACCTAAACTTGCATTCCACGCAACGACCTTCGTTACTGACTGTCACTTGTTGAGCAGTCTCCCATACGACTTTTTGCAAAAACAAAGCACCTGTCGTGCACACTCATTCCTCAAAAACCAGTATATCCCTATAGCTCATTACGTGAGCCCATCTTTCAATATGAGCCTCGCCGAAGCTGCCCCCATCACCCGCGATGATCGATATGTCAACCCCGGATCAGACGATCAGCGGTTAGGTGACTCGACACCTCGAGCTAGCGAACTCAACAACGAGACGGATAGTCAGCGCGACGACACGAAGAAGGACGGAAAGAGCAAGATGCGTAGCTTGTTTGGACTTGGCAAGAAGAAGTCCTCGACGCCTATAAAATCTGACTCCAAACCCGACACGAACGACACCAAGACTGGGTCTCAAAACGAGTCCCAGACTCCTTCCAACACAAACTCCAACCCCACTAGCCCATCTCTATCCCGAGACGCTTCCAAGCTATCCTCGAACCAACCATCATGGTCCCCTACTGGTGATCAGAGCTTCATTCCCACCTCTCCGAGTCGCGGCTTCACTGGATCTCCACGACTGTCGTCGCCAGCCACATCCCAGATCTTTGAACGTGATGTTCAAGACAGCTCTGTTATCGCGGCCAGCTCCCCAGCCATCCCGACACACATCCAGACCGAGAACTACATTCCTCCCGTTCTCGATGATGCGTCCGAAGCCATCACAAACAACAAGCTTGACCCGGATACGGTCGAGATTGTTACTCACACCTCGCATCAACCCGCTGCGGTGACAGTCACAGGGGCCAGCAGTAACTTGCCTTCGTACGATCCCTCTGCCAGCGAGTGGGCAGCAGAACTAGCATCCTTTGCCAACCGGGACGCTGTTTCGACCGATAACGCCTCCAATTACGGATCTCTGGATTCTGCGGACGTCCGTCGTCTATCCTTCATCTCGTTCGCTGATGTTGTACAAGCCGAACACAACCCTGCCGGAGGCATTGCGAGCTCCCGCGACAGCATCCATCTTGCAGGTCTCACATCTCTGCCCTCGGCAATGAACCGTTCACCTTCACCTATCCGATCACCTGTATCTAGCCAAGGACCCGAGACAAGCCCTCCTACGAGCAACCCCGGTAGCATGAAGGGTATTGAGCTGAGCCCCTCACGAAGACCCCTGGGTAGCCCTACCAGCATCAACAACCTCAAGCTCAACCCTTCAGGGGGTGATTTGAACATTGAGACAATGAGCCAGGCTCTGCGAAGAACCGGCAGCAGTGACTTGAGCCATGTCCGCAGCGGCCCTACAAGCCCAATTGAGAGCTCCCACCTTCGTTAAGCACAACATTCAGTATGATTGGAGTAAGATCGGTGAGGGGGAGCAATGATGATATCCAGAAAGCAAATGCGACACTTCTTTTTAACCATTTGGTGATTATACTTCACTTTATTCAATTCGACTTCGATACCCCCTGGGCATCGTCACTTTACTTTTGGGAGGAATGGGGGATACTGGGATCTGGCACTGGGAGTTGGAAGAGAGTTCTACTGGGCGTCGACACTTTTTCCGCAATACAGACATAATGCACATATGTCATGCTTTGGTCGTTGTCATGTTCTTTTCAGACGCGAGGAAAATACAAAAAAAGCTGCCACGAAGTTGGTAAGCAGGTATTCAAGATACATTTCGGGCCTTGTCTATTGTTGCGGGTGATTTCTAGTACGGGAAGGCCTCCAAAGTGAATCATGGCCTCACATAATGTTGCCTCAGAGATGTAAGGACAGAAAGACGGTCAATGGATGTTATGTGTAACTATCATACTCGACTTCGATTGAGGCATTGTCTCCTTACACAAATGAACACAAGCAACCTTTCTTGGTAATGGACCAGTTCTGAAACGGTGGATGTATCTGCTGTGACTATGTAGAAGACGTAAGCTTTTGACTTGTAGTGGAATTACATAGTCTGTTTGCATCAACATGGTGGGTCTGTTCATCTTATAAGTGATGCTGTTGAAACGCGGCATGACTATCACGATAGAACGCTCGCCTAATGCCGGCTCCAGATTCTAGAAAATTAATGGATGTTGTTTCAAGCGAGAAAACCTGACGAAGACACGACGGTGGATCTTACATACGAGATTCTTTACTCAATGCAGATTCCTGGAACCGATGGCGTGGCACTACATAAGAACATGGATGTTCTCGGTATCATGACGACGACTTGGAAACACAAGGCAAGATTTGATTCAGCCATTGTGAAGCTCTATTGTTAGAAGCGGTGTGCTCGTGTTGCCTGACCTGAGCCTTGATACAAACTGAGCTGATGTTTCGAAAGACTAAACTCTCGGGTCGAGTGATGGACTGTGCTTGATTACGGAGGCCGCGAATGGGGACACTGTCAGGCAACCTGCAGTATATTTGTTTTTTTGACTGACTGCGATACTCTCAAATGATTGGTTCCCAGGTTCTTATTACGGCTGCAAGACATCTGCCGTGTTGAGGCAGCATTCATCTTGTCTTGCAGATATTATCTGCAATTCTCGTGTAAGCGACGCAACATCGCGGCATAAAAAGCAAAGAGTATTCCATCAACTAGAGGATCTGGAGTTGACACGTATGTTTCAAAAATGCTACAAGTAATAATGCGAAAGCCAAAAAGCAAAAGATCGTCTGTCCTATGAAGACTCGGAGGTTGGTTTTGTTTTACAGATGAGACACGTGGGAATGTCCCAGTCCCACGCCGGCGGGACGGGACAATGGACCCGCGTTAGAGCCAACAGCCTTAACTTTTGGATACAACTTCCATACTGAGCAATTATATGCATGATGTACTATGACATTGCTTATTCACTATAACTGCGAGAATACAACTTAGATTATGTATACAGTAAGTATTATGCCGTAAGCTCAGGGGCATCACTTCATTTCTGCTTATTCCCGGCCTCCTACATGAACATCAGGGGTTGGAAATATAGGAGAAGACTCTTGGACGACGATAATACGTTCGAGTAGGGATGAGATTACGCTTTGACTTTTACAACTATTGCTTTTGGATACAATGGCGTAGATACACAATCAGCCTGTCATCCTCTTTCTCTTGTTCGTAGCCTTGCCAAGACCTGTTGGTCACAAGAAGAGAGAGCCATGTGGGGGATATCGGGCCTCAAATCTTAGTCCTAGTGATATAATGCCAGGAACACGAATACTATCAGCCATCCACGGCCGTCTAAGTGATAATTTTAGGTCTAGCACCCGGCTTCATGACTGATGTTGCTTTTCTGATTCCAGCTTCCCCGTTGCCCCTGGCTTTTTTTTTTCTTTCTTTATCATGGTCGATCTCGTTCCTCCACCAGTCAGAGTCTGAGACTGGAAAGCGAAGTGATGTGATGGACTGGGAAGCTGCTACTAGCGGCTGCTCAAGTTTGAGTTGCATAGATGCTAGATATCAGCCCGTTCGCTGCGGGCAAAGGATGAGACTTCCGGATGACATTCCGGCTGATTATTCCCATCCTAGGCCCGGAGGCAGGCTGACACTTTAACGCCAGGACTGAGCTCCAATGCCCTTTGTTGCCTAGAGTTTTCAGCCATTTATTAATAAAGATCTACAGTTCGAGTCAGTCACCCTCTTTTGCGAGTTGCTGAAGCCCGGAAACTAGTGAACGTTGAGATTGGATCGAATGTGTTATTGAGCATCTTGTGCCCTGTTCCCAGCCGGCGGGTCAGTTCCCAGGATAAGGGTATCCAGGTGTTGTTACTGCTGCTACCTTTTCCCACAGAATAGTCGCAAGATGAACCTGTACTGGAAAAGTTCATCCGCGGTCATCCTTTCTTGGGAAGAAAGCATCCGAAAGATCCCTGCTTCTTTGGTAACTGGAATGGGGCTATGGACAGGGACGCCGGGATTTGATGGAAACACTGGGCGACTTGGGATGAAACTCGAACAAGGGATGTCGTGCGGCGTTGTGTGATAGTGATGATGGCTTATATGGTTATCAATCAGATTGAAGGATGGACAAGAAGAAACCAGTCTGACGGATCGGGAATGTTGCATTTGGGGTTGAACAGAGAGTCTCAAGAGTCTGTCTCAGTACACCGTCTTCTCTTAGCAGCCCGCTAACAGAAAAGCATAAGGGATGAGATAGCTTAGACCAGATAACTACCACTATCTTTCTAGTGACGGACTACCGAGCTAATACTAAAGGTAATGTTGTAGAGATCCGCTCGCTCTCCAAACTCCCCCCACTCCTCCACTGTTGCGTGCTGTGTTGCGTGCCCATAACCAGGCCAGGATCATGAACCAGGACCCAAAAGCCTAGGATCTATCTAAACTTACAGGGCCTGGACTGTCTTGCTTTTCCTTCAGTCATGCTTTAACTTTGACTTTTTCTCCACTGGATCCTCTTGACGATAAATTGAATTGTTCCAGAGGAGGGAATGCGAAAAAGTATGCTGTCGAGTTGAAACAGTCTGTAACTAAAGAGGTCGTCCCCTTTTCTCGCCACGGCCCGTCCTGTCTCGGCATCTTCCTACATTTGGAGAGGACAAGTAAATAGAATGATTGGATAGAAATGCTCGCCCGACTTCTACTGCATGGCGTTCCCAAATGTGCTGCTCTCGTGGGCCTGGGGATCGGCAGTAGAAAGAACCACTTGCAGACTGCAATGTTGTATCCCCCGCTTCTCGAAGCATGCAGATTTTCTAAATTGGCCCGACTGCTACTGTACCTTGCCGAAGACAATAAACGAAGAATAGGTAGTTACATGGCGTCGAGATTAATTGTCAAACTGTCAAAACTATCAGGTCCCGGCAGTTGTAAGAGATAGAGTGCCTTGTACTATAGCCTAATAAGACTCTTTCAAGGTCAACCTGGGCTCCTGATCCCCTCAGACCCGGAGAGACAGAGACAGACCAGACCTAGAGGCCAAGGACCCCTACTAGGACAGCGTTCAAGGATGGTTGGCAAGGGAAACAAGGGCCCTCTTCTTCGGCTACGCTTAAGCCTGCGCTTGGTCTATGCTATGTACAGAAAAGACATGACATTCGACTTGCCTTGATACTCGGAAAGTACGTGCGTGGCGACGTACCTACCTACCTTCCCTTCTTTTAAATCAAATTAAAATCAAAATCATTTCTGGTTTTGAATGTGTTTTGAATTTCTTTGCAACTTTTGCTTCTCCAAATCTCTCCCCCAAATATTGGTGACAGAGACTGTACTCACTTCTGTACTGCATAACCTCAAGTCGACCTGACCTACTACTTGACCTCACCGCAATTCGATTCTTGTCTAAAACAGCTTGATCAAGTACTTTTACTCATCCTTCCGTCTGAGCGCAGTCACGCTTATCGTCATTCATCTTGGTCTCGTTCCTTTTGCATTTCTGTATTGGGATAATTCTTAGTGGACTCTGTAGGTACCTCTCTATTCATAATTCTTGGCTTTTTTTTCATCTTTTTCATGCACTTTTTTCCCCGAGTGGTTTGTTTGGTTTTAGTGCAGTTTTCTACTGGAACTGGTTGGTACTTGTAGCTGTTGGTTCCCCTCCACCGGTTCTCCCCCAAGTCCCAACACAAGTCCCGTCTAAAGTCCAGCCCAGTCCATTTGGAACCGAGCCGAGTCCTTCTATCGATTCTTTCCATGCACAGACTACCTGAACTAACGTAACAAGCCCTCCCCGCAACCAGTCAGTGACTGTGACTGATCTGATTTGCGACATCTCTCAACAATCGGATCGATCACCCGACGACAATCCACGATAGGCGCACCTTCAGCGCAAAGTCGACCGTCATATTCGACGCATAAACAACACATCCCGACTATCATCGAGACAGACCCATCGATTGATCGCTTCCCCTCACCTACAACAAAGAAAGCCCTCGAGGCACCCAACCCAGCGTTAAATATCGACCTATTAGCGAAAACCCACTACTATTGCTGTTTCTTTCACCTCAATGCGGGACGGGCGCGTGTATGTGGATGTGGACAAGCAATGGCTTAGGCTTGCGACCGCCAAACATGGACGAACAAGACAACTCTCGATCTGGCACTTCCAGTGATGCTACTTCCTGGAACCAAGCCTCAACCTCCGACCTCAACCTCCCAAGAGACCCAAAGATGGAACGCTCCAGCGCTTCTAACTTGAGGTCCGCATTTCGAAATACACTGATAAATGCCTCCAATACTGTTCGATCCGTAACCCCCGACCCCGTCGACCCTCCTACGCCTCCTACTGTTAGCGTGACGACGGAATCTTTATATTCTCAAGAGGATGTTTTATCGCAGCAGACTTCTCCCCGGTCAATACCCTCTGCCGGCCCTGCTCGCAGACAGGGCATAGTTTTCAACGAAGTTTTCAGCGAGTCGTACGAAAGCAGTGAATCTAGCCCGCCGAGGCAACACTTGCGGCATACGAGCGGTAGCCTGAGGCCTCGGACGCGCACGATGGATACTTCTATGCTAGCCCAAAGAAGCGTACCACCACCTACATCAGAACGACATCGTGTTGGCAGTGTGAGCTCATCGGGGTCATTACACCCGTCCGACGATCTAAGACCGCAGCTTAGCTCATTAGACTCGTTACATCACTCGGTGATAACAGGCCGAGAGTCGTTAGGTACACCTAAAGACAAGAAAGCTAGAAGGCTTATGAAGCGACAATCGTCTCGGCCTACCTCGCCTCTCATCTCTCCACCACCTACCGTCGATTCACTACCATTACCCATAGCTACCGATGATGCGAATAAGGTTCTCCTGCTCATGAGGACTCTGTGTGGTCGAATGCGCGGCGAGATCGAATATCAAGGCGAAACAGGCGGCCCCTGGCACAGTGGAGTGGCTTACATCGAAGAAGAGAAGGGATGTCTCATGTTTGATTCGGGTCAAAATGGGCCCTTTCACATCCCTCTCGTTTCCGATCTACGCGGTTGCAGGGTCCTCCCTGTCGATTATCCCGAACTGACTAAAGAATGTTTGGAGTTGGTTTGCCAGCAACCTCCAATTGAAATTTTGATATGTCCTCGGGTAATGGAAGAATTTGATTTGTGGCTGGCGGCTTTACTATGTTGGCAACAATTACGTCCCACGGGTATTAAGCTTTCTAATGGTAAGCCGGCTAACCAGGTTATGCCAATGAGACCGGAGCTCAAGAGACATGGCTGGTCGCAAGAGAAGAACAAGCCAACGAATATTATCAAGGTTGGCAAAGTAATGCTATGGGACAAGGGTCTGGCTGTCTCACCGCGGGCGATCGTCAAACGACCATCTACGCGAGATCTTCGCTCACCGACCACATCGTGGAGACGGGTGTCTTGCATACTCCAAGATGGTGGAGAATTTAAGCTCATGACAGAAAACGATGTCACCGTTTTGTCTATTATCGACTTGTCACAGCTCTCGCGCTGCGCAGTTCAACAACTTGACCGCACAGTACTGGACGAAGAATACTGCATCGCCATATTCCCTATTTATGCTTCATCATCTACTCACCTCTCCATCTTCCGACCCGTTTACTTGGCGCTCGACAGCAGAGTTCATTTCGAAGTTTGGCTATGTCTCCTCCGAGCCTTTGCAGTACCGGACATCTACCACCTTGACGACCCCTCATCTTCCCAGATTTTGGAATTAGATGACATCGAAACTGAGCAAGAGGGCGAGGTCTTCCGACTTGAAAAGACCATCAGTGTCCGAGTTACTGAGGCAAAGATCAAGGCCAAGCCGAATGGGGTTGGTGGAATTGAACCGACGATACACGAGAAGCCTGGACGACCGGAGCCTGATCCTTTAATCGGAAATTACCTTGCCGAGGTTATACTAGATGGCGAAGTACGAGCGCGAACGACGACCAAGACAGGAACAAAGAACCCTTTCTGGAGAGAGGACTGCGAGTTCACCGATCTGCCACCCAGTACACCTTTATTGTCTGTTGTATTAAAGAGAGTGGAAGGAAACCTGGATAGTTCGAGCAACCTTCTCCAGGCCTCAGTTGGACTGCCAAGAACACGAAATCTGCAAGAGTTTGTGGTCGGAGCCGTTGACCTATCTCTTGATCAGCTCGACCGTGGCAAAGACAGCGAACAATGGCTTCAAGTATTTGACGAGAAGCACCAGTCCGTTGGTCAAATGCTGATCAAGGTGAACCACGACGAGCATGTTGTGCTTCTGTCGAAGGAGTATGAGCCTCTCAAGGATATCCTACACCGGTTCCCAGCAGGATTGACAAACTCGATCTCAGCTGTTCTACCCGGACAATTGCGTCGATTATCCGAGCTGTTTCTCAACATTTTCCAGACATCGGGTACTGCTAGCGAGTGGCTCATGGGCTTGGTGGAAGATGAGATCGATGGAATTGGTAACCAGGCTTCCATGAAGAAGTATCGATTCAGCAGTCGCCTCAAGTCCAATGATTCTGTCGATGCAGCGACTGATCGTGAGCTCATTGTGAGAGACATGAGCAAGTCCCTCGCTGGAGAAGCGAACTTGCTCTTCCGCGGCAATTCACTATTAACGCAGTCGTTCGAATTCCATATGCGCCGCCTCGGCAAGGAGTACTTGGAGGAGATTCTGCAAGAGAAGCTTTTCGAGATTAACGAGATCAATCCAAACTGTGAAGTCGATCCTAGCAAAATCCCCCACGAATCGGATCTCGACCAACATTGGACTGTGCTTATTCACTACACGACGGAAGTGTGGAAGTGCATTGCCAGCTCAGCCAACCGACTGCCTCCAGAGCTTCGACACATTCTCAAGTACATCCGAGCCGTTGCCGAAGATCGCTACGGAGACTTCCTGCGTACTGTCACATATACATCGGTGTCCGGATTCCTGTTCCTTCGGTTCATCTGCCCAGCCATTCTATCGCCAAAGCTGTTCAACCTCTTACGCGACCACCCCCGACCTCATGCGCAACGAACGTTCACCCTCATTGCGAAGGCACTGCAGAAGCTTGCGAACTTGTCCAACTTTGGGAAGCGAGAAGAGTGGATGGAGCCCATGAACCGCTTCTTGAACCTCCAAAGACAATCTGTTCGTGACTATATCGATCAAGTTTGCAGCATTCCCGCGGATCGAAACACCACCAACTTTGTTCCTGCTGGATACAGCACACCTGTTACCATTCTTGGTCGTTTGAGCCCGACTTCCAAGGAGGGCTTCCCTAGCCTGCCTTATCTCATTGACAGCACTCGAAACATGGCGAGCCTTGTGAAGCTATGGGTAGACGCCAAACCAGTCGACGACAAGAAAGAACAGGTGGATCAAGAGCTTCTCGCCTTTAACGATGTCTGCTTTGCCCTCCAAGAACGTGCCGACGCATGTCTCGCCAAGGTCGAAACCGAACGTGCCAGTGAAACAGCAACAAACGTTACAACAGAAGACATTACCGAATCTCTCGAACAAGCATCCCTGATCGAATCCCTCTCCATATCTTATGGTGGCTCTTCAACGGCATGGAACGACGTGTACGAACCTCCCCCACCCGGGAGTTCAGGCAGTGAAGTCAACGACGAAAATGCAGCGCAGAACCAACGCCGTCGCAGCAAAGAACGTCGTCGTCACCATCATCACCACAAAGAAGGCTGGGAACATCGCAAGCAGCGACACGCGAGCACGGGAGGGAGCGCGAGTGCGGGTAACACGCTCAAATCTAAGAATGGACGCGTGGGACGTACGATCCTCAGCGGTATCATGCGCATAGGCGGACGCGGAGAGAGCCCTGAAGAAAAGGATTCTTCAAAGCGACACAAGTAAAAAAACAAGACATTTATATCCATTTATACAACTCAAAACACAAACACGCACTTATACATACATATACCTTCTTCACGACTAGATGGGGGAGGAGCTAGTTCTTACGATTGAATGAACAATACAACTTCTTTCAAATACTATGTCTTGTCTCATTTTTTCATCATTTTCTTTTCTTGTCATATCAGGCTGGGAGGATTTGTGGTTCATATTTTGCATAGCATAATCCTGGTATGGTTTTAACCGTATTTCATCTGTAAAATATTAGCAACGGAGTTTGTCTTGTTGGTTGGGAGGTGTTAGGCCGGGATAACGCTGGGAGTTGTCTGACGGCGAAGAAATAGCAGAAAGTTTTGGGAATATTAGAAAACAGGGTGGAATTTTGTAGCTTTAGATCAAACAATAGACATGCTTGCTTAACCACTCTCATCTTGATTACAATTAATCTTCATCAGTGCTCTGTCCCAGCCCCTAGTATATCATTACCATGGTATGTCACAGTCATTAAGGCACCGTATCTTATAAAGTAGATTGCAACATATGCAATTCGATGGTATCTCATTCAGCGCCGACTCCTAACCCGCTTTTCCTCGCATGGGTCATGTTATAATAAAAGATGAATCATATCCTCCGCCCTTGTCATGTCCACGTTGATTTGATTCTGTAAATACAACCGGCGTTCTATCGCTCGCCATGAGTAAAAACGACGCCCTCTATTTTCCGTGATGCCTTCTGGGTAGATGTCACTCAAGTAAAGAACTTCTTGTAAGCAGCCTTCTCCTTGGCAGCGCGAGCGGCAGCCTTGGTTCGGACGGCGTTGAGCTCGCGGGTGATGGCGCTGTCGTTGGGAGCGAGCTTGTTGGCCTCAGTCAAGTCCTTAAGAGCAGCCTCCTCGTCCTTGAGATGGATGTTGGCAAAGCCTCGGCGGTAGTAGGCCTTGGCGCGGTCGGCCTCCTTGATTCCACGGACATCAAGGGCAGAAGAGGCATAACGGGCAGCGTCGTCCCAGGCCTCAAGCTTGATGCTGAGAAGAGCTGAGTTGTTGTTGAGGGAGAATCGGAGAGCCTCAAGCTCGTCCTTGATGGACTGGGGCTGGTCTTCGAGCTCAGGCTCCTCGTTGATGTAGCGCAGGCCCTTCTGGTACTTGTCAAGTCCAAGTGAGTAGTTACCTGACTTGAAAGCAGTGTTTCCGTAATCCTTGCTAGCCTTTGCGATCTTGAGAACAGTGACAGCGTCAAGGGTATCGGTGCAGTCATCGGGGAAGTCCTCGTAGGGGTCGCCAAGGGCGTCGGGCTGCTTCACGTCGGCAGCAAGGGCAGCATCGCCAGTGAGCTCACCACAGTCGGCAATGACAGCCTCCTTGGCAGGTCGGTCGCCAGACTGGGTGGTGAGGTTCTCGATCTGTCGAACAACAGACTTGCCGTTGAGGACCTCTCCGAAGACAACATGCTTGCCGTCAAGATGAGGGGTAGGGACGGTAGTAATGAAGAATTGGGAGCCGTTGGTGTCTGGTGGGGTCATGCGCGTCAGCATCATGACATGATACGAGGGGTCATTGCTTGGGCAAACCTACTGGGACCAGCATTGGCCATGGACAGAAGGAAAGGCTTCTCATGCTTGATAGGGAAAGCCTCATCGTCGAACTTGTTTCCGTAGATAGACTCGCCTCCAGTGCCATCACCAGCAGTAAAGTCACCACCCTGGATCATGAACTGCTTGATGACACGATGGAAGACGGAGCCCTTGTAGTGCAGAGGCTTTCCAGACTTGCCGATGCCCTTCTCACCAGTGCAGAGAGCTCGGAAGTTCTCAGCAGTCTTGGGGACAAGGTCGGCATAGAGCTCCATGGTGATGCGGCCAACGGGCTTGCCGCCGACTGTGAGGTCGAAGAAGACGCGGGGTCGCGCGGGGGATTCGCCTTCGGTGGCCATTGTGAAGGTTGGTGATGTATTTGAGGAGTGGGAGTAAAGAGAAGAGGAACCAAGAATACAATGCAGTCGCTAAAGACAAGTTTGAAGTTTGGTCTTTTTGTTATGAAGAAGGGAAAGAGTTATCACGACGTGGGGATTGCTTGTCCAAGGCAGAATCGCAGAGAAGGAGACAGAAGAGGGGAGCTCCTTTGCCAATTTTGGAAAGGTTCCGTCACGATGCAAGTGATCGTTGCCGCCGCTTATAAGTGGGTAACCTTCAGCCAGGGTACAGTTTGTAACCGATCAACAACAAGGAATTGAGCTGAATTGGCTGAGGTATAATAACTATAATATGCATGTTACTCACAATATCAGGCCATTGTCTCATTGTCTTTGCCAGTATCAGCATGAAGTGAGGGCACAAGTAGGACACCCTCAAACTAAGGTAGGTAGCCTAAGCATACCCCATTAGCCCGTCAAGCCCCTCCCGTCCGTTAAAGAAACCGCAGAATAACGCGAGCACCTTTTATTTTTTCTACACCGGTCATAAGCAACAAACAAGAAAGTGAGTATCACTCACGATCACTTAAGGTATATAAGGAATAGTGATGAGAACGACACCAAACAAGCCCGAGCTGGTGAGTCTGAGTGAGGCTCAACTTGACCCTGCAGCTAAGGTTGGACCCTTGAAATTAAGCCTCCATAACATCCATATCATTGTCTCAACTGACAAACTGAAATTATAAAACTTTACATACCAACCAGCACTCACTGTCTCGAACAATTCAATATACCAAAGGCAAGGGAATAAGACAATATCATATTGACCAACGCATCCGATCTCATCATCTCGGAGTGGGGGAGGGGCAACGGCAAGACAGAGGAGGGGTTGTCAACTCGTATGAGCTGCATATACAGGGATCAGGCAAGCGACAAGTTTCCTCACAAAATCAGTCTAGGGCAATGAGAACAAGACCGAAGGAGAACCTAGACTCTATAGCAAAGTTGACATTCATCATATCAAGATAGTTATCTGAAGCCACATAATCATTATCGTGCAAGATATCTCATAATTTGAAAGGGGAATTGGCAGATAACCCTTTGGAAACTCAATCAGAAGGCCTAAGCCTAGGTGTAGCCGCTGCTTACTTGAGACTGGTACCAAATATCAGGAACTCATCAATCTCATGAGCAATCTTGGGGATCGGAGAAAAACTCAATTGCATGCACCTTCTGATCGTCGCTTTGACCTCTCTTGTATTGCTTTTCCCTCGACTATCGACAAACACGGAATTTCAACCCTTGTATCACAACACCAATGCAGCCTCTCCGGTTACTCATCCAATTAGATATATCCACGGCTATGTTTGTCGTTGCTTACAGCGTTCAGCTCTGTCTATCAGAGCTGATAGCCGTTCCTCTTTCCGAAAATGCAGTTTTTTACAGCAATCGTACCATCGGCTGACCTTTAAAACTTGTCTCTATTAACGAACGCTCTATGAATCCCACCAAACGTCCGACCCTTTTGTCTAGCCTCTATTGTATCCTCCCTGTATAGGCTATGTTCCCTATATCGTACATCCTTTATAGAAAGCCACATCTAATCCGACTTGGCAGTTGCACCGTTCTTGAGCTCAAGGGTGACCTGTATCGTTTGTTAGCAATGCACATACCCTGGAAGAAAGGGAAAACTCACCGGTCCGTCGTTGACGAGAGCGACCTCCATCCACGCTTGGAACTGTCCATCCTTGACTCTCTCCTCCTTGTATCCCGCCTTGACCTTTTGCACAAAGTAATGGTATAGCCGGCGCGCTTCCTCCGGGTTGGCTGCGCCGTGAAAGTCAGGCTTGGCTCCCTTCTTGGTGCTAGCCAGTAGAGTGAACTGCGACACTGTATTCGTCTCAGCCATTACCCTGAATGTGGCGGAAGGGATTGAGTTTTCAAAACTCAATACTCACCACAGAGAACCTCGCCTTCAATATCGCTCACGCTCTTCTTCCACTAGAATAACATGATGTCAGCCTGTCCCGAAATAAGCTATCAAGGTTCATTTTTACCTTGCCGCCCTCTTCGTCGTCCCATAGCTTCATTCTTAGAACCTTTGCGGCCATGAGATCGGCCTCCTTCTCTGTATCTCCAGGGGCCACGGCCGCAAACGCGAGGACGCCCTTGCCGATGGAGGAGATCATCTCCTTGTCGACGGTGACGGACGCCGACAGGACACGCTGCAGTATGACTGTGAGGTTGGTCAGCTTCAGCTCCAGCCCTCTTGTTTCACGGTAGGCTACTGAAATGCACGCACCCTTCATTTTTGTGATGTGTAAGATTATGTTTTGTGAATGTATTTGGGAATGTGAGTTGAAATATCTATCTGATGGGCTTGAGTCAAGCTCTTTGTATCTAGATGTTGCTCCGTAGCCGGATCGGCATTGGTTCCGACTTTACCGTGTAACTTATCACTCACTCACTCACTGTCATCGCCCAAGAGTATCAGTTCCATTCATTATAAAATTTTACTACTCAAACAGTGTTAAAGTTACAAAAGTATGCATAAAAAAGGCGTCTCATATAACGAGAAAGCATAAATCCTCCCAATGGCATGTATTGAAAAAGGACCCTTTGAAAGTCTCCTCACAGAAACAAGGGAGTCAATGTCATGTGAGAAGCGTCTATTCGTAGATGCTGGCACTTAGGCCATTAGCTCCCCAGCAAGGTACAGTCGGCTTTAGCGAAAAACCACGTCATTGAATCTACCCCGTAAAGAATATATAAAATAGCACGCCATCATTTGGTCTGTTGCAGAGCATTGCACAATATGACTTCTTTTTTGTCGCAAATTGATTGATTTGTAAAATATTAATCTAATTTTCCCCCTGTAATCACCATTGCAAGCCCCCCAAAATTCCATCTGCGAACTGTCTCAGCAGCTAACCGCGCCTTGCCCCAGGTGACCCGCGCTCAACTGGCCAATCAAAACCGTGCGGCTGCTTGGCCTGATCACTGGCAACATTGGAATCCACACTGGACCTCCCACCTTTGAACCTTAGTAACAAGCCTCATCAAATGCTGGCCAGCCTGTCTGTGTTTGCCTTTAGCAACCGCATTTCATCCACCAGCCGCTCGTGGACTTGAAACTCCCAACAACGGATACCCTACCATCACGTACCTATATTTAACGACGACACCAATCGATATACGCGACGTCTGGTTTAATTATTCACACTTACCTTCCTTGCGACCCCGATTGGCGAGGCAGGTGGCACAACAACACGACGCCCATAAAGGAGTCGACCGAGAAGAGCTTCGATAAACGTTCAGAACTTGCGCCCCTGAGGCTGCATATTTCTCTTCATAATGGCAGCAAGGAAATTGGCCCAAGAGGTCGACAAGTGCTTCAAGAAGGTCTCCGAAGGCGTGGCCGAGTTTGAAGCCATTTACGAAAAGATCGAACAATCGAGTAACCCCGCTCAAAAGGACAAGCTAGAAGATAACCTCAAGCGCGAGATCAAGAAGCTCCAGCGACTGAGGGATCAGATTAAAACATGGGCGGCTAGCAACGATATCAAGGATAAGGCTCCGCTGCTTGAGCACCGGAAGCTGATCGAGACGGTTGGTCCCCGCTAACAAAACGAGCAAGGCTGTATCAGTTCTTTATTGACTCTGGTGTCGAAATAGCAAATGGAAAAGTTCAAGGCAGTGGAAAAGGCCATGAAGACGAAAGCATATTCGAAAGAGGGCCTATCGGCTGCTGCCAAACTCGATCCCAAGGAGCAAGCAAAGGTCGAAGCGAGCGAATTCCTCAGCAGTATGGTCGACGAGCTGGAACAGCAAATCGAGACCCTTGAAGCCGAGGGCGAATCGATACAAGCGACCATGAAGAAGGGCAAGAACAACACCGCAAAGGCCGAACGCATCGCCGAAGTCGAACGAGTTATCGAAAGACATAAGTGGCACCAGGGCAAGTTGGAACTTATCAGGAGATCCCTCGAGAATGGCGGAGTCGAGCCTGAACAAGTCACTGAGTTGGAAGATAACATCCGATACTATGTGTCAGACGGCATGAACGAAGACTACATGGAGGATGAGGAAATGTACGAGGAACTGGATCTTGAGGACGAGGAAGGCACCTACGGCATGGGTGCCGACAACGAGAAGAGCTCTTCTCTAGATGATCAATCTGTGCAAGAGGACCTGACAACCGACACTGACTTGCCAAAGACGCTGGCGAGGAAGGCGCAAAAGGAAGTCGATCCAGTACGGAGAACATCGTCCCAGACAAAGTCCCCCTTACCCGCGCTCGCAACATTGCATGCTCCGTTATCGACTATCAGCAATGGCAATTCTGGTACACCCGCTATGAAGCCTGCATCGGTACCCTCAAGGCCTGCTGGGGAGGGTCTCAAGTACGCTTCTGCAGCCGCGGCCGCAGCGGCAAGCGACAAGAACAACGTGGGTATTGCACCGTTACCTCCACCGCCTGGTGCCGCATCGTCAAGCATATCTCCATTGCCTCAATCCCGAAGCAGCGCGACCAACTCCCCTGCTACATCCTCTGCCCAGCCCGCTTCTCAACAGCCAGAATCCAAGCAACCCACACCAGCTCCTGCTCCTGCCGAGCCCGAACCTGTGCCTGCGCCGGCACCCGTGCCCGTACCTACCAAGCAATCGAAGCGATCAAAGGCTGCTGGAAAGCAAGCTCTGGTGCCAGAGACCTCGACAACGTCGAAGCGTATGTATACTCAACAATCTTGTATGATGCCGATGACTAACTGTTCCATAGCCGCAAGAACAAATGGCACATCCAATGGTGTTAAGCTCTCCGAGGAAGAGGAAGAGTCCATTTACCACTTGCCAGCGTCGTTGCAAGATCTGGTCGATACGTATGAGACTTCTAGAAAGAGACCATACCATCCCTCTGCACCATCGGCCTTGCGCATGATGAGTGCTAGTCAGGCCAGCTGCCCTGATGTTGTGGATGCTGATGTGCCACGGTCATATCGTCCCGAAGTGCCGGTGCCCCCAACAGGGTCCAACTTCCCCCGCGAGCCACTTGCCCTCTTCGATGACCAAAGATGGTATTCACGGGTCGACCCCGATACCTTGTTTTACGTTTTCTACTACAGACAAGGGTCCACCCAGCAATATATGGCTGCCAAGGCTCTCAAGGACCAAAGTTGGCGGTTCCATAAGCAATACCAAACATGGTTTCAAAGACACGAGGAGCCGAAGACCATTACTGAGGACTTTGAGCAAGGGACATATCGCTTTTTCGATTATGAAAGCACATGGTAAATAATTGCCCCCCCAGTTACGTGAGGTATAGTTGTGCTGACTTGAATGTGCAGGATGAATCGACGAAAGGCCGATTTTAAGTTCGTCTACAAGCATCTTGAAGACGATGTTTGATTGTAAATTCCCACAACATTTGACGATTACGTCTACTGGATCAGTGTGAGAGATATGGAACGGAGCTATGGGTTCGGGCAGTCTGTACTTTGGTTTTGTGACCTCCCGGAGAGGGCCACATTGGGTGTACGGGGAGATGAAGTCGATATTGGCGGTAGCCTCATCTTCTTTCCCTGTCCTCACTCTTGTTGTTCTTTTGGGACAGGTAAATATGCTACAAGGGGCGTTAGTTACCTCATCGTTTGAGATATGAATACGAACCTTTCTAGTGCTGGGCTGGCTGCAGCCCTGGATGAGAATTTTTCCCGACGTATAAAAGCAAGTATGGTCCGTTTGCCTCGTGAATTCGCTGGTGGACGTCCACGAAGCCTTGGTGGGTGGTGAAAAGCCTAGCTGTTGAGGAGTCTGACACCATTATCTCCTACTGCATGCAGCCTCATATTCGGCTGGCGTTCGAGGAAGAGGTTTTGCTTGGTGGCGCACAGCCATGTAATTGTCTGCATTTTTATCATTCTATCCGGAATGTCTCAGTGTGTCAGCCAATACCGTAACGTCTGGATTCCAGCCCAAGTAAGGCGTTCCGGATGATAGATTCTGAAGAAAAGAACTCAGCAACTTGAGCTACTGCGTTGCTGCCCAAAGGTCGAAGAAATTCCGAATGCCGAAGTCATCTAAAATGGTATAAGTATAAGAACAGAATTAAACTTGATGGTGAGAAGCTGATAGCTTGTCGGAGCTTATCAACATCATCAAGCCGCTGGTTTCCTTCCTATGTCAGCTATCAAAACAACACCTTGCGTGGTTTGACATGCTACCACCTGAAGCAAGGCAATGCTACACCTGTAGCACATTTCACTTTATCGCAAACGACGTGGCTCTCGGAGATGGCAACGCAGATGAGTAAACGAAGCACAAACAGATCCTTGCTGTCCTAGGGTCACAGATGCAATTACATATGCTGTCTTGAACCTTTTGTTTGCCCATTGAGCCTGAGCTGACATGTGTATGACTTGATCAAGAATTAGAATGCCACAGCATAGATAATTTCCGTTCGCTCTTCAGCCGACAAGCCCGTCACCAGATGGGTGTGTTGTCGTTGAATTCAAGGCTGGCGAAAAGGGTGCCTCGGTAAGTAACATCATCGCCATCGACGCTGTTGCCTTTTCCCTGTGCTCTTTGCAATGTGCCTATCAGACCCTGGCCAGGCAATCTGTTCGTTAGCGCTCGTCAGCGCTACATTTGTCGGTGAGGTTGGCTCCTCTACGAAGGACAAGGTTGCGGCACAGCTCTGGGCAAGTTGCCATCCATCGCCAGGTTGAAGGGCCCATTCGAGAAGAGAGTTGTCGCCCCCAACTGAATCGGCTTTCGCCGTGAAAGTGACCGGGATATGAAACAGAACCAATGCAAGATACATCAGGAAGGCTTCTGGAAGGCTTCTATGCCTGTCATCTGGTCTGAAGTTTCGCCCACGCAGATCCCTCAATACGAGAAAGAGTTACTCTTAAGCGGGCGTTAATTCCGTACAGCGAATGGCATGGATCAGGTTGTCACGGATGGGGATGTGTCCCATGACCTGGTCGAAGTTGATGATTTCATTGCCAGTGAGCCCTTTTCAACGCTCTTAGTGCACTTCTTGTTCAAGACTTCAGTCAGCCTCACTAATGCCCCCCAAGCTTGCCTGAAGACGTCAACCGTTGTCGAGTGAGTTCACCGACAATCACCTTTTCGGAAATTTTCTCAACGTTGGCCTGTCATTGCCGGAGAAGGATCCGGTAGGTTGTACGGGCGAGACAAGGCGTCTAAGCTTTTGTATCAGGCGTAAAGACACTTATCTTTTTCTGACCAGCCCGGACGCCTTGGGAGACTGCCTTGTCAAAACTTTGATACATGTCAAACTGACTGTGATGCGTGAGTCTGGTAGATGCAGGGAGAGTTACACAAGTCAAACGACAAGTGACCGTGTTGTGGGGAGCTGTGAAGGTGTGGCAGACGGTAATATGACGATGCCGGGTTTGTTTTGTCTGTGCTTTTGCTGTGCCGATCGAGGTTGTTTGACTGCCATTACCCCATAGAACTGACTGACCCAGACTAGCTGAATAACCAAGACCAATCCAACAGGCAGCAGAATAAATTGTTTATTGAGTTGATTGATCAACATCTATGGCAAAGGAACAGCCACATTATTGGTGCATCTCCTGAATTTCTCCATAGTGTTGAGGCTCGTGCTTGTGCTTGTGCTCATGCTTGTGAGCAGAGATCGGCACAACAAGTTGGTGGTTATAGTTTGGTGCGGTGCTAATGCGAGGCATCGACTTTTAGGCCACCGCATAAAGTGTTTGTAGGATGCAGATGATGTGATGTGATATGATGGGATGGGATGAGATGAGGAAGGCTTAGGGAAGAGACATTGATGCAGGTGCAATAAACTAATCAGCGCCTGTCTTCTTTCCATTTAATCTTGAAATCCATTGGTAACGGAAAGCACCCAGTAGCTGCAATCAATTGGGCAATAGTGGGTTCGGTAGCTAACACAGGCGTCCAGGACACCCCTTGGAAGTTGGAAGGTACGCAGGGGGTAGCTGCAGGAGGAGCAGGAGGGGTAACGACTGCGATGAATAATGGAGGAAGTGACAGCCCAACAAGCTCCAGTACTCCAGGGGAGGTACAGTACCGGCCGACCTGAGGTGCACTGCATTTTTGCAGTGTATCACAGATTTACAGAAGGTACAGTACCTTCTTGTCCTGCCTCGTTGTTCTGCCACCACCAAATCATCCTCATTCATCCCCTCCATCGTCATTTTCAACCTGTCTGCTCTGACCGATCAAACAAGATGGACTAAGACCAATCCCGGCCCATGTCGATCTAATTCCTCCCGCTACCGAGAGTCAAAAGCGATGATTACCGTCCCCAGCGGACACACCCTTGCTGTTTCCTTCTGCACCGAAGTTTCTTTGAAGCGATGAACAAGACTAATGTCGGTCACAAGCACGCAGATATGGATAAGCCAAGCCAACTTTACCTTTGGTATTGACCGAAAACTGATGAGCTGGCCTAGCACAGCCCCTATTCTACAGGACTGTCAATATTCGCTTATCGCTTCTTACTGACTTCGTCAAATCACTGCCGCATCCATTCCCGCAAACCCGTGCCAGAACCATTTGTTAATTGGCATTCAGCCCCAGCGCATTGCCACGCCCAGTGGCCGCCCAACCGGTAACATCATGGCTTGCCGACCCCAAATTGAGTCTGCCAATTACTGCACAAATTAAACGGTCATTCTTTACCTGCAGCAGAAGCAGCCAAGACGAATGCCCTGAGTGGGTTTCTTCCCACCCTTGCGACTTCTTGCCTGAAGCTTAGTCCCAGGTCGGCATGGGCACACTTCCCGTAACTACAGACCAGTGCTTCAAATGCACAATTCCGTTGGGCTTGCCAGTAGCATACACTTTTATTGCGCCGTTCCGAGTGACCCGGGCCTCCATTAGGCGATCAGAAGCTTGTGCCTTTTCCACGCCTTAGCTTAGCTTGGTGCCCTTGTTCCTGGAGTTTTCTGTCTGGCCTCTGAAAGAGCTACGTTAGCTTCTTTGTTACTGTTGCATCGCCCGTCATCTTGTCTTCTTCAGGACACCGGCCAAGAATGCGTCACTTCTTGATAGGGCGCCTACAGCCTTGACGTGGTCTCTGCATACTCGCTGCTGTCTCCATTAAACTTGACTTTACCCTAGTCCCCCCAACCAATCGACAAGTGTCGATTGACTTACACGCATCACGAGCCAGCTTGCGCCAGATGCTGCTTCGCCTTAGACCCTTGTCCTGCTCATTGCCCCTTGTCTTCCTCCAGCCCTTGGTCCTGGAACTGGTTATCTCTTAGCCGTCTGTCATCTAGCTAATCATGCCCTACCTTATCGTGGGTTGGTTCGGGTTGTATGGATTGGGTTCCCCGGCAGCTACCCCGGTCATGTTCTCAACCCCAGGACTTGCACTAGAACCCTGACGACACATTCTAAAGTCTTGCTACTAGATCTGGCCGCAGTTGTTTGTGGATGGAGTCCCTACAGTTTCAAGTCCATGCTGCCCTTTACCTTTTGTGTATTACACGAATGACTCCCACCTCGCCTCACTGACCAATGTGCGATTTGAGCCTCACTTGACTTATATGTCCTGCCCTGTACTAGGCTATTTGATGAAGCACCCCTTCTCTCATATCTCTCCCAAGCATATAACCACGACTCTCATCCTCTTTTTACTTCATTCATCAATTCATCACTGTTCTATCCATTCTCATGCCACAGACTTCTTCCCTTCCTTTCCAAGACCGCCATCAAGATATCACTTTGGTTGCGGACTATACCTGCATATTCTTTGCATCACTTACAACTACCCACAAGCCGACTTATAAACTATCGACTCGTCCTATTAAGCACCCGTGTTTTCTATATCATCGGTGATTGACTCATTCGAGAAAGACCTTTTCGTTCTTCAAAGAAAGTTGCCTTTATCAGCAACAGCTATCACGATGAGCTCCTACCAAGGATACGGTTACGGCTGGTATGGCGCTGCCTCGCCTCAGGACCAGGTATCATCACCTTCAGAATACTATGGCAGTTATTACCAGTCCCAGCCTCTAGTCAGAGATTTGAGTTCTGGGGCCAGCTCGCAAGCTTCCACTGTTCCAGAGTCACCGATGCAGCGCAACTCCTATGCTCTGTACGGTTCATCACCAACGAACTACTCTGGCTACCAACAGGCGTCAGATTATCAGCAGTATTATTCCTCCGGACAAACCAGGGCTGAGGAGTCCAGTGTCCCCAGGAGTGAACCGTACGTACAACCCATTGCTTGATGCTTGTCTCCTCAGCGCTAACTCGTGTTCAATCAGTGGTAATGACTGGCCAGTATCCTGTCTTCATCCTGGTTGTACCTCTCGCCCTTTCAAGCGGACTGCGGATCTTCAACGTCACTACAAGAACACTCATGCTCCTGAGTCGAGCAAGGACGTTTACCTGTGTGACTACCCTCGATGCACTCGATACCATGAGCCCTTCCACCGCCGAGACCACTTTCGAGATCATCTTCGCGAGTACCATCGTGAAGACATTCAGAAGCGCGGAGCAACTGTCGACGAGGCATGGCTCCAGGATCGATATGCGCCCTCTAGCTGGTGGCGTTGCCCACGCTGCCTTGTTCGAGTCTACGTCTCCAAGAACGGCTTTGAATGCCCTGGATGTAAGACATCTTGCGAGTCTAAGCGCAAGGAGAAGCGCAGCAGCCGATCTTGAAGTGTGTGAGCAGCGACACAGCCTTGCACATAGAAACAGCCAACCACAAGACACCACAAAGCCTGGCTTGATGGCTTGAAACTACAGTGTTACTCTTCTGAGAACACATATCGACTAAGACCATCCACATCAAGGCTCTCTACACTTGTCAGCTATCTATCTGCAGGTCTTCTTTGCTTCTGATAGCTCACCGACACGAAATATCATCTGGAATCAACCCAGCTTCGACAGCGGTAGCCTTAGCTGCAGCATTTGTATACTACATACTGTTACATCGAGGATAACGAAACGACTTCAATTCGTCCATGGCCTCGCATGCATGCATCTTTTACACTTCAAGAAACAGCACTTGTGCAAACTGGTCTTTGTGCCAGGCATTCTCAATCTTGGCCTTTCCTCCATCATTCCTGTCGCTCACTCACAACCATCAAACGTCCTAGAGATCCGCAAAAAACGCCCATGCATTGCCGATCTTATCCACACTGGGACGTCACATCACGCTGAGGCTGACTTGAGAGAATTGTTCTAGAAGCGGGGCACTTTGCGGGGATTTTCAGCGTGGCTGTGTTATGCACGATGGATGCTTCTGTCATGCTTCCATTCCTTCTTTCGACTTTCCTTTCTTGGATAGATCTACTATGACCTTGCCGGAGTTCACGATTCGAGCTGAAGGCAGCGAGATAAGACTTGTTGTTTATTGGCGGGTCGATCACGCAGTGACGTTTATGACGAGATATGAGGCCAACCAGGTATATAGAATGTTTTATTGTATAGACGGTGGGAGTTTTGCTCTTCTTTCTGTATGTCTAGGTAGTCTTAGAATTTATGGCGCATTTAGAGAATTCCATACACCTTGTTTTTGTTCCACATACATCAGAACCCATGATAGCCCACCATGAATTGCCTCGCTTGAAGATGGCGATGCAACTTTAGTCCCCTTGTCATCTCTTTACTCCTTTTTATGTGTGACATAATAGTAAATTCCCCTAGCCTGAACTTGTGCAACGAGACAAGAGATAAGTGAATACTAGCAGATCATCCTTACTTAGACCCTAGTCGCCCTGCAAGGTTGCGTTCCCCGCTGTGCCCACGGACGTAGTGTACTGTACGGTTTACACGGGGCCGGATGTTCTCCCCAGGCCACCCTGCGCGATGATATTGGCGCACTGCATTTCCAGCTCGTGACCACATACGTAGCCTGTGGATTTTGGAGCCCGTGTTGACCTCTGAGTCACTTTTTGGCCAAGAGTCTTGCTTTGTCTCCAACGTGTTAGTCTTCCTCAATTGGGTCATCTTCATAGTTAGGCATGGCGCGGAAATCAGGCCGTCCCTTATCCCGGTGCTTCCTCAATCGTCTGCCCGATTTTGGTGGAGCATACAAGGAAACGGGTGGTGTATGAGAGGATACTTCACCAGCTAGTCTTCCGGTGAAGAGTTGCGGCTGGTGGAATTTGAATTCGGCCTGCGGCGGCTGGGGTGAGGACGGCTGCGCCGTGGTCGAGTCGATAGTGTCTGTAATATCTGTTCTTGCGGCAGCCTCCGAAGATGGATCTTCTTCCAACTCTGGGTCTTGATCTGCGTCCAACAGTTCTTCTATCTGATCGCTCGTCATATCAAGCGTGATGTTATTAGCTAATAGGTCTCGTGATTCTGAAGGGGGTTCTGCGACATCGCTTTGCGGTGCTGCCGAGCTCGAAGGAAGTAATGGGTCTTCAATGGCACACAGAGTCTTCGTCTTTCCTAGACCCAGATCACGTTTCGTTTGTTCAGTAGCCTCCTCACAGGCTTTACGTTTGGTCTCGGCAGGATCGTCGTCGAAAACGAACCTTTTCCAAATCTCGTCCTCGTCTTCAGCATCTGTCATTGTCTCTGAATCAACTCGCTTTTCAATTGACGCTCCATGTCTTTCTTCGTTTTCCGTCAAGAGATCCAATAGATCCTGGGCCTTGTGAGTCATTCGTGGATTCATCCGTACTGGAAGAACTGGATCACTTTGGGGCTTTGTAAAAGACTCGCTTATACCATGGCTCGGGCTTCCCGATAAACTGCGAGTCTCTACTTCAGTCGACACACTCGGCAAGGGGCCTACTGCCTGCATTCGCGGGAGCTCAGGACCAGGATGCGATATCTCTTCCTGAACACTGTCTGATGCAAGTATGCACAGGCCAGATTCTGATGATTGTAATTGTGGTTTGGCGAAAATGCTTGAAGATCTCTGTTGTAAAGCTTCGATCCGCAGTGAATTCGACGTCTTTGCGTGGTCTTCTGACGAGTTCCAAAAGTGGCTGATACCAGGAGTGACAGGCCTTGAGGGATGGTCTGCTTCCTTCATTTGACATGGCTCTTTTGTTGCTGTTTCTGCACTGGGATTAAGCCACAGGCTCCATTTTATATCTTCAGATGTGATACGTGCGTTAGGGCGTCTTGGAGCGCCTAGAACTGCGGTAGTGCTCATGTTTTCCTCGGTCCCAGGAGATTCAACGTCTAGCATGGGGGATCGTGTCTTCCGGGTCGGCTGTGGTTGGTGTATGATAGGTGTGTGAGCATTGACGATGAATCTCGGTTCTTTGGGTCCTTCCCGCCAATCTTCTTGCTGGCCAGTGTATCCATATGCAGTATTGTGTCCAGTGTCTGAAGAGCTGGATGGTTGGTTTCGTGAATCATCATGTCCTGAATTACTGTTGGGAACTCGAGGCCTTGTGGTGATATTCATGGGCGCTTGCACACTTAGCGTATTTTGGTAAGGCGATATTGGTTCCAGCCTTGAAGTACTACCTGGCGTTGTGCCCAAGTGAGCAGAAAGATCTTGTCTCGTGGCGAGGCTCCGTACTGAATTGCTATCCCGGCTCCAGCGAAGATTTTGGCTACCGATATTGATCCTTATTTCGTCGTGCGTCGGTCTGCCTAGTGCTCCCTTATTGTGACGATGATTTGGGCTCGGCCTGTATGGTGACAGGACAGACTTATGATTCTGTCGAAAACTTCTCGTTCCTCTTGATCTTGGAGAATGATCTTTCTGTGCAGCAAAGCCCACCATCAAAGGCTTCTGGGTACTGACTCCGGTCCAATCTCCTCTTTCAAGCAATTTTCGTCTTTTCCTTGCAATGTCTGTTTCATGATCGCTTTGATTCGTACAACGAGCTGGAGAATGATCAATCTGGCCATCTGGCTTTGGAAATTCAAGGTTGACTCCTTGTACATAGTCCTGGGGATGCGTTCTACTAGCATCGTGCTGCCTGTGTATGAGTTTCCTTTTAGGAGTTTTCTGTTTCTTTGCAGGAGTAGAAGAAATCGACTGACGATCTTGATGTCGTCCCGTCTGCGGGATGTAATCAGGGACAAAGGACTCAACAACTAATCCTTTGCTAGATGCAGGAGCATTCTTTCGAGCTCTAGCTTTGGCGAAATATTGCTTTTGCCGGGCGGCGTCCTTGTCCCAGCCTTTTCGGCGGGAGTGGCGGGCTAGTGCACCCTCAGTCCAATTCATGTCAAGGCGAAAGGGTCAGGTATCTGATGTAAGGATTAAACTTGTTTGTAGAGAGTTGATCAAGAGTCCTGTTGCATATTCCGTAACTGGGATGAGCGCGTGCTTGTATCGTTGTGAGAAGGCAGTTACTGCCGGTTTGGCGACTGCCTGCTCAACACAACTTCCCACCCAATGTCTCGAGGAAGGACCAAAGCAACGTTGTCACAGGATCTCTTCCTCCTTCTCGATTTCACTTAGATTCTGCGAACATCCAATCCGGGTTATGTGCATATTCCGTGTCTTTCTATTGGAGAAAATGAGCAGTTGTGATCAAGCTTAATATCGACGCAATGAAACAATAGTAGGTACTCATGTAAGTAAGGTACCTAGTGCTTGAAAAAAGGATGCACAAAGTTTTGTGATACTACATTTTGCTACTACAACCAAGAATCTGCACGCACTTGAAAGATAGGGATCCCTTAGACCTGAGAGATCTAAGTATTGGATATCGTTTCTCGTCATTTATGACATAAATTCGGGCACATTTGGTCGTTATTTAAACTGGATGCTCACTTACACGGCATTAGCGATACAGTGTTAATTACGGGTCATGGTCGCTATAAACACGGTATCCGCACAGGCCAACTAAGCTTCAAGGGTGATGACGGCGGGGAGCTCCCTTCCATCAGTCCCTGAACCTACGTGGAGCTGCATCTAACACCTAGCGCCAAGACGACACATTTCACCAATAACCACAACTAACGTCCTGCGCAAAACGAATGCTTTATACCTGCGCCCATTGAACAATCATCATCATGGCCGACGCAGAGGAAAAGGCCCGCAAGGAGAAGATTGCTGCGGCCAAGAAGCGAGTCCGTTTGCCCCTCCCTTCGTATCCTGCAATTGACTAACTTAATGCGATCTCAGGTCGAGCAAATGAAGAAAAAGAAGAAGGGTGCGCCAGCCAAACAGACGAAGGCAGAATCGCCCGAGACCCCTGCTCCCGAACCTGTTGAGGAGAAGGTCGAAGACGCCCCTGCAGTCGAAGAGAAGCCCGCCGAAGAACCAGTCAAGGAGAAGACGGAGGATAAGCCAACAAAGGCGCCTGCCACAGACGAGAAGAAGCCTCTTAAGATCGAAACCAAAGACGAAGACGATAGTGATAGCGACAGCGACAGTGAGAGTGAAAGCGATAGCGATGATGAGAACTCGCCTGCAGCTACCCCATCCCTGGCACAGCAGTCAAAGCTGAGGTCAACGTCTTTCCGCGCCGGCTCTAATCCTTCAGGAGGGGCAGCATCTCCTTTCAGTCCCAACAGCGAAACTGCGCCGGATATCTACAGAAAGCACATGGCTCGTATTGAAGAGCTAGAGAAGGAAAATAAGCGCTTGTCTAAAGAGGCTGCCGATTCAGAGAAGAGGTGGCAGAAAGCCGAGAATGAGTTGGCCGATATTCGTGAGGCCGAGGGCGAGGAACCCGTCAAGACCGGCCGCCACGATGATGGCCTTTGGGACAGCTTGGTAAGTGACAGGTCTGTCTTTTGCTTTTGAGCCGGCTAACCGTCCAACAGAAGAGCCAGTTAGCCTCACTCGAACGCCAGAATTCTCAGCTCCAACAACAGGTGTCGCGTGGGCCAGCTCATGGCCATCGCCAATCCGTGTCAATGGCTTCACCACCAGCGGATTTTAAAGCTGAGCTGGAGGCCAAGACAGCAACCATCGAGTCCATGGAGATTGAGATTTCGAAACTCAGAGCACAGGCTGAGCGCCACGCCAGCGGATCAACATCGGAGAAGGAGCAGGTCACTGCTCTTGAGGACAAACTCGCCCGTGCTGAGGCTGCGGCAGGCAAGGCCCAGCGCGAGCTCCAGGACCTTAAGCGCAACCTCGAGAGGACAGCAGAGAAGGCAGTACGCGAGGGTAGCGAAAGAACGAGCGCCGAAACCAAGGTGAAGACGCTGGAGCATGAACTTGAAGAAGTCAAGAGCGCGCGCGACGAGCTTGAGAAGAAGGTGGAAGCACTGGATAAGAAAGCTACAACCCTTGCCACACTACACAAGGAGCAGGATTCTCGTTTGCAGTCAGTTAAGAAGGAAAAGGAGAAGGCGGAACGTGAGGTCACCGAGTTACAGGCAAAGGTCGAGAAACTCGAAAGTGAAAACACGAAACTCAAGAGCCGCAAGTCTTTGGAAGGTGGTGGCGGATTAGACGATGAAGGTGTTGACGAGCTTGAGGATGAGGAACGACAGAAGCTTGAGAGGAAGATCCGCGCTCTTGAAAGCGAAGTTCACGAGCTTCGAAGTGGAGCATGGATCGAAAAGCGCCGTGAGTTGGAGGCGACCAGCCCAGGCTTCCAGGACGTAGACCTCTCTACTGGAAATCCTTTGTCTCCAACTGGGCGACGGAAGTCTGCTGCCGGAGGCATTGGCGACTTCTTCACAAGCGGTCTCAATGCACTTGCTGGAGGTGGTGATGACGAATTTCTCGAAGATGATGATATGGACTTTGATGAAGATGCGTTCCGCAAGGCGCAAGAGGAAGAGTCCAAGAGAAGAATCGAGCGTATTAAAGAGATCAAGCGATCACTTAAGCATTGGGAAGGCTGGAGGCTGGATATTGTTGACATCAGGAGAGGAGGTAATGAAGGTGCTGGTGAGATCTTTGACGTCTAAAATGAGCGCAGTTGTTTGCAGCCCGTGTTTGTGAAACATGGTATGATGATGGAATGTGTACTAGAATAGAAAGATATTCCGAGACGATATACGAATTGGATTGACGGCTTCTTTCAGTACCCAAGCTACACATCCCCCTGGTTTATCTGATGTCCGAGCACTACATTGCATCCTACTCTGTAACCATTTTTGACATAACAGAAAACATGATGCTATCACCAATGCTGGAGCATTTGTCGATTTGCTGTTGAGGATGATATCAGTATACGTCTCTGCTAGATGCTCAGTTATCGCAAGTTTATGTAATCGTCAAGCGTTGTCAGTGATTGTATGATCGAAGCATGAGGTACATCACAGCACTTGTAGGAGGATCAATAGCGACGTGCTACCATGAGGGAAGGGAGTCAAACAACAAAGAGACGTGATGTTGTATTGGAGAGAATTGTTATCATTACAATCTCTATCAGTCTAGAAGTGTAATATGGCTCGGCATTACATTCCTTTTGTTCTTGTTCGGAATTTGACCGTGAAGCAATATGCTCTCCCCGATGACGGCGCGGAGAGTGGATACGCCGACCGGAGATCCGAGACCGAGAACGGAGATGCGTGCCGCGCCGAGATGCAAAGCTCCGTGAACTATTAATCCCGGTCAAATGTCAATTGAGTTTATTAGCCATGATCAGAATGAGATATCTGAAAGTGCTTGGGTAGCTATATCAGACAGTGATATGCCGGGAACGGTTTCAGACATTTATAGCTCAAGCCAACATGTCACTATTGGATGAATAACAGTACCACAATGTCGTGTGAGGTATTCTTCCTCGGCAATAACAACACCGAGATGAGGCAAAAACGAGAGCAGCTGTCATGCACGAGATGCGTGCCTAATTGAAAGCCAAGAAAGAAGACATGGCTTCTGCTTCCCCCACTGAAGCGGGGAACCAAGTACGGAACCCATCAACACTAGCGCTATACAACCGTCGAGGCTGGGCTAGCGGCTTTTTTCCTCTGCTTGCAGCTCTTGATGAAGTGCCCCAGCTCGGTCAGGTACCGAGCCTCATCCCCAAAAGAACCTGGCAAGAAGAGCATGGAGAATACTCGAGACACGCCCTGACTATTGGGGGAGACATGATGGGGTTTGTGAGCATCTCAAGACTCTATAAAAGTATCGTGAGATTCAAGAATAGAGCGTAAGGTTCAGCTTCATGTATGGTACAGAAACGTCATATGTAGACACTTTAGATAGAGGGACGATAAACCCCTGTCATAGCATGCGATTGTCTAAAAAGATCATGTCAGCCATGTCTATTATCCCGCAGTATCCGTCTTCGGAAGGCCGTTGTCGGAAGAATAACATGAATATCCTTTGAGTTCTTTTCCTCTATTTTGGCTGAATTCCCATCTTTACATCACCATCATCTCTTGCCAGCAGCTTCAACTCATCAGCAGAATCTATTGTGCAGAAGACGACGTTTCGTTCGAGTCCGGTATTGTAAGTGCAGCTTTTCCATGTCAGGCCATGTCATGCCATCTATTAGCTCCATGAGAAGTCAGAGGTCAGCCACAGAGACCTGTCATGATACCTACAGTATATTGCATCGTCATGGACCAACGAGAAGCCATCGTTGCTGTCCTCTCTGGACTCTACATTTCATGAGATTCGCCTTTTTACACCCCTCAAGAGAGAAAGAAAGGAGGCAAATGTTTTATCCAAGAGACTCGACTCAAACATAGATCGTCTCATACCCTTATTCCCCCTCCTTCTAGTGCAGCTTATTACTCGCGCAAACTGTTAAACTAACACCTGACGATTCCCCCAGCTTCAAACACATCGACTAGCGGCGCCTCATTCAATCAAATCCACCCCGTCTCATTGGGGGGAAGGTCACATTAACTTACCCCATATTCTTCGCATCGCATCGCATCGTCGGTTTTCCTCTCGGTCGCCGCCACAGTAACCGGCTACTTCCTCGGCTGTCATAGTAAAAAGACCCCAGGCACCTTCCTGGTCCGACCCTCCGATCTCCACCTCCGAACCCCAAACCAACCGCCCGTCCGTGTTGTTGCAGGCAGTTGCACCCCGCCCCGCGCTTGCTTTACTTTGCTTGTACAGGAGCAACCTCATTCTAAGGAAGGACCTTTCTTAGCCCAAGCTTGAATCAAGTCAATCTCCCGGCGTCGATTCCCGAGTCCGGTTCCCGTTCTCGTGCCGTAACAACCCTTCTTGTATCTTCTTTTATAAACCTCCACCCTCTTCTTTTTCTTCTCTTTTCTTGCCCATCATGCCCGTCGCTGCTCTCGCCTCTTCAGTCCCGCGATCTCTTTTCTCGTCTTCGCTGCGCCGTGTCGCTTATACCTCTACTACCGTTCGCCCTGTTCGCGCTTCATTCGGTGCTATCCAAACCATCTCCCCCTTCGCCTACCGCACAATGGCTTCCTCTACCCAGAAGATCAAGGTCAAGAACCCCGTCGTCGAGCTCGACGGTGATGAGATGACCCGCATCATCTGGCAGGTCATCAAGGACAAGTTCATCCACCCCTACCTCGACATCGACCTGAAGTACTATGATCTCGGTCTTGAGTACCGTGATGAGACCAACGATCAGGTCACCATTGATGCCGCCGAGGCCATCAAGAAGTACTCTGTCGGTGTTAAGTGTGCTACCATCACTCCCGATGAGGCTCGTGTTGAGGAGTTCAAGCTGAAGAAGAGTAAGTCAATACCCGTCATGCATGGCCTAGTTCGCGCTGCGTCTTGCTACTGCCCCCCACCAATCGCAACCCCGCATATATGAGAACATGCAGGAGAAGCAATATGAGGGGCAGCAAGCAGAAACAGGGCGAATTAGACATACAGTAAGCTTATTTGGATCGAACATCACTAACTTGCATGTCCAGTGTGGCTTTCCCCCAACGGCACCATCCGAAATGCTCTTGGAGGTACCGTCTTCCGTGAGCCCATTGTCATCCCCCGCATTCCCCGTCTGGTTCCTGGCTGGAAGAAGCCCATCATCATTGGCCGTCACGCCTTTGGTGATCAGTACCGCGCCAAGGATGCTGTCCTCCCCGGTCCTGGTAAGCTCTCCATGGTCTACACCCCCGAGGGTGGCCAGCCTGAGGAGATCGAGGTCTTCCAATTCAAGGAGGGCGGTGGTGTTGCCCAGACTCAGTACAACACCGATGAGTCCATCACTGGATTCGCCCACGCTTCTTTCAAGCTCGCCATTGACAAGGAGCTTCCTCTCTACATGAGCACCAAGAACACCATCCTCAAGAAGTACGATGGTCGCTTCAAGGACATCTTCCAGGAGATCTACGAGTCCACCTACAAGAAGGAGTTCGAGGCCAAGAAGATCTGGTACGAGCACCGCCTCATTGACGACATGGTCGCCCAGATGATCAAGAGCTCCGGTGGTTACATCATGGCTCTCAAGAGTGAGTTTACTCCGATGGAATGACTGAACACTCGTTCAGCTTCCTGTATATCTTCAATGATGAGACAAGAATGCTAACATATTTCCAGACTACGATGGTGATGTCCAGTCCGACATTGTCGCCCAGGGCTTCGGCTCTCTCGGTCTCATGACCTCCGTCCTCATCACCCCCGATGGCAAGACCTTCGAGTCTGAGGCTGCCCACGGCACTGTCACTCGCCACTACCGTGAGCACCAGAAGGGTAACGAGACCTCCACCAACCCCATTGCCTCCATCTTCGCCTGGACCCGTGGTCTCGTCCAGCGTGGAAAGCTCGACGACACTCCCGACGTCGTTGCCTTCGCTGAGAGCCTTGAGAAGGCTTGCATTGACACTGTCGACATTGACGGTATCATGACCAAGGATCTTGCCCTTGCCACTGGCAAGTCTGAGCGCAAGGACTATGCCACCACCAACGAGTACCTTGACGCTGTCGAGCGCCGCCTCAAGAAGACTCTCAAGGAGAAGCTGTAAACGTCTCGACCCAGTTTCAGTCTTTCCCTCGATCACTACCTCCGCTTCCACTCTTATGGTCTCTTGTGCAGCTGCAAGAGCACCCACTCTTTCATGAACTCTTCAAGTGTCGGCGTCGAATTTGTTGTCACCATCTGAATAGCATCTCGCTCCAGTCTTGAAAACCACAAGAGCATCGCCTCTTGGGGTCTCTTGGCCCGTCATCTTCCCAACAGAAAGGAAGGTGGCGTCGTCAAGAGCAATCATGCACCGGAACCCGCTGCAAGGTCACATGCAGCGGGCTAACGATTTATGAAGAACGTTCCTCCATAGTTATGGTGGTTGGACAGGATGTTGGGCTTCTGAATATGTGAAAGCAAAGATATCAAAGAGGAGGTCAGCATGATATATCCATGGTACAGGAATAGATGCCATGTAGATAAAAAGCTTCTTGCATGTTCTTAGCACATAGACATAATGGGATACCCAGCCCTGCTTTATAGTTTTCCTCACCTTGCTCTTCCCCGGTCCCTGACTTGTGACTCCTTGATCCCCATAGTACAATCTTCTTTAGTTCATCTTAGTCGCGGAGAAACGGAATCATAACATCAGTTCAAACAAAGCCTAAAGCAAATCTATTGGATCGTGATATCCCTGTACCGACTTCTTTCACATGAATGGTACATTAACGCACATTGACTCTTGCAAGATGCCACTTCGAACGCCTCTTTTTTTCCATACTGCTGGCTGTCAAACCTCGGTAGTTGTCCGTAGCTAGCGTAACCGACACCCAATCTCCAAAATAAATTCCTGATTGAGAAAAGAAATACCAGTATCCGTAGCAAAAAAAATCCCTATTCTCCCGTCCCCATCCATCCCCTCCCTTCCAAAAGAAACATAATTTTATCCCCGGCTGTCTGTTCCCAAGCTGGGGAATGCCTCGGCTTAAGCCTGCATGTGCACATATAAGGAGACGGTTCGTACAAAGGAGCTGATAATTAAAAGATCGAGAATGACACCCATAAGCCCGAGTTGTCCCGATCGAGATGGCCCTCGGTTGGCCGGAAGGATCACCACGGTTGTGGGTGCATGCGGTTGTGAAACCAGGATTGTTGCTGCGAACATACGGACTTCGTCCGTGAGGCTCCATTCTTGATCTCGATAGTAATACATGTTATGTTAGCCCTGAAGTTTGGCCGTACATGGAGCAGAGCGGCTGTTCTCGCTACAGATATGGGCGAGACCTTCCAAAGACTACCTGAATCTAGTCGGTTCGGTCGATAGAAATCTCCTTATCCTTCTTCGACTTGCGCGCACTGGGTGTCCCTTCTGCTTCGCTCTTACGCTTCTTCTTCGTAGGCCTGGTCGATGAGCCTCGGGGCTTGTATCCCGTGTCGTCCTCGTTATTTCTCTTGCGCTTGCCCCGGCTGACAGGCGTTGAGGCAAAGTCTTGCTCCTCATCCATGCTGGCATCGACGTCGCGGTCTGCTGCAGCTGCACGAACGGCAGCGCTGACACGCTTGCCCCTTGTGCTTGCTCTTCCGCCACGCTCGCCTCGTGACCCACGCGTCTTACGTCCACCGGTGTGGCCGCCCTCGTTATCGTCGGCGTCGCCATGCGCTTCACCATCCTGGAGGAATATCTTGGGTGCGTGTTTACGAAGCCAATTTGTTACACTCGTCGGGTTCTTAAGATGCGGATGTGAAACTTGGTGGTTGCCAGGATGGGCACGAGGGGCGAGACTGGGGAGATGAGGTGCGTCGGTATCAAGAGCCATGTCGATTTCGTAGATGTAGTTGTCGATATCATCGGCGGATAGGAAGTCGGCAGGGAATGCCTCGCCATCTGGAGCCTTCAATTCGTTGACGATTTGTGGTAGTGTCTCCTTTGCACTGCTGTATGTTGAATGTGGAACACCAGTGACAAGGTCTTCGAGACGTTTTCTTGGTGTGTCTTTACGTAGTTCATGTTCTTCATCCAGGGGCAGGACGGGCGCTTTGGAGTCGGATGGTGGCTCAAGGGATACCTCGACTTGCTTCTCGGGTGGGATCTGCGGAGAATTGTTGATCTCGAGTAATAGATCTAATAGACGACTGTTGGGTTCGTGGTTAGTCAATTCCTCCGTTATTGCGTAGCTGAACCTAGGGGAGGCGTACTCATTCTCTACAGCCAAGCGCTTGACCAGCGCCGCGGCCTTATCCTCTTGCTTGTGTAGCTCCTCGCCATCGTGCATCTTTTGATCAAAAACGATGCGCATCTTTCTGTACTTTTTCTTCCATGACTTGTAGCCGGCGCGATGGCGAGTAGCGCCCTCAGTCTTAACGGGGGACTCGTCCATGGCGAGGGAGGGAGAGGGTGCGATCGACGCGCGATCGGGGCGAAGATATCGTCAATGAAACGCGCTGGATTGCGAAAATATTGGAATCGGGGGGTTGGTTATGCGCGTTGTGTTGTTGATAAAAGTTGATGTGATGATGCTCGTGATGTTGACACAATGGAAACAATGAGAGGTAGCAGGATTTGCCAATAAGATTTGCTGGTTTGGGGCCTTGCGCAACCAAGTTCAGACTGGGACAGGACGGGTGGTGTTGTTCTTGAATTAGATCGGTACGTACCTTACAGTAGTTCAGGCACACCCCAGAGTTCTGGTATGGAGCTGTCCTGACTGCCCCAGACCAGTGACGCGATTGGGTGCAAGAATCTTCCGTGCCAACTCGGGGAGCATCTATGATTAAGTGACAGGAGGTGAATGTTGGAGTACTTGTATGTTAGAGCATGTTGTATAGCAGACTATGATGTAGTTAACTCAATTGATATTCACTGCAGTCAACATCACGATTCAAGATCCTATCAGTCTAGGGTAAACTCGCTTAAAGGTTGGCTTCATTGAAAACCACTCGGAGATTTTGGACATGACAATATTTCAGAAGTGGTATTTAATAACTTGAAAAACTTAGTCAATTATTACTATTAAACTTCACCTTTGACTGAACAAAATGTGTGGATGGTTAAAACTCTAGACATGATAGGGAAAAGGCATGCGCATGTATTGGACCAGGACCTCCAAGTCTCATTAGTCTATTCTCCGTATTTAAGACAGGCATTATGATGCCACCTCCTTTCCTAATGTGTCCAGCTCCTCTTTAATAAATTCTGCAGCATTGACCATTTCAGTACTGCCGTAGACAACTCTTTTCTTGGCTCTATCTCCTCCGGTGCGGCTCACCCACTCCTGCAGGTTGCCATACTCATCCATACTTCCACCACCGACTGTGAACACGACAGCTTCACTGAAGCCTTGCCGCCTTTGACCGAAGCTAGCAGTTTGACCAGGTACTTGAGACCCAGGCATGCCGCCCGGATTGCTGGCACCTGCACCCGATCGCACAGCGCTGGGAGGAGGCATAGTGCCTCGCGCATTGGCTGATCGAGGATCATAGTAGAGGTAGTGCTCTGTTTTTGCGATGGCAGAAGAGGAGGCAGAAGCAGGATCCATGATGGATTCGACAATCTTAGTAACAGTGAAGTCACGATCAGCAGGAAGGAAGTTCTTCACACCACTGATGAGACTCTCAAAGTTGGATGACAAACCGGTGGGAACTCCGGACTCCTTGAGGCGATCGGTGAGGCGGGATGACATCGAAGAGAAGCGCCCGAAGAGATCCGATGATTGAGCTGGCTGTACAGTGTTGTTGATGGTAGTCAGTTGTGTCATCTTGGTAGTTGCGCGAACCCTATTCTGGTCAGTAAAGTCGCCCCGAATGATTGCATGATAAACTTACTGTCGAACATAGGGCAGACATGATACATCTGCGCCAGCTTCTGAGAGAGCCTTCTCGAAGCCTTCGAATTCTTGTCGATTGACTTCCTGCTCGGTACTCAAGAACCATATGATGAACAGGCGCAGCTTGTCGACAGGTTCATTGCCCTTGTCGTTGTCATTGAGAATTTCCATGATCTGAGCCTTAGTTTGCTTCGCGGCATTCTCCTCCAGCTGGAAGTAGTTATCTAGCTGACGGTCTTTGATGCCTGTTAACAGAGCCGCCAAGATGTTCATATGCATATCCAAGATGCCCTTGCGCTCTCTCATTTCGGGGAGCAGCGTTATTGCTGCCTTTAGATGTTGAGCGCTCGCGCTGGTGTCGGCTTGGAGGTCCTCCAGACTGGTGACACCGGTTTTCTTTGTGATCGCAGCGGTGTCCTCTTTGTACTTGGTCAACTCGGCATCGATATCCTCCGCTACTTGAGGGAATGGACTGGCAGCATTCTTGGTCCAGAAGAAGTCGTTTGAAGTCAAATCGTAGCCCTTCTTGGTGGGTCCCTTTGCTGGGTTTCCTTCTTCCGCAGGAGTTTCAATGGTAATGCGATTCAACTTCATGTTGAGAACATCGTGAACCAAACTTTGGTACGTCCAAGAGTGGGAGAGCATAGGTATCAAATCGATGTTTCGGTCGAGAAGAATGAGGACAGGTCGGGAAGAGTGAGTGCTTGATGATGCGTTTGGCCGGGGTCCTGAAAAGAGGTTTTCCTTGGAGTTAAGGATGTGGTCTCGAAGTTTGCGATCAAGTCGAGCAGCAACCATCTCGGCAGCGGCACCCTTTGGACATCTAATGATGGGAATAACACCTGTAAAGTATGAGCATATGAGTTTGCAAGTCGAATCGGCGACATACCCATGGTAGCGATTACACTGAAGAGACCGCTAACGATCTTGTCCACCACTCGGTCGAGCTCCTCATCGCTTGTGGCTGCACTGTTCAGAGCCCAATATGTATGCTCCTTTTGCATCCCCAAGCTGAACAAGTCTGGCTCAGCCACAATGAAGTTCAAATACTGATCAAACAGCTGGGCGATATGCTCAGATGTGCCGGCCGTTGCTGTTTGTGTAGCAAACTCCTCGAGGAGCGGACGGGGGAGGGAAGAGAGGAAGTTGATGTAAGCGGGAGTGTAGAGTTCTTTCTGCAAGTCGGAAGTAATGGCCTGTAGGTTTTGCGCAGTCGGTTCGAGGAGGTAGATGACAGGAACATCGGGAATAGGATGTCTTGCGCCGCCAATATGCCTGCATAATTGTATCAGCATTGGGCTTCTTCTTCATGCTTGTTAACTTACAAATGCATTGTTACACCCATTGCGCGCAAGTCACTGACACGCATAACACTGCTGATGACATCTCGACCAAGGTCGTCAAAGACCAAGACCTTCCAGATAGGGTTGCCATCGGCGTCGAGGATAGGCGCAACAGGTGCAAGCAGACCGTTAGCATGCGCCTCGTCTGCTTCGGAGGATTCGACAGTCTCGTTCAGATTGAGGATTTTCTTAAGCGAGGCTATTAAAGCATTAGCAGAAGACCAAACAGCGCTCTGAACATCCGGTATAACGAACCTATTTGGCGATCGCGCAGAGAGTTACCCTTGGTCGCCATATTGGCGAATGACGTCGGAGCGCCTGAGTGCTCGAGATGATGATAGTGGGATGTGCCGTTCAGGAGTTGATTGTATGAGGGACACGATTTGGCTGTATTTCGATTATATGGGTGAGTCGCAAGCCGAAAGAACTGATTATGGGCTACTAAGAGAGCCTCGGGTCGAAATTGGAAAACTAATTTTCCTTGTGAGAATTAGTATCGCTTGATGCCAACTTGAGGCCACGATCCAATACCACCCACCGCTGGACTGTTGGGAAGCTCCCTACGGCGCGCAAGCTGGGAGAGCACGGACCGATACAAGCGCCGATACGATTGGATATGGAAAGTGCCACGGTGCTGGGCCCGCCGAGTTCCAAGGGGCCAGCCGCTGATGAGGGAAGCTCGAATTATGGGTCATTCTTCCTCATGCCTGATACCACGGACTTATGATTGCATTTGGTGCCTGAAAAATGGGGCCAGACTCATACACGTCCAGGTCCATTCTCAGTTGCGAACTGCCAGGGACTTCTTTTCATTCTCTTTGATCCGACGACACTTCATCAACCTCCATCATATATCGCGACAGCACGTTGTGTCGGCGCTCAACCGCGGCGCACTTAAATACCAGGGGCCCTTAATATCCCGATTTCGATTCTTTTGTATTCATCTTTCCCATCTGCGCCTACGTCGCCGCCTCGTACTGGCGAACTGACGGGTCGCCCTTGTACTGTCTTCTGCCTTTCGAACAGGTCACGCATACGTCCGATAATGTTGTAAACACCACGCGACTCGCGCAATATACAGATGGGATAGGATATTTCTGCTTCTATTGGTAGGAAAACGGACAAAGCTCCCGTGTCGAAGGAATTATTTCTGAATCAAAGGGTATGCCCAAACTTGTCCCCGTTCCCTTTTCCCTATCTGCACCAATCAACCGTTTTACCTCTGTCGCGTCATTCTGCATGGCTCGGTCATCCCGCCCCATCAGAATCAAGCAGCAGTATTGTATCTGTGATTTCTCTATAACAATGGAAACAACCACTCGGACCTTCTGCAGCATTTAAATTGCGAGGCGATGAGTTGGTGACCGTCGTGGAGACTTGCTTGGAGATAAAAAGCTCCTCCGTGTCGCCTTCTAGGAGCAGAAAGCTGCAGTGGCTGGGTAACCAAGACGCCCATGTGGCGAACTCTAGGTATATACAACCTGGCCAACCTAGAAGCGACGCGAACGCGCACCTAAAAAGCCGCGACGCAAGTGTTTTTGATGATAAAAAAGAGCATTCAGGCAAGGTCAGAAAAGGGCGTTCTAACTGTTGATCATCGTCGCGACGTTGCAGCTTGGTTAGGTACAGGGGCTGCTGGGTGATAACGATAACGCTGCCTCCAGCTTCCTCAGCACCAAAGCCAGCGACATCTCAGGGACTACACACGCTAAAAAAACGGGTGCACACGCATCTCAAAAACAGTGGCTCCACCATCAAAGATCTCTCCAAAATGTCGCAACGGACAGGCGATTCCATTTTTACAGACAAAGTTCCTGTATATGGCCAGAGTTTAATTTTGGCTCTGGGAGTTAATTACTTCCAATTGTCCTTGAGATTCTTTGTCACCCGTGGCAGTCTTTGTCCGACCTTTGATCAACCAGCAAGACACCTTCTTTTTGACTATTGCCAGTTGCTGGATGCTCTTTATCAGCAATCTTCACGTTTATAATCTATCATTTCTTTGTTCTCGTCCTCGACTTATCAAAAATAACAAATCCTTTTACAGTCCTTACTGATGGTTTTTATTCGTTTCCTTTAGATACAGATACATATTCACTTCACCTTGTCTTGTTCTCCTAAGACCCGGATCCCTGCCAGATCGTCCGTTTATCGACTAGCGTGTCCTTGTGGTGGGCCGCCTGCAGCTGCGATAGCCGACAGCTTTCCCCTAACAGAAAGACACCTGCATAAGGTTACTTTCCAGCTTAATTCTCCATGTTAGTACCTTATTTCTTTACACGCTTGATACACCAATGATTGCTGCAATCGCGGGCTACATCAACGCCTAGCTGCAGCTTGTCACATCGTACCTCTTCTTTCCTTTCATCGTTGTGCCATCAACTTCTTCCTTCTGCATTACTTGCAGGAATACATTGCCAAGTAGTAATGATTGCTAACACAATGTTTTAGCTCGTAAAGCTGTTGAAACTAATTGATCGTGGTGGTTGTATTGCTGTTGTGCTGTAGCAGCTATCATTACTCAAACAAAGCATCAACACAAGATGCAGTCTTGGTCAAACAATGGCCAAAACGGCGCTGATGAGGCACCGCATCAATGGCATAACAACTATGGTTTCTCTGCACAAAATGGCCAATTTGACCCCAATCAAGGCTGGTCGCAGCCTGTGAATGATCAAGCTGCCTATTCTCAAATTAACCCACAAGATGCTTCCGCCTCAAACTTTTTCGACAATGACCAAGGCCACTCCTTCCTTTCTGGACCTCTGCATGGCTCTCAACAGGACCAGGCAGGCTACCACCCTGGCCACGACTCGCTGTCAATGAACCAGCAGTTTTCACAACAGACACCAGATGTAATGGATACAGATTTCAGTAGCATGCATCCTGATATCTATGGTCAGCACGGGAAGATGAACCTCGATAATGCTATGGCTGGTATGGGTCAACTTTCGGGCCATCCTCATTCCTCTAATTTCCCGTACTCTATGGCACCACCTAGCGAGTCATCCTTCGAATCTCCTATCCAGCAATTTTCTCAGCCTCATGTGATGCCTCAGCCAACAAGTCGGCAACAAAGTCATACACCGGTGCAACAATTCGAGGCCATGCCCCCTGCCTTCGCCCAGGGCCATCAGGGCCATAGCTTTAGTCGACCACCCCAGCAGTCTCCTGTTCAGAACCAGCAGCAATACAACCAGCCTGCTTTTTCGCCGCCAGTTAATGGCCAGACTCCCCAGCCTCGACCGAACGACCAACTTAACTTTCGTCAACAGCCTCCGCAACAGCACCAACAGCAGCAGCATGCTCAGCAACAACCGCAGCCTATCCAACCTCATCCTCAGCCACATTTCGCCCCCAAACAGCCTATCGCATACCCTCAAACTTCACAGCCTTTGTCTGCTCAAAACTTTCAGCAACAGATGCACCAGCAACAGCCACACTTCATAGCTAATGCTTCGTCGCCACCCGCTGCCAACAACCCATATCTGGTTCCTCAGCCTGTTAACGGTCAAGAAACGGGTATTGCCCCACAGGTTACGAATGAGGCTTCTGTTAAGAAAAGGAAGCGGGTCGTGAAGAGTGCTCCTGATACCCCGACGCCTGAGCCTGCTGCGACATACATCGACTCACCTGTGGGTTCTCCTGCCGTGAAGAAGGTGGACGATATCGATAGCTTGCAGGCTCCCACTCCTACTCCTGAGGAGGCTCAGTTGATCGCCCAGTTTAACAAGCGCACCAAGGCTGCCCAAGCCAAACATCCCGCAATCAAGGGTCTTCCCCATCTGATCTACGAAGGGACAGCCAAGCTTCCTGCCCCTAAGAGTTATGATAAGCTTGCTCCTCTAGTAGCCCAGCCAAACCGTAATGGAAGACAGATGGTCCCTGAACTTGGTTATAGCCTCCCATGTGAGGTCCAGGGCCGTTTCACAAGTCAGTATCGTCCTTCACCTGACAAGGGAGGACTGGATGAGAGGCGTTTGGAGGCTAAGGGACTATTGGATGACTTTGACCGTTCCATGAAGAGCCTTGGAAAACGTCGGCCAAAGTACACAGAGTACCCACATGCTTTCAAAGAGCAACTTAAATCCGACGAAGCTTCCAAGAACAAGGCAGAGAAAAAGGCAAAAAAAGAGTTGGAGGGGGATCGTGGTAGCAAGCCAGTAAGAGATTTCCTTCAAAGCCAAATGACATGTGTATCTAACGTTGCCCAGATTCGTTCTGCTACTCGCCCAACAGACCCCGCTGAGGCAGCAGCCTGGGAAGCCATTGGAATAGTCCACATCGAGCAATCTAGTGCAAAAACAACCAATATCATTGCAAGCCGTGTTCAGCAGGCAGGCGAGTATTTCATTAAGCTTCGAGGGGAAATGAACCGTTCCAAGCAAGAACTCGACCAAGCTGTCAAGGACAAGGTATCTGAGGACGCACTTGCCAGAGCGCGACACGATTATGAGCAAAAAAAGCAGATTCTTCTACGTGCTTTGGACGCCACTATTGAGCATGCTGATGATGCTGTTTTGGATAATCTTGGAGGGCACCAAAAGCTAGTTTTAAGCTTGGTCAATGCCCTGATCATGTGTATCAAGGCAGGTGATTTTACAGGAAAGCTTCCCAAGATTGTTCTCGAAATGTTTACCCATTTTCCCATGACGAAGAAGATTGCCGAGACAACAAACTTCGAGACAGTTCGAAAGAGATTTGCCGACAAGGGCGACGCCGAGGTCAAAGAGCTCGTGTCCGAGATTACTGCCAAAGTGAAGAAGCTCAAGGCCAGCGAGCCTGAGGCAAGCACTGGGTATACTGGTACCTCTGCCTCAAGCAGAGCCAAGGCCAAACCTGTCATGGAAACGTCAGTCAAGCGTGCTCGTGACGATGAAGCCGACACACGCACGGTGAAGAAGATTGCCGTAGAATCTGGCGGCGGTTCTCTTATGAGGAAACTTGCCACACCCAAGATTCAACTCCAATCAGCATCCAAAACCAGTGCCGCAAAAGCCGCTGCCTCTTCTATTCTGTCGGGGAAACCAAGACCCGTGGCTAAGTCAGTCCCGAAACCCGAAGTCAAGCCAGATGTCAAAACTGCAAGTGACGAGAAGGCCAAAAGCGAGTCGAAACCCCCACGAACCGAAACCAAACCATCTACCTCTCGCAATGGCACAACTACTGCCCCAACCCCAAGCGCAGCCTCAAGTGCTTTGTCTGGCATTGCATCACTCCTCGACTCGATCAACGCTCCCAAGGCCGAGTTACCTGTTCAACCTAAGGAAACCAATGGCCCCGAACCCTCTAATGAAACACCCGAAGAGAAGGCTAAGCGTCTCCGTAAGGAGGCTCGCCGTAAGCTTCGGGTCACCTGGAAGCCGGAAAGCGAACTCGTCCAGGTCAAAGTCTTCCACAAGGAGGATGCTGAAGATGAAGGCAGAGAGCAGAACATGATTCGAGACGCTGCCGATGACCGATCCGAAGGAATGGTCCTGAAGCAGCGCGCAGACGTGGACGAGGAGGAAGATGATGACGACGTTCCCTACCAGCCTTGGATGGGACCAGTTGAGACAGATCTTTCAAGACTACCAACCGAAGTCCGAAATAAGAACTTTGTCAACAGAGGTGGAAACGTTACTTTCACCACCGAAGAAAAGGAGCGAATCGCCGAAAGGGAGAGGAAGGAGCTTATGGCTATATACACCGACCCAGCTGACATTCCACCAACGCCCAAGTCGCCGCCGCCTGAGACGGCAGGCGCCAACCAGCAAAAGACGCAGTACTTGCCAGATGGCGCCAAGTTTCAGGAAATCCAAGCCAGGTGGCGTGACGAGCAGCAGATGGGAGCTGATCGTGCACTCTACTCGGCGTTGCAGCGCATCGATGCCAAAAATAACCCAGCAAACCGTCTCGACTCGATCTTGGGTAACCTTCGAGGTGCCCCTGTGGCGTCACAATCTTCATCTCATCAGCGCACTTCTCACGTTGTAAATATGGCTAACGACACTTTGCCCATTGTCGCGGGTCCTGCTGTAATAGAGCAGATAATTACCATTCTCAAGTCCGACAAGGCTAAGAATTGGCGAGACCCTAACCAGACTGCAAGTGATGTGTGGCGATCTTTCCATTACTCTGACCTGCCCACTCGTCTCTGTGGAGGCGCCATCGAAGGAGTGGCCAAGTCTCTGGCCGGCCTGCCATTTCCCGCTAATTCACCTCCTGAATGGATTTTGCATGATCATGAGAAGGTTCGTGAATGGCAAATCGGCTACAACAAGGAACTGGCAGCTCGACAAAAGAAGGACGAGGAAGACCGTGCACGAGCAGAAGCAGAGGCAAATGCCTTGTTATCGGCGGTGTCTGGTGCATCGTCCGGTCAAGCTCCTGCGAACCCTCAAGACTGGAGTGCCTTTTACGCTCAGCAACAGGCCTATGCCCCTTACATGGCTCTGCTGCAGCAGATGAATGGTGGACAGCAGCCGGCTCAGCCTCAGACAGGCGCTGCACCCTCACAGCAGCAGCCACAAATTCCTGAGAACCAACTCCAATCGATTTTGGCAGCCATTAATCAGCCATCGCAGGCTCCGGCCCAACAAGCTTCAGCCTCGAATGCGGCTCCTTATTTTAACCCCAACGACCCATCGTACCAGCAATATATGATGCTGAGCCAGATGGCACAAGGTCAACAGGCTCCACCACCGCCCCCGCCTGCCGCAGAGCGAGAGTGGGAGCGAGAGAGAGATCACGGTCGAGATCGTGACCAAGATAGAAGCTGGGATCGTGATCGTACACATGACCGTGATCACGACCACCACGGAAGCAGAGGCGACCGTGATAGCAAAGACGGACGGAAAAAGAGAGGTACTCTGCCAGTCCATAAGCCCGCCAACAAGGCGCTTATCGGCACCAAGCCTTGTACCTTCTGGCAGCAGGGCAAGTGTGCTAGAGGCGACAAGTGTACATTCCGACATGACTAAGAACGACCTTTGGGAACGATTAGTCTATTTACTGAACTTTACTTGGAGTTTAGAGGTGGGACGGATCATGGTGTATATATAATGTAAACAAAATTCGCATCGTTTAGGATCAATCTGAGAGTCGAGCAAGACATCCAGATCATTTCTTAAACCAGGAGAGTGCCTTTAGCGGCATGCATGATTAATTAAAGACTTTATAACAACAAAAATATCGTATTTATTCTCGGGTAACCTAGATACAAGCTATTTAATGTCGTCGATCACTGGTACTGCCATCCTTTTTCTAAGCTTTCTTTTCGTAACGTTAACTTTACTCTGCGGCAGCCATCTCTGTGTCACCCTCGCCGGCCTTCTTAATGAGCCCACGCAGGCTCAAATCGTAGACAACATCCTCAACCCTCTTGACGTCATACTTGACGGCATCGGCTCGCTTGCGGAGGATGTCGTTCTTGAGGTTGAGAAGCTGGAACCCGGCAAAAAGATCCTTGATGAACCCGCTAATAACGAGAGGAAGCTCAAAATCTCCGTGAGTAACAGCGTTGGGGGCTAGACGGGCCAGCTCGTTGGTGAGGTCTGTCAGAGACAGCAGGTACTCTTCGATGGTGAAGTGGAAGGCGTCACGATCCTTGAGGTTTGTAGGGACTGCGAATAGTCAGCTTGGGTGCCCAAACGGCCATGGACATGGATGACATACCCTGGAAAACCTCGCCGACTTGCTCGAGGGTGAGGAGACGGCCGAGAGAAGCAGGCTGCGACTCAGAGCCTAGGCCACCGAGCCAAGCAGCGTACACAGCGGTGCCGATAGCATTCTGTGCAGCTCTCGCCCACTTTTGGTTGTATCTATCACGCAGTCAGATTTTTGATGCTCGTTTTGAATGAAGCGGCGATCACGCACTTGTAGTATGGGTGCTGGCTAGCAACCTCGCTCAGCTCCTTCACGATAGAGACCTCTTCCTTGATGGCATCCTCAACCTGGGAGACCAACGCAGGCCCTGCATTTTCATGGATTAGCCTTGCGTATCAAAATCTGGAGGAGAGAAAAAAAACTAACAGCGGGCGCGAGGTGTAGAGTGGACGCGAGAAAGAAGACCTTGAGCGGTGGCAACGGCGCGCTCGAGACGTTGGACAATCTGGGAAAGGTTGTCGCGGACGTTTGTCTCTTCATCGATCTTCTCTTGGAGGTGGGAGAAGATGGAAGGGTCGAGGAGGGGAGTTTCGGAGGACATGATTGCGGTTGATGGTGTGTGGATGAATGAGGCTCTGCGGATGAGGCTCTCGAGATGGAGATTTAGTGGTTGGAGTTACGCTAGGGTCGTCTTTACACTTATGACGGATATGATCTTTGCCTAGCACGAGGTCGAGAGATCAATATACAGAGATGTTCACGGCAGGTTTACAATTGAGAATTACGGCAGGAGCAATGCGGCATTCGTTGGCGACAAGCATTTACGGCATCACAGATTCGACAAATTTGACTTAACACAGCAAGGCATCTTCACAGTTGGAGGAGTTCTTCTTCACTACCCAGGCAAGCCCGAGTAAGCAATGAAAAACGAGGAGCTCAAAAGTGGTTCGCGTCACCTGGAGGCAGTGTAATACCAGGGACACTGTGGGCGGAAGCATGCGCAAGCGCAGAGGAGACCGCCCTCTAACCAAAAATAGGAATAATCAATGTTGATGTCCTTAGACATCTTTCAGAGATTAAACTGAAAAGAACAGATACTACACTTGATCTAAGCCAAAAGGCAAAGAGAGCTAAGGAGAAAAGGAAAAGAAAAAAGCGAAGCTTGAGGCGATGCGGGCGGAAATTTATAGCTGTGCCTGAAGGCGGTGAGTGGGGTGATTGGCAGAATTTCTGGTGAACTCAGTCTCGCTTGTGCAGGCAGCAGCTTGGAAACTTCGGTTGGGGACGAGAAATGACTGAGGCAGGAGCTCTCTCGGCTGCGGGCATTAAGCGAGAGGAGAGTTCAACCGCTCGTTCAAGCAACGGGGAGCTGCAGGCGCGGAGAAACGAAGTGGCAGAAAAGAATATGCTGATGGACAAGAAGAAGCTATCACCACCAGCCAATAGCTCTTTTATCGTGCTAAGAAAATGATAATTGGAAAACTCGTATTATAAGTCCAAGACGAACTGGAATTTAGTGCGGCTTCATGCGTGTACTACTAGAAAATTGTCTGCACTGATATTGAAAGGAAACAAATATGTCGAAGCTCTTCAAGATGGCATAGGGATCAGATGTAGTATGCTTTGATGCGCCTTGTAATCTCACGACCAGTTGTAGTTCGTTGAACTGAGGGGCACAATACGCCCAAGAAGTATGACATCTACTCTCTGAGGCCTTCGCGAGCACGAAAAGTGGTAGCAAGAAATCACAACACCCAAGTTACGCATTAACGAGCTTCGTTCATAAGTGTATACTTGAAATCACGACACAAAGAGTCGTCTTCGAACAATTTCTAGTTTAATATTCCTAGACCATGATCTTAATCCGAGTACAATGGCCGAGGGCATCTGTAGCCTGCGTCCGAACGCCGTAACCCAGGAGCGCTCACCCTTATGCCTGCTCAACCAGATCCAGCCTTTGCCATGCGTAAATATCGACTATCCTGACCAAATGGTTAGATGCCACGAACTCAAGAAAACCCGTAACGCCTCTTTGTCTCGTACTCTACAAAGACTGTGTGGTAATTATGTCGTAGTCTCAGTCCTCAACCAGCTCGCCCTCCTCATCCTCCGAGAGCTTAGCCCGTTTCTCTGCCCTATCGCTCTTCGTATCACCATCCTCTGGTTCCCTTCGCTTAAGTGGTGACTTGGATGCGACTTCATTCTCATCGGGTTTGGATTGAGACCCCAGAAGTCGTCCCTCGCTATCCTTGCTGGCACCGTTCACTCTCGAGCTCACGCCAGGGCTTCGACTCGCACGATCGGCTTCCAGTGGGGTACCGGTAGTGGATGATAATGTATCTGGCTGGCTCAGCAAGGTGTCGCCTCTTCTTCTAGTGTTCTCAAGATGGAATGCAGGTGACGGCAGCGACGGGTTCTGCTTTCTAAGCGGATTCTCCGTGTAGAACTGGCGCATCACCTCAATAGCATGAGAACAAAGGGCCTCATCGCCCTTCAGATGCCTCCACCATGGCTCGCCACCAATATCTTCGATCTGTTGGTTTGTGTGAACGCTCGCAAAGAAGATGGCACTGATGGCAACATCTCGTGCCTCTATCAGAAGAGGGATGGATGTGAGGCAAGCGTCGTTGCAGAATGCCCAGGCAGCTTGTCGCAAGTGCTTGTTGTGTACTATTTCGAGCTTTCCAAGTAGCTCGAACAAGTGCCGATAAGGGTTGTCGACCATCAGGTCGAATGTGAGTTGTTCCAGCATGACCTCCTCATACGTGAGGATGCTGTCTCGCCATCGCCAGTACTCTTTGCTTTGCTCATCAATAATAAGTTTGGCATTCTTTTGGGCCACCTTGGCCACCGCAATGATGATGTCTTTCGTCTTTCGACAGTTTTCTTCCACTTTGTTGGCTAAGAAAAGGGCTGTTGCCGCTATGTTCTGAGTTTGACATGTTAGTCGCAGTTCGAAAAATCTTTCAAGCTGCTCAGTCAAGAGCATACTCCCATTGTCCGAAAGACTCTGGAATTGTTGTCGAGTAGTGGGGAAGACTCACATAATGATGAATTCCACCCTTTTCTTGTAGCATGTGGCAGCGCATGTAAAAGCGATGGAAAAACACCCCGGCTACCCATAGCGTAATCTGAGGAAGATCTAGCATGACGCCAGCCTGGTATATGAAATTGACACCCTTCGCTCTGCGCATTCGCTCATCGGCCGGCGTAATGCCTTCGACGATACTAGGAGTGCTCCGCACCTCATTCGACGTGAACGACCATTGATTGGGACCGGCCACTGGAGTTTGTGCGCCGGACCGCGCTGGCGATTGGGTTTGGCGCGCCTGGGGGCGAGGGGGAGAAGTCCGCGTTGAATGTTGTGGAGGGGTTGGCACAGCGGGAGGGACAGCATCACGTCGTCGTGGGGATCTTGACCGTGAATCGCGCTCAGGTCGGTTGTTGACGGGAATTGCTGGAGGTTGATACCCTTCCCTAGGAGGTCTGTAGCGATCGATGCTCGCCATAGCCGTTTTGTTAGAGGGGAGTGGTAATATTAGTTGTGCTTGAGTAAGAGTCGCTCATGGGAGAGTTCGATAGTTGTAAGAAGTTGGTGACGATGATTAGCGGTCGATATGATGTTGTAAGTATGAAAGTGATGCGAAGTCTGAGTTAGATCCAAGTTAGTCTAAAGGAACCTGATCTTGAACGAGTTGGCAGCAGGGGGACCGGCCAGGCCAAGCGTGCTAGACCCAAACTTAGCGTTATCTAATCAATAGGTACAGTGCCACCAAGGGTCAAGAAAAACAGAAGACTTGCCCTACCAGGTTTTGGTGACTTAATAGCTCTTAAAGTCTGGTGTTTTATTTGTCGCCCTCGAGCACCCAGTGTCAGGTGGATGCGTGATCCAATGAGCGTTGTGTCACTCTATTCACAGATGAAACAATATAAAAAGAGACCCACTTAAATGAATAAGTCAGTATTGTTCGGATGCAGTTTCAATAAAGAACAGCTCTTTGAGATGATCAATTCACAGGGCGAATTATTGTTTGTGTCTCTTATTTTGTATATTATTAGAATTCTTTGAGGGGTATCTATTTTTCTTTGAGTACCTGATGTACTGTAGGCTGTCCATACCAGATCTATCATCTCTTTTAACATTTCCCTAGATTCCCTCGCCATCATTTCGTCCCCAGAGCTTGACTGTGCGATCGTGGCCACCACTGACAATCCACTTGCCGTCTCTGCTATAGTCCACACTGGCAACCGGACCCGTGTGGCCACTGAGTGTCTGTACCAGTGTCCAGTCGTCGGCTGAGAAGACCTTGACATTTTTGTCAAAGCCACTCGAAATAAAGAAGCTGCCAGACTTCTTAGGTAGTTGCGCACCCTTCTCATCAACACCAGGTGGAATACCAGTAAGAGGATCATCGAGGCCCTTGTACCACCGCATATCAGAAACAGCACTGGTATGCGCACCAATACCACCCGTCCTTTGAACCTTTCGAATATCCCAGCACTTGATCCAACCGTCAGCCGATCCGGATAGCACTCGGTGGCCGTCAGAGCTCCAATCCAGTGCATGAATAGGCTTGATGTGACCGTCAAGATGTCCGTCCAGAATCATAATCGTGCGCCCAGATCTCAAATCCCAGATTCTGCCAATACTGTCGAGACCGGCGCTGGCAAGTAGCGAACCGTCAGTATTAAAGCTGACAGCATAGACACCTCTTGAGTGACCTTCTTGTAGGAGAACCTCTGCAGTTGTTTCAACGTCCCAGAGGCGCCACGAAGTATCGTCGGATGCAGAAGCCAGATAACGACCGGAAGGATGGAATTCGACACGGCACACTCGCTGCGAGTGTCCTTCGAGACTAGACAGCGGAGTATCTTGGTTCAGAGACCATAGGTGGATAGCTCCCTCAGCACCGCCCGATGCCAGGTTAACGGTATCAGGCGATACATTTTGTTCTGGAAGAGTGGCACCGGGGAACCAGGATAGACCGCTGATCTTGTTGGTGTGACCGCGGAAATTCATCTTTTGGTTCAAGCTTGGTATTTCGACCAGCTTGACCTGACCACCCCAGTTTCCCACAGCAACCATCTCGCCGTTGGGCGATATGCGGGTCATGCTGACATGGCGCTCACCAACAGTCTGACTGCCCTGAAGCTCGAATGCTTGTAATCTCTCCTTGACCTGTTTGCGAAACTTTACTTGGGTGCGCAAAGGGATTGTTGACTCGGCCTTTTGAAATTGCGTCCTCTTCTTTGCCCGTGGTAAAGAGTACTCTACCATATTTAACCTGGCTTCCAGAAGTTGAGGTCCGCCTGCTGTGTAGAACTCCTGCTCCTGGTCTTCTTCTTGATCGTCCTCGGCGTCGTCCATGGTGATATCGCCATTTTCCAATCCGTTGAGCTCGGCCTGAATTGTGAGAAGCTCGCGTAAACGATCTCGTCGGTCAACAAGGGCCTCTCCAAAGAGCGTGACTGGTTCGCCCATCTCTCGGAGCTTTGCGCGCACTCGTGTATCATCGGTAGGAACCGCTATCGTTGCGGCCAAGCGTTTGCGATTCAACTGGTTGAGGACTGCGGAAGCCTTCTCGGATGGAACACCAGTTCCTCCCATGCTGATGTCATAGTCGTGGTCATCGGGAATATCTTCAAGTGCGATGCCTTGAGGTTCGGCGTCCTCGACATACGCCTGCCGCGATGGGTGCATCATCTTGGCTGGAAAGTTCGAGTTATGTCTAAACGATAGGCTGATAAATTAAGAGCGCGATGTTGAATCTATATGATGCAGGGTTGTGCCAGATTACAATAAAAAATTTGGTGGTATTGAGGGTCGTTGGTGGTGATAGGCTGTAGCCTTGTCGTTCTGCGCGCCGTCTTGGATTGGCAGACGTGAAATTTCCAGACGCGCGAGCTTGGCTTCTAGCTGCGACGGGAGTTTATTTCGCCGAGGACCGACAACCTCCAAACAGACCGGGGCTTGGAGCTAAGGTTCCATCGCTTAATGGGTACCTGAAGAATCACAAGCTAAAGCTAACCAAGACCAACCGTTGATTTGCTACGCGATCGATCACCGCATGCGCCAGGGCTGCCAGGCTATTGGTGATGTCAGTGTCTGGAGACTTTCATGCCTTGTGATGCTGACACGAGGAATATAATCCCCAAAGGGATAGGAGCCTGGCATGTCCGAGGTTTCTTGTGACACTTCTTATTGAGAGCGACAATAGTGCGAGTCAAGGGAGTAACAAAGTCTATGCTTTGCAGCCACAAAATTAAACAAAAGAAAGGGGCATGGCTGGTCATGATTAATGCGACAAACTTTGTCTCCCTCAAGTCTCGGTCTCGGTCTCACGGTCCGTGCTTGGGCACGAATTAATTAATCAAGGAATGGGTTCCAGTAGATTGGTCTGGCAGGTACTGAGAAGGAATGATGCGCTGTTCATCATCCCCTGGCTTATTGATGACTTGTATTAGTCTCAGGGGCCTATTCTTACGTACTATGTACAATATCGAAACTTTAGTGGTGGTCTGTATCATCCGCTTACTAGGCTCCCCCGAGCCTTTAATTCCTCCCCGCGTTCCAAGTGGACGCTCGGGCAATCAGCAGGGATTTGTTAGACGAAAAGGAAAAATGTGATTGAGTGACGGTCCAGCCGAGAAGGCCCAGCGCACACAGAAACTAGGCCACCTCTAATACGGGCTGCATTACAGGCGCAGCGCAGGTCATGTTCTGCAGCCAATGCACGCAGGCCCGCCTAAAAAAGCCTGAAAGTTGCAGCTGGAATTATAGCGTCCGGGGGCTCTGGAATAGGCAGGCAGGCCACCAAAAGGGAAATCCCAGTTTTTCTGTTTAATATGGACTAAGACCCGTTCCTTTGTCTGCGGCCCTTTTCTTCTTCTTCCTTTCCCTCCTCACACCATACTTGGTGAACAATAGTTCAACTTATACCCGTCGCCTTACCGCTGCCAAATGCATATAGCAAAGCCTACCGTCTTCCGTACTTCATTCTTCCGATACCAGATGCGTGTCGCGAACTTCTACGAGATCGAGCGTCACTTCGAATCACAGCCCCGCGCAGATCCGGAGCGCCGACGAGGATTCCCTTGAATAGCACGACTATCTGCACTTGTCCACAGTCTGATTTGGGCGAGTGTTGTGTGGTGTAGTTATCAGAGCATAACCGTGCCGTTCCTAATCCTCAAAACCACCAATAACCACTTCGAATACCGCCCGCCATGATAAGCCACGCACCTGCCGCGGTCACTACCGTTCGCGGCTTCCAGACTACACCTGCTACCTCGGGCGACGAGGACTCTGATCCTGGACACAACGACGTCCCTACCCCCCGACGAAAGACCCCTAGCCGACCTATCATCAACGATGTTGTCAGCGCCAACTGCAGCCCTATTATTCGAGCATCTTCACCCGCTGTTTCAGGCATCGCCAAGCTGCGAATGCAAATGGAACCTCTCAGCCTTGACGGAGGATCTCCCTGTATGAGCCGCTCTGGAAGTCAGCAAGGAACCGCCCAGGATTTTCGAAAGCAAATGCTCAGCCGTACACAGAGCCGAGAGGATGTTCGCAGTGAGGCTGGTAGCGAGATTTCAGACAGCTCTATTAGTTACGAAGTGAACCTCGAGCATGATTTCACTAGCGAGAGTGTTCGAGAGCGTAGTGGATACCTCGAACCTCTTGAGGGCGGCCTTGCGCCGAATCGTAAGATGACGTCGGAAGACTTCGAGCAACTGCGATGCCTTGGCAAGGGTACCTACGGTACTGTGCTTCTAGTCAAGCAGCGTGCAACCGGAAGGCTCTACGCCCAAAAGCAGTTCAAGAAGGCCTCTCTGGTGGTCCACAAGAAACTCATCGAGCAGACCAAAACTGAGCGACAGATCCTCGAATCTGTTAACAGACACCCGTTCGTTGTCAAGCTGTTCTACGCTTTCCAGGACCATGAGCAGCTGTACCTTATTCTCGAGTACGGACAGGGTGGTGAGCTCTTCACCCATCTTGATACTGAAAAGATGTTCTCCGAGACTGTGGCTGCTTTCTATATGGCAGAAATGCTTCTGGCTATCTCGCATCTGCACAACGATCTTGGCGTGGTCTACCGCGATCTCAAGCCAGAGAACTGCCTTCTGGACGCCGAAGGCCATCTCCTCCTGACCGACTTCGGCCTCTCCAAGGTTTCTAGTGATCAGTCTGAGGGCTGCAACTCGATGCTGGGAACCGTTGAGTACATGGCACCCGAAGTTGTGCTTGGAAAGAAATATGGGAAAGCGGTCGACTGGTGGTCCTTTGGAGCGCTTGGATACGACCTGATGACTGGAAACCCACCTTTCCGTGGTCAGAACCACGCCAAGATTCAGGACAACATCGTCAAGCAGAAGCTGGTGCTTCCTTACTTCCTGAGCGCCGATGCCAAGGATCTCCTTACTAGACTTCTTCGCAAGGATCCCAAGAAGCGCCTTGGAGCAGTGATGCCCAACGATCTCACGACTATGAAGAAGCACAGATTCTTCCGCAAGATTGACTGGAAGAAGCTCGCGGAACGGGAGCTCGAGCCACCCATTCAGCCTATGATCACGGATCCTGAGCTAGCCGAGAACTTCGCCCCAGAGTTTACTGAGCTGGCCATCAGCCCGGTACTGCCAAACAAGGATGCCTGGCCCCGAAGCCTCCCTAAGGATGAGCAGCTCTTTGGTGGATTCAGCTTTGTTGCGTCTTCAAGCTTGTTGAATGAAGACCGGTTCGCAGCTTATGCCCAGACGTGAAGGTTACTTTTGTTGAAGAAGATGATGATGGGAGAAATGGCGAGGATTGAGAATGAAGATGAGGAGTTGAATGAGTGTGGTTGTTCTTCAAGATTGTTGCGTACTGTTTTTTGCGTGTATTTTTGCTTTGGAGTCTCAACTACTAGAAGGTCAAGCCACCCGTGGCGGTTAGACTTAGATGGTATTGTTAGTGAGCAGCTGTTGCGTCAAATTGCACAAGATTCTTTTCCCTCGATTCTACTTCACAGTGACCTCGTTTGTAGTACCTTTATTCAACCTGCCAAAAACGTGCATAGGTCCGGAGAAGTGACAAATAACGGCCTGAACGGAGCAACGGAACCCGAGGGCTTAGCTTCGTAGTCGATGGTTGCATATAAGCGGGCGGTTTGAGGCGCTGCCTGTCACCTGTTTTTAGAGCCATGATGTGGTCAGGATGATGATGTTTGGAGTTTGCAAGCAGATAAGAGAAGGTGTAGTTGAGAAGGGGAAATAGATTCTCTCATCAGCGGGAGGGGATCACAGCATGCGGCACAGTATTGAGACACGCGGTTGCCAGGGCTTTGAGCAAATTGATGAGTGACCAACCACGTTGAAGCGTTTATCGAATAAATACGACGATCAATTGCGTATTGAGAATTCTCACCATCAAGGTCCAAGAGTAAATCATCACGACTTGTCAATCATACAGCATCATACGATTAATCCGGTGACTTTGTGTCTATCTCTTATCCCGCTTACAGAACGAGGTAGTGGTGAGGCCTCTTGATCGGAGCTATTTGATCGTCGCAGCGCATCGTGAAAAGGAGGGCCGCGCAATCATCCTGTATGAGGCGTTGATGATTGCATGCCATCGCAGTAGAGAGAATGAAGATGTCAAGCTTTGAATGTCTTGGCATCATTGATGTCCCTGCTTTGTGATGATTGAATAATCAACGATCGGGACATATTTTGCATTTAAGGTTGATAGAAAGTGGGATGCTAATACAAACAAACTACCGTGATGCCCTTGACCATGTCTAATGAATCTATCTGGAGGTTACAGTAGTTCTTCGGTAGGAAAAGGCTGACGTACTCATTGAGGCTAATTCACTGCTAATGAAGTATTCAAAGTTCCAGACCCTGGCCGAGTTGTAAATTGGAATAGTGTCATTGGACTGCCCTGCAAGAGTCGGTTATGCAAAACGCGGACTCATCAAACACAATACGAGACGTCCTATGACAGAAGGTTGGACTATCGGTCTTGGACGTGGGATAATATTGGATTTGTTAGATACTCAAGATATCCAGTGGGATGGTACCCATTTTCGGATTGACAATTGCTCCGATAGAGAAGCATAATCCGATCTTTTACCTTATTTGGTGAATATAGCCCTAAATTTAATTGGACGTTAGTGGTCAATGCCTTGTAAGTCTTTCCGACGTGGAGGGACTGACAGCATCAGATCTCACTTGCGGGGAGATCCTTGTAGGGGAGCGGCCGCCTATTGATTCCCATTACAGCCCAGTAACTTGGCTGTACCACGTTCGTCTCTACTCTGCAGCACTCTGCAATGCTACCTTGAGTGGGCGCGTATTCCAACAATGAAGACCTCCTCTTGAAACAGATGTCGTTTCCTTCGCTGTTCGGAAGCCGGCTGCTTAGAGGCACACAATACATCTTGTCAACGGCTTGAGTTTCAATGTCATGATGCTTCGACTTGTCAAAGTGACATCTATCCAATCATCACAACGTCGTGACTGTGCCCTCGAGTCTTTTGTTACAGTAGAAACCGTTTCGGCACTGCGACCCGAATAGTGTACGGTAGATTAAGCTAGTCTGAAGGTTCTGTGCCTTACTGCAACTAGTAGCTTGATCCTGGAATAGCAGTAGCTTAGCGGTAGTCTTCTGCCGTGGTCTAGATTGTGGCAGTGTGGATGAAACCTTAATATGCTTGTCTTCTCTTGGGACTTGGACATATCGAGGGCGGATCCGAGGAAAACGCGAGCTCGCTTTGGAGCTGACGACAGCGTCAAACAAGGGATGTTCCCCTAAACTACCGTAATAGCAAATGACGGCATCGGGATTGTCATATCATCTGCCGAGAGATGCTCGGTATGTTGCAGTACCCGAATGAGTATCCAGATCCCCATGACCAGGTATCATTACCGTACAACGCGGAAGTGGCTTTGCGGCGTGTAGCGAAACCTTCTTAGCGTGGCCGTTCAACTGTACATACAGCTCAGCCGCTGCGAGGTGAGCGTTTCGAAACTAACAAAGGAAAGGAAAGGGAAGTGCCCCCTTGTCCCAATCTAGATCTGTGCTGCTTACATTTATATCAGCCATCCACAACCCCCCCTCCTGTAAGCTCTGCACCTCAGACTCGACAGAAAATTCCTCACTCATTTCCAAGACTCTTAGTAATTCTTCGTCTTTGTTCACTCAAAAAACAATAGTGATGAAGTGGTCAACTAGCTCACTGCTAGCGGCGCTGTGTAAGTCTTCCTTTGTCACATCAAGCATATCCAGTATACCTTGCCTCTTTTTACTAACACAACTTGCTCTCTTTTCAGACGCCAATAGCGCACTTGCTATCACACCTGAGTTCTGCCCACAAAATAGCAAAGTATGTTTCACTTGGGGCGTCCCAGAAGCTTCAGCAAGCTCAGGATCCGGATCCATCTACTTCCAGCTCAAGGCGCCAACAAGCATGCAATGGGCAGGTCTCGGTATCGGTGATTCAATGTCTGGATCCCAAATGTTCCTCATGTACCAGGACGGAAAGGGCAACGTCACTCTAAGTCCAAGGCCAGGCAAAGGCGAAGTTATGCCTCAGTATGAGAAGATGGATGGCCTCGAACTGCTTGAAGGTTCTGGAGTCAAGGACAACGAGATGATTGCCAATGTTCGATGCGGCAACTGCGAGAACTTGAATCTCAAGGGTTCCAACATCTGGATTGCCGCTTGGAGGTCCGGCGACTCCCTGGATTCGACTAGTCCTTCTCAACGCATCCAACAGCACGATGAACACGCTAGCTTTGACGTCGACCTCACCAAGGCCTCGATAAAGTCAGATACCAACCCATTCACTTCCGCCCAAGCCAATCAGCCTAGCTCTGGTGGTGCCGTGTCTGAGACAGCATCAAGCGGTAAATCAAGCAGGACGATCCAGCTGGCCCACGGTATCATCATGTCAATCGTATTCATCGCCGGATACCCCTTAGGCGCCATCCTGATGCCCATGCTTGGCAAGTGGCTGATCCATGCCGGCTGGCAGGTCGTCATGTTGCTCCTGATGTGGGCTGGTTTTGGACTTGGATATGTCGCCGCCAAAGACAGTGGCTTGGTAAGTTTCCCCTGAGATGCACTCGCACTCGCACAATGCAACTTAAGTATCAATACTAACGTGTTACTCCAGTGGGGAAAGCAAACACATACTCGAATGGGCACTGCTGTTATTGCCTTGATCACCCTTCAGCCCATCCTTGGTTACATGCACCATCGATACTTCCTCAGCCATGGCAAGAGAGGCGTCATTAGCCATATTCACATCTGGTACGGCAGAGCACTCATGCTCATTGGTATCGTCAACGGTGGTTTGGGTCTTCAGCTCGCAAACTCGTCCACTGCTTTCATTGTTGTGTACTCAGTCATTGCTGGTCTTGCTTCCGTGGCCTACCTCGGTTCTATCTTTGTTGGTGAGAGGAGAAGATCGGCTTCTCGTGTCAAGCAGATGTCTCCTCAAATGTCTCAGGAGGAGTCACGATAATTTGTCTTGTCAAACAAACTGGGCGATGGCAGGAGCTGTTGTGCTTAGAAGGTGTTTCGGAGCTTGTAACTTGTGATACCAAAGATCTTCCAGCCACTGGGCTTGAACCTGATCAGCAGAAAGAGGCCAATCGTTGATAGGTCCTTTCCTTTGTCTTTTATTATTATTTAATTCTTCTTATATTCTTCTATAGAGTTAGCATATATATGAATGTATTGAATGATTGACTTATGTGTACGCGATACTGATCAGTTGACAACCTATGCATGCAATTTTGATACCATGCATGAACCCTTGTAGTAATAGATACTAAAGAAAGTCAGGCGTAATGCGATATATGACATAGTGTACGAAACGACGGAAAAAGAATAGTCGAAACTCTAGAAATCAGTCTATAATTCATTCGTCACAAGTCGCTTAGTATAATAGAATATAGTAATGATGCGTGTAAGTGAGCTTTGACGTCGTTCATCACCAAGTCCCGAGTTTCACCTTCGAGATGGGAGGGTCAAAATCAAGATCCAAGCCAAGCTTCGACCAATCACCCATCGTAAAAGTCACGTGCGATGCACCCGTGATGCTCCGGTAGCCGCTGAAAAGTGTGAAAACCTGAGGCACCCACAGGCACGACAGCCAAGGCCGAAGCGCTCTAACCGGGGGCGAGCACTCATCCAATAGTGACTGCCAACCTCTCTCGAATTTTCCCCCCAAAACCCTCAATCCGCCCATCTCCATCTCCCCGGAGTCACCCCAATTGAGCCTCTACCAGCCGTTCAAAATGCTCATCCAACTCTCCAGGGCTACGGTAAGTCTTTACCTTTCTCTCTAGAGGTCTACTGCAAGGACAAGTCTGATAATTTTATAGCGCGCTCGCTCCGCCGTTGCGGCTGTTTCTCGTGTCGCCAGACCTAATGTCGTCCAGGTGAGGGGCTTCATTGCTCCTACCGTCTCCAGAAAGGGTAAGATTTTGCTACCATCATTGTCTACACATCAAATGGATTCTTCTCCGACCTTGCGATTCCGTCACCTATTCGATTGTCGATTATCGATTTCTTCCGGTCGGATCTGTCCTCATATAGCCGAATCTGCGCTCCACCTGAGCTCCGACGTCGCCAAAACATTCTCACTCCGAGCATCCAATACCAGACATCGATAATCGAATCATCGCTCTTCGTACCCTCTCGCCAGTCTTCGGCGTACACTCCGAATCATCAAAATGTGACTAGACTTCATCATTGTGCAATTGCTGACATCATACCTCTTACAGCCGACTTCGTCCAGGAGCTTTACCTCAAGGAGCTCAAGGCCTACAAGATCCCTGCCGTCAAGGAGTCCGATGCCGAGGGCAACGTTCAGACCTTCAGTGTCCCCAAGACCCCTTCTTCCCCCGAGGAGACCGACCTTGCCGGCAACCTGAAGGAGTACGAGAGCATGGCCGTTGAGATCGAGGGCCAAGACGCCTCTGCCCAGACTTCCGGTGCCCCTGCGGCTGCCGACTGGCTCGAGGCTGAGGAGGACGACGAGCCTCACCACTAAGCGGTCTTTTTCATTAACTTTTGAGGGTGGCTCATAAAACTATCCGCACGGCAGCCCATTGTTCGGGCGTGTCTCACTTCTCACCGCCCAGCTGCCGTTACACGGGGATAGAAAAAGAGGGAGGGCTGACATCGAATTCAGCCTGGGGATGAAGAGCCGGAGTGATCAAGAAGAAGCTGATGCAAAGTGGATTGGGGATGAAAATCCTGTGTACATTTTTCCTAAAATACAGCCTTCGGTTGCCTGTAGGAACTAATTGCGAAATGCCAACGTTAAATGAAGCACAAGCAACGCTTTACTATTAATGACTGTCCATGACTCTTAATCTGATGCTCCATAGAATCGCAAGTGCTGTTCATGTTATTTTGTTATTCTATTCTGCTATGAAATCCAATCAAAACTTCAAACACCGTACATCATGAATACATGTTCCATCTACGGATCATCGCGATCAACATTATCCAGGCACTGACACCAATGATGTGCATAGCCTCAAACGCCCCCTCACTTACAACCCACGTTTCAATGACATCTATTATCTAACGCTTTGAGCTCTCCTACACCAGCTCGAGCTTGTCGACGTCAGGTGGCAACCAACGTCATCAACAAAACATAAGGAGGGACGGAAGGCTGCATTTGAAGCCAGCGATAGGCTACTATGTCCAAGACGGATAAGCTCAGAACAAACTCAAAGAGAACAGCATAGTTCCTTTCTGGGACACTAGACGATCAAGGACATGTTATGATATGACATTCTCATTCATTACTGCATATGGCCCGTCCTGTTTTTGCTGGGAAATCAAACTAGCGGAAAAGGCACTCAAAGGAATCGACCAAAAATGACTTGGGTCCCTTCTTTTTTCTTGTTCACTCTCCCTCCTCTCCCTCCCTCTCATTTTGCACAACCATAAACGCCATCAGTCCTGTACAGCACAACGACCAATGCAATGCAATACCAGCCAACCTTTGATGCATATAATACCGCAATTAGACATCCGTAGCCCACATGCAAAACTGGAATGGGCAAGCTTTTGGTTTTGCGAAATATTACTTTTTTGTTACGACATGTAGAGATAGATAGATCTCCAGCATGGTTGAAACGCCGAGGAGTTTGACTTGAATAAAACGTGCAAAAAAACAGATTTGCCGCATTATACGTCAAAGTGAGAACCTCCCACCATGTGCTCATCGTGCCCAGTCTTCACGATCCCACTCATCCGGTTTGCCTTCCTGAGGTCAACGTCGTCCATATTATCCCAATCGTCGTTATCGCGGTGTCTGCGACCGTGAACGTGTCCATCATCCATGTCCTCGTCGACAAGTCCTGCTCGGTCTCGCATGTGATCGTCAAGTGCGCTCTCATCAACAAATGTAAAGCCTTGGAAATTGGCTTGAACAGATGGAGATAGAGGCGTGGAAGCAGCGTAACCTCGTGCCAACGCTGCAGCACGCTCGTTTAGAGAGCCGTTTTGATCCAGAGCTGTTGTAAACTCGGGGTCGAAATATGAGACGTCGGTCTCAGACTTCAACTTGGGCTTGAACGGAGGAGTGATGAGCTTCTTGGAGAGCAGAGTCCAGTCCACATCAGCAAAGAAGGCGTGTCTCTTCAACTCTTCAGCATCATCGGTTGCACCCAATCTGTGCTTGGGGTTTCGGTTAAGGAGTCCCTTGACAAAATTCCTTCCTTCCTGGGAGAGGGTATCTCGCGGGAACCTCACCTTACCGAAGGCAATATTCTTATACATTTGCTGTGTATCCTCGGCGTAGAATGGGCTCCAACCACAGCACATCTCGAACACCAGAACACCTAGCGACCAGAAGTCCACCATCTTGGTGTAACCAGATTCATCCAATAAAACCTCAGGAGCAAGATACTCAGTAGTTCCGCAGAATGTGTTGGTTGTGTCGTTTTTCGTAAGATTGGCTTTGGAAAGACCGAAATCACAGAGTGCGATATGGCCATTTGCGTCCAGGAGGATGTTCTCAGGCTTCAGGTCTCGATACACAATGTCGTTATGGTGAAGGTGCTGAATAGCCAAAATCAACTCGGCAATGTAAAACTTGGCTCGCTTCTCATCGAACCGACCCTCCTTCTGCAGATGCCAGAACAGCTCACCTCCAGACATATAGTCGGTGACCAGATACAGTTCGGATGGTGTTTGGAATGAGAACTTGAGGCCGACGATAAAAGGTGAGTCGGACATAGCTGTTCTGACCAGGATATTTCGTTCCCCCACAGTGTGTGCCACCTCCTTCTTCTGTACGATAACCTTCTTCTGCAGAACCTTCATGGCATAAATGCGTTGAGTATCCTTCTTTCGCACTTGGTACACCTGGCCGAAAGTGCCCTTGCCAATGAGTTTGAGAATATCGAAATCCTGTGGACCAAATTGCTTCTTCTCGGCTCGGTGATAAATAGCCTCGAGGAAGATTTCGCCAGTTGGAGCATTCTCGGCCATGGTATCAGCGTGACCATGAAGCTGGAACCAACCCTCAACACTAGTGTTGGGGTCTTTGCTAGCTTGGAAATCGACATGACCAAGAAACTCATCACCTGATGCTCCGTGATCATATACCGAGACGTCAACAAGCATGTCATAATCCACCACATCGCTGTCTTGTGTTAGCAACGAATCTCATGCCCGAAACTCGATACAATTGACTTACAACTCTGCTTCCGCATCCCACTTTGGGTTGGTGAACGATAACGGTCCAGATCGGTTGCGGACCGAGCCACCGTGATCATGAATACTGGTGTTGCTGCTTTGCCTGCTTCTCATGGGAATGGCCAGAGGACGACCTGAGTCGCTTCCTGATCGCTGAATGGGGATGCCGCCATGGGCGGGGGGTGGGTCGATGCTGAGGTTATCATCCTCATCAATGTGGTGGGGACCACCTGAGATGAGTTCACTGCGCTGAAAAACAACAACAACATAAGGGTCCCGGCTCTTCCTAAGTCCCCGAGCCTCATTGATCTTGATGGTTAGTTTACCCTTGGCAGCAGGTGCCTGAGCACTGCCGGAGCTCCTGGGAGTCTGGGTACCGCTGACTTCAGCACCATCGTGGCTTGTTCTCCCGGAGGAGGGGGCTCTTTCAGAGCCTGAAGGTCGTGCAGCCGACATTGCTCGAGTAGGAGTCGAGTTGCCGCTCTTGAACGTCATACGAGTTAGCTCCTTGAGTCCATTAAGAAAATGCCACTTGCCCGGGGCAGCAGCTTCAGAGGCGTCTGAACTTGCAACACCAGGTTCGGGGTGCGAGGGTTGAATGGAGTCTTTGGTATGTGCTGCGTTTTTGGAGGAGTCAAGTTCAGGTAGTGATGGGTCATTGGAAGTTTGAAAGTGGGTGGTGGTGAAGGGCGAGGCTGTGGGTTTCTTGAATTGTGCCTGCTGTGTAAGAGACTTGGGCTCGACGGCAGCCCTGCCATGGGCCCCTGAGTCTGCAGAAATCATGTCCTGGGAGATAGAACCCCCCGAAGACGAGGGCTTAGAGGTGGGTGGGGTTGGGTAGGGGTTTAGAAGGTTATGCTCATCCCGCTGCGTGGTACTCGGCATGAGATCAAGGCTCTCATGTTGAAGAGGCGAACGATCCAAGGCCGAGGAGTCACAGCCGCGAGTAGAGCCTTCGGTGTGTACCTGCAACTGCAGGCCAGCAGGTGGAGTGGGCTGGACTAGAGTTCGGTCTAGAGTGGTATCACTCTGAGACGAATTGGGATTTGACGAAGGCGCAGAAGGGTAATTACGAACCTGGCCAAAGTAACTCATGATACCGGGCAAGCGTTTGTCCTGTAGATCGGGTTGAGGAGTAGCTACACCAGATCGAGGAGTATCAAGACCGATGTGATCGGCGCCATCCTCGTCTGCCGCAGACCTGACGTTTTGGTTAATAACCCCATTCATTTTTGTAAAAGATTTCCAGTGAGTGAATAAATCCTTCTACACCGAAGCAACTGCGCGGGGAAAATCAAAGTGGGAACACTAATTCATGACGGCTGCCAAGCGCGTCAACTAGAGGGTAAACAGGGCAAAGGCCGAGAGGGACCACCAAGGACAACAAGCAATAGCGGTCGAGGTGGACTCTTGCGATGCGACTATGACGAGAAAAACACGGAATGGGTAGATGCCCTTTGGTGGTCAAGGTACAGAGCAGCCAGTGGTGTGTTCGCGCCCATGTGGATGCGAACAAAACGCCAGGACCAGCACCAGCGAGCCTAGCCAGTGCCAGCGAGCGAGTAATACGTAGTATAAATTGGGATGCGAGCAAGGCTTTGCCGAGAGCGGCCGTGTAAGAGAAAGCGTCTAGGGACCAAGTGGAGGCTCGAAAGTTGCATGTAAAGGGTAAAAGAAGACGATGACGAGATCAATTCCTCGACTGCCGGGAGTAAAAACCTCGTTCGCTTTGGTGGCCGGGGTAGGCTTGTTCAGAAAGGCTTTTTCTTCCAGTTACCAGAGAACTTTTGCCTGAATTTTTTGGTCTAAGCAAGGAGCAAAACGTGGAAAACTGAAGCTGATAGCGGGGCCGAACGCAGGGACTGACTCCGAAGCTGGGCAGCCGTTGATTGGGTCCAATCAGAGTTGAGGCGAGTCAGGACTAAAGCTTGCAACAACACAAAAAGACGAGCTGTCTCTTGCATGTGGGAATGTGAATGCCATGCCATGATTGACTGCTGGTTTGCTCGTCTGTTCATTGCTGTAACAGGCCCTGCAGGATCTTTAGGGCCCCCAAAAATGAAGTCGAGACGACGGCGGCGATTGTTCGGTTCCACTGCGACGGCGATGTCGAGTCGAAGACACGGCAATGCCTTGATTGGTATTTGACTGGTCGTTGTTGTCTCTTGCTGATAATGCAAGGATCGAATCTCGTGTTTCCATGGTTGACATTTGCCAGCAATCCCAGAAGGCTCGTCTGCTATGGGGAATCCATGCTCTCTACCTGCCAAGCCGTCGACACCTCATCGTCCTGCGCTGCACTGCAGTTACAGGGCGACTGTCCACTGAACTGAG